ATCTTATTTTTTTTATATATTTCCTATATTATTTCTCTTTTTTTATACTATTTTTTGAGTTAATAAAAATGTTTCTAAATAAATAGGAAATTAGAATATATCTATATTATAAAATTTTTATTATTTCTTTCTATATTCTAATATTTTAAATATTACTATTATATTTATATTTCTATTATATTACTTTCTTATTTTTTTATTATTACTATTTAATTTAATCTGCTTTAATTATTTCCTTAATTATATTTCCTTAAATATATATATTTGTATTCTTTTTTATAATAGAAGCCTAATTCCGTATTTTATTTTTTATAATTATATTATCTTAAATATATCTAATTATTATATCTACTTTCCCTATTATATATATTACTATTTTAGCTTTATTTTCTTACTAGAAAAAAAGAAAAACTCGAATATATATAATACCTTTATATAATCCAAGCCTATTTTAATTTATTCTTTATTTTAGAATATACTTAAAAGAAATTCTTGTAATCTCAAGAACCTTTAATTCTATAACTTATAACTATTATATTAATAATATTTTTATAATTTATTAAAAATAATAAAATGGCCAAAATATAGATTCCTTAAACTAGTAAAGTATAATAACTAGTTCTTATAAGCTATAGTATTATTAAAAGCCTATAAATTAATAATATTAAAGTTTAGAATATTAAAAAAGCTTAGGTAATTATAGAAAACTTACTAATACTAGAAAAGATAGCTATAATTACTGAATTTAATATAAATATTCTAGATAAGCTAAGTAATATATATAATAAGCTCTTAAAATAGAAAATCTTTATTAAAAACAGAACTAGACTAGAATTAACTAAAGAACTATTAAGCTAATAATAGAGAATTCGAGAATATTATTAAAGGCATTTCTAAAAGCAAATAAAAAAAGCTTAATAAGATTAAGACTATAATAAATAGTCTAGAAACCAAGAATTAGAATAGAATTATATTATATAATAAAGCTTTTAGCTAATATATTAATAATATTTATAATAACCTTAATAAAAATATTTATAAGAAGTTATACTTTTTTTTAAGATAAAAGCTTTAGTATATAAAGCTATTTAGTTAATTAATAAAGCTATTTTAAAGTATATTAAGAATAAGAAGTATTAGAATACTAGTATATTTACTAAATTAGATATTACTAAGATACTTAAATATACTAAAGCTATTTCGGAACCTAGAGAATTAGAATTTAAATTACTATTAGCTAATAATCTCAAAGCTAGATAATATATCTTTAATACTTCCGGAATTCTAATTAAAGGAATTTATAATAATAAGCCTTTTCCTACTTTCTGAGATAAGCCTAAAAAATAGGCTTCTATTATAATTTTAGCTTTAACTTAACTAGATCTAGCTAAGAAAAATAGAGCTAATTTAATAAAGCCTAGTAAGAAAACTATTAGTAAAGCTAGTAAAACTAGTATAATTAGATAAAAAGAACCTAATAAGAATAGAGAGTAAGCTAAGCCTAAGATTTCTAATAAATAGCAGAGATCTAAGTACTAAACCAAATATAAGGTTAGTAAAATAAAGGAAAGTAAAAAGAATCTCTTTACTTTAAAAGAAAAGATATTATCTAGAAAGATTCCCGTATTTATATCTAGAACTAAGAAATAGAAAAACCAGGATATTAAGTTCAGAGAATTTAATAAAGGCATTTAGTATATCTATAAAATACTAGCTAAATAGAAATTAATACTTACTTAATAAGATAAGTATATTTTTAAAGAAATATATAATAGTATTTTGGAACTTATTTATAAATAAGAATATTATAAGATTAATAATAGATTTCTTAAAGCTTTCTATATAAAATATACTTAGTAATTTATTAATACTTTCTTTATTAATATATAAGAGATTAAGAATACTTTAAAGCTAGTTACTAAGATTTATAAAGTTATTAAAGGTAAGAAATATATTTCTATTACTTGAGTAAATAAGGAAATATAGGATTTCTTTTTTAAGAACTAGGAAATTAAGAAATATAAATATAAGTATTATATTTCTAATTAATTCCGCCTAAATCTATAGCTTTAATTTAATATTATAGTTTCTATTCCTGAGTCTAGTATTACTAATCTAGATATTAATAGCTATATTTATAAGAAGAATTACCTAAAGTAGATTAAGAAGCTTAGTATTTAAAAGCTTTTAATAAAAAAAATAGAAATACTATAGTTTTATTTTCGAGAAAAAAATATATATTAATATATAGAGATTTTAGTAATAGCTACTTTATCTTAGCCTCTTAACTTTTAATAATAGATCTATTAATATAGCTCGGATTTTACGAGATATTAAGTAAATATTCTATTTACCTAGTTATTTACTCTTAGCTAGTCTAATACTTTATTTCTGGAAATATTAATTATAATTAGTATAAAGGCAATACTAAAGATCTGGCTATTACTAAAGCTTTAAGTAATGAATTCTATCTTAGTAAAAAGTATTAGAATATTAGCTATATTTTCCTTATAGATTATAAGAAGGCTACTATTTTTAATAAGAAGTTTTTTAAAGATATTAATTACTTTTTTATTTCTAATAAATTTAAGCCAGAAGTAGCTAAGAAATTAAATAAATATTTGCTAAAGATAGTAGGAAAAAAGACTCTAAATATAGTTTATTTAACTAGATAAATAAATGCCTTTAGCTAAGTAATTTATAAGTCTAAAATTATAGGAAAATATTAATTCTCGGATAATATATAAGTTAAAGAATAGCTTAATAATAATTTGCTACTTAATAGGCCTTTTACTATAGTTCTAATAAGTCTAGTTATTATTAAGAATAAAATATACGAAAATGAAGTCTTTTATAAAGTTATTAAAGCCTCTTATCTAGAGCTTTCTCCTTTTATTAAAGGTTAATTTAAGAATACTATAAATAATATGAAATTCAAAAAAGCTATTTATTTAGAATATATTAGTATAATTTATAATATGATTTGCTATAATAAGTCTTCTTAATACCCTATAGTAAAGACAGAAATTAAGTAATAATTAAAGGCAAATACTAATTAATATAGAGAACTATATTAGATTTAGTATAAGAATATAACTAAGCAGGTTCGGATTGCCTTTAAGCAAGTTCGGAAATACGAAATAAGACTATTTAAAGATAATAAGTCTTATTTTAGGTATATAGAAAAGAAATTAGATTAATTAATAAAGGAGAATCCTAAATATTTTATTATTTCAGACTCTGAGTAGGATTTTTCTATTATTTTTGGTATTTAGGAAACAAGTATAAATAAATAGGAAGTCGGATATAATATAGCAGGCTATACTTATTAAAAATTATATTATTTTAGCGGTTTTGAGATTTAGGTTATATAATAAAGGCTATAGCCTTTTATATATAACTTGCGGAAATTATATAAGAAAGCTAGTTTTTTTATAGATTTAAAGAATAATCCCTTATAAATATTTAATTAATTAAGCTTTTATATACTATATACTATTTATACTTTACTATTTATACTTTACTATTTATACTTTACTATTTATACTTTACTATTTATACTTTACTATTTATACTTTATTATTTATACTTTTAATTTATTATTTTGCTATTAAGTTACGTTTTATACTCTAGTATACTTTATATGGGTTTTTGTCTTATTATAGTTTCTCTTTCATACTATATAAAACTAGCTATTACAAATATTTAAATTATAAGCTATATTTTTATAATTCTTTAATTATATATATAATATATATAATATATATAATTAGGCTTTCTTTTTAATAGATACTTTTTTAAATCTTATAAAAGAAATAAAAATTAGTTTTATATTTAATTTAATACTAGTAATTTTATATATTATTATTAATATTATTACTATATTATTTATTAATAAATATTTTAAAATTTTAAAATAAAAATATATTATTTTAAAATAATTTTAACTTTATTTTCTTATTATAATACAAGAAATCATAAAACTATTAATTTAATAATAATAAATTATATTTGAAGTATAAATATATATTTAATAATATAATAAGAATTTCTTTTATTTAATACTCGATTTATTTATTAATATATTATATATTATAAAAATATAATTTTATTTAAAAGATATAAGTAGTAGCTAAGTATATATATAAGGCTAGTTTCAAAATTAACTTGTATTATAACTCTAATTTATTTTATTACTATTACCGCATATTATAGTCTAGACTCAAATGCCTTCCTTTGAAAATCTTTTTGAATTTCTTCAAGATCCCTTCAACTTCCTTACGGCACTGCGCCTAAATTATATCTTGTCGGCGGCCTCGCCGCGCTCAAATCCACGATCTTCTTAACCGGACTCCGACACCGTATTCTTCTCCCGATCGAAACCTCATCGGCATCGCTGTCATTTATCTTGTAACTCGCGCCGCTGTGAGTCACGCTGGTGGGTTGTATAGATATGACAGTACCGGTGACTTGCTTTGAATACTTTAGCACAAGTCTCAGCTTCGCACTCCGTACTCTGCTAAGCCCCGTAGAGAGAGATTGGGCGACAAAATGCAGATATAATACATATTGTAGAGTATTAAAGATATTAGAGATAAGTAAGGAAGTTGTATTAAGCACTTCAAGCAAGGTAATAGTATCCGATACAACGCCGTCTAAGAGACGTCGGGTTCAGGCTATAGCTCTTGAGCGCGCATCTCCTAGAGAAGGCAGTCGAGCCAATAAAGTCCAGACTCCAGAGGAGCGAAGACGCAGACTAATAACAGACAGGGAAGTCTGCTCTCTAATGCTACGCAGAAATCCACTGGTAGACGCAAGATATATAGCCCACCGCAATAACCCGGGCTGCTGACACCGAAAGCTTAATCAAAATTCACGTTTATCTCAAACCTTAGGAATGATTATGGGGAATAAGACATATTCAAATAGAAATCGTAACCTAACCTAATAGACTAAGAAAATCACCAAGGGGAAGAAGACTGAGAAAAGTCCAACGAAGTGCCTTTTAAGATCAACCTTAAGCCGCAGCATGCAACCTATCGAGCTTGTTCCTATCATCGACTTTCTCCTCATGATACACACCTTCAGCCACAGCCGCTGCACCTAAAACTAAAGGCGCGGCCACTCCACCAGTAACGACAATAGCAGCAGTGCCAAGGATCCCGCCAACCCATCTTCCGACAGTGCGTTTGGTAGAGTGTTTTCTACGCTCTTTCTCGGCAGCACGAATCTCCAATGCACGTGCCTCGGAAGTTCGTCTCATTTCCTCCACTCTCTGCTCCATCAGCACTTGACCTTCCCGAACCCTCTTCATCTCAGCCTCGAGAACAGCTCTCTGCTCTTGCATCTGTTTCGCATACTCAGTGTCTTTCTCATGAAGCGCTTGCGCTTGCTGCTGTTTGGTGAGTTCGATTTCAGCTTGTTTGTCGGCAAGTTGCTATATTTATTAGCATGCTTTTCTACTTTGTAAATGGGAAAATAAAATCGCTTACTTCTTTCAAAGTATCAATGACTACCCTTCCAGCAGCAGTGTCTTTCAGCTTCTTTTTGTCGTAGCAAAGCTCCTCCGTCAGCTTAGGGACGCATTCCCTCAAACAAGCAACGGATTGAATGATCCTGATTGCAGACTCAGAGGTATTCTCAAATCTAGCAACCTGTGCACGGTTCGCAACCATATTTTTCCACCCGAACCTCGCATCTTGAAGCAACTCCTCTTCTCGGGCCTGACCTACTGCTTTATCAACATTTCCCCACTTGGTAGTGACCAGAACACAGTTAGTGAGCGCACGTGTTCCCATCAATTTCTGAAACATGGTCAGATTTTTGAGGGCACTGCCTCTCATTCGGGCATCGGTGATTTGGTGGAGGTAGAGAATCCCAGACAGCTTGCCTCGCTGATCGTGTACCTGTCGTAGAAATTCTGCGATACCGTCTAAGATCTCGGCATCGTTCTTGAAAGAGTCGTCGAAACCCGGAGTGTCTACTAAGTGTACATGGTAAGGCGGCATAATAAGATCAAAGTTTGCAACCTCGTGTGTGCCTACATGTCATGTTAGCTAGGTCGCAAATACTACATACACAATAGGGACCTACAGGATGCTTGCGAATGTCCGATTTCCACATCGGCGCCGGTGGCTCTCTGCACGAAGTGACTCTTGCCTGCTCCAGTCACACCCATGACGGCTATTACAATATGTTTGAGCTCGGTCTCCATATCTGATGAACGCTGTATACTTGATTCGGGAGACGTGCTAGAATGTGGGTCACTGAACGTATACGCTGGAGGTGGATCGAACTCCATGCTAGGCTCGACATTTTCTGTTCTGTTCAACATCTTTCTATTTATACCATTGTCCTTCCATGCCTCGCTAGCTAAGCCAAACATGAAATGCCTTGCCTCAAACAGCTGACCCTCGCTTCCAATATTCCAGGATATCAAGGCTTGCATAAATGGGCAAAAGAAATTTTATACTATACTTAACTGAGGAAACAGAGAGGACTTGATACCTATGACAAATAGGTGGCGTCTAGTCCACGGGAAATATTACTCAGGCAATGCAGATTCCCCAGAGATAGTGAAAGGTTAAGACGATTTTGGGGGCTAAGAGGGGCTAGATTCTCCACCCGCTAACTAATTATGGTAAGCTGAGACATATGGCTTTGCTTTCTTTTTCTTGTACTACCTACTTATCATTCAGCCATGGGACATCTCTGAGAAACATCTTAAACTCGCTTCTCCTTGCCCCACTCAGCTGCTCGTTGTTTCCAATATTCCATGATATTGAGGCTTGCAGAAATATGCAAAAGAAATTTCTCGCCATCACGCTGTGCAGACTCGGGCTGGATGCGCTGGACACGTTGTTGGACTTGGATAGGAGGCTGAGATTTGTTATCTGGGCCTCATGAAGCCGTGCTGAGGAGTTAGAAGTATGTCAAACTGCTACTCGACGAAATACTCTGGCTGGGGTGGTCCCACAATGATTCAGGAGGCACGAACCGTAGCATGGATCGTGCGCAGGCCAAGGTACCAACCAGCACGTGCAATTGTCTACAAATTGCAGCGAGGACGGACTCGCATATTATTGCCGCCAACGCCAGCATCTGGGGTCGAACAGAGCGTCTGCTGTAAAACCTGCCCGTTCCGCATACTCGGGAATGATTTTGATCGAAATTAGACAGGGTCGGAGTTTTTTGGTCACTCGGGCACGGGCCTTGAACGGTCACGTTACTGTAGAATTTCTGACGAATGAGAGCCCTTTCAATGGATCACGTGCTGAAAAGTTGAGGCTTGCTTAATCTACGAAAGTAATAGTCTCGGCGATTCCTTGATTCCTCTCGATAACGAGTGTCCGGCGTCACGGTGCGCGCTCCGCATCCGATTTTCTGCTTGCCACTTGCTAGTGCAGTCTTACTTAGAAAGAAGTCCAATGTTCATGCTACACTATATAGACTGCATTGGCCGACAGATCTAGATCTTTACCAGCCGGAGTGACTTAGGCTTCCCTGTAGTTGCAGACAATACGGTGTTGCCGCTAAGTCATTTACCAGGGAAGTGCCGTTATTCCGTCACGTGAGGATGTAAAATTTAAATAATTATCCTCACAGAGGCTATTCGCAGTGATAAGGCTGCGATATTGGTGTGCCACAAAGGTTGGTCGCAAAGCGAGTCTCGGAGTCTGCCGTTTCTAGTTGCTCGGATCCCTGATTATTGGCGTGCTCTGGGCCAGCCCGCAGCCTCGCAGGCTCCCGACGAACTTGAACGAAGCCAGCCTGTGAGTGGGTGGGTCTTGTGCTGCGCCCCACAGGAACGCCGCATGCAGGTACCCCTGTCTACACCACCAGTCCAAGCCTCGTTCAGCTCTGGAATCGTCGCCGCTCCCAGGAGCTGAAAAGAGACTTTAGTAAAATGGTACTTAGGCAATAGAGAGAAGAGAACGTATTCAAAGATTAGTGGTAAAACCCACCATTGCGAGGGACGCAATATTTTAATAATTTTATCTTTGTTTTTGCATCCTCCTCAATATGGAGGGATGATTCACTGTTTTTCGTCAGAGAAGTTGGTGAGGGCTCCTTCTCTACTGTAGGCTTCGAGAGAATTTTGCCAACCATAAGCGAACTGGGGTCGCTGTGCACAAGATTTGGACAGTATCAGTAGCGACCGCGCGGTGGGGTTCTGATCCAGCGGATCGGTGGAATGACTGCTTGCTTAGTCATCAATCCACCTCCTAACCCCCCCCCCCTCTTGGCAAATCACGAAAGGGAGCAGCAGCTTCTGATGTCCGGGTCTGATTTCGTTAATACTTGCCGGCGATCTGACTTCTGGCTTATCTCACCAATCTCCCCTAAGGTTATACCAATTTTTTTCTTGCCAAACACGTGGCACAATTTAATGTCAGCAGTCTCCGATGGGCTCGACCAGTAGCTCTTGGGTCGATGCTCTCACGGAAGCAGAATTCGAGTCGCGATCGTGCTTTTGCTGCCGTGACGGCGTGACGGAGGGGATTCAGGCCAGAGGCTGAGGGAACACAGGGGAGAGGTGCCGCTGGAGATCAATCCGGGACTCGCCAGGAGTTGGCGACGTCGATTTCCTTTTGCCAGCGGAAGAATGAGATTTCACAGATCAATATGAGACGTGCTGGAGATTCGTGGCTGTTCCGACAGCTCTCTCGATCGGCTGATCTATCAAAAAGCTGTGTTTGAGCAGGAAGTGTCTCGGCACCTTGCAATTCGGAAGAGGTCCAACGCTTTCCATACTTCCTGGCCTGCAAAGTTGCAAACAAAATCGAGATTTCGATGTACTGCGAGTGCGGGTCCATTTTACGTCCGGGTCCACCACAATATGCCACCCAGGCAAAATCTTTATTTTCCTTAATGGTTTCATTAACACATGCCCGCCAAAGCTGCATTGCCGCATCTATGTCTTTGCTTGTGCTGACATCTTGAATTCCAGCGATATAAAAGCTCAATCCTGAGCGATAGTAGAGAGGGCAATTCTCGTTGCACCAGAGCTGTGCTGCACAAAGTCGAACTCGCGATTTCAAAATGCTTGAAATGACGTTTTCGGTTAGTGAGAGGCTTCGCAAGAGCATCTGACGGTGCATCCTGCATCGAAGTGTCGGCCTTGATGGGGGCTGCGCCCGTCATTTTGAAGAGTGTTTGGTGGTTTCAGCGTCTAAAGGATTGATACACAGAAGTGGGCAATATATACGTTATCTTCTTTCTATCCCTTTCTGAGTGCTTTGCGTGGCAGATATAAATCATTGGGGGTTAGAAAGGGTAAGACGGGTGAGCTGATCAATTCTTTGTAATTGGTTACAGAATTAGTTTGTAAATGCGTTGCGTTTGCCTAGCAACTCTGGTATCTTGCGGGAAGTCTAATCCAAAAAAAGGACTTCTTCGGTCTCCTTGCATATGCGAGAGCCCCTCAGACGGCCAACAGCTTCAACCGCCCAGTGTCTGGCTCAGGCTCGGCAAAAATACCTAAATTTCCGGTATCGATAGGTATCGATGCCAGAATCGTAAGGTATCGATAGTATCGATAGTAGTATCGATTCCCTGAACCTAATTTTCCCCTTTAATCACAATTAACTTTCGAACTACTTCTCTTATAAGAAAATTTTTGGTAGCGCAAATATTCTCCTTAATTTAGGCTTTCTATCTAGCTACTTATCTTATACTTTAGGCTAAAACTAATCTCAATGCGGCCATTTTAAGTAAAAATGAGCTTTTGAGATTTTCGTGAGGCTCGCTTATATATTTAGTGCCTTGATAAGAAATACGAATACGGGGCTTAATTCTCCGAATACGAGAGGTATTTTAAATTTAAGATATTATTAAATTTTATTAATAATAGTAAATAAATTTTTTAATAGAAAGACTAGAAATTAAAGGAATTATATATAAATATATTCTTATATAAATAAAATAATAAAATAGAGAGATAATTTTTAGGGGTAAGAATTGATAAGGTATCGATACGTATCGATTCTTACGATACCTGAAAAATACCTAATACTATCGATACCGGTATCGATGCCTCAGGTATTTTTGCCGAGCCTGGTCTGGCTTTACATTCTAGCACCGCCCTTTGCAGCTGGATCGGTTTCTTCTTCGTCCTTTATCTAGTGACAAGTGTGCTTTTGCTTTGTAAGAGTAGAGCCTCTGAAGGCTACACATGCGAGGGCTGGGACCCGACACAAATGGACCACCATTATAGTGGCCTTAGATACTGAAAGTGCCATGTTGTCTGGATCAAGCGAAGTCAATGCCCCACCCATTGCAATCAAAGAACTGGGGTTTTCTTCAAAACCCACTTCTCCGATATAGAGTGGTCAGACAGCATGTGTCCCGAGAGCAACCCTTAGAAGGAGACCAAGACCTGGGAAAGGACGGGAAATTGTTCCTGGCATTTGATATGGAATTGGCCTTTCGCTTTCCATCAAATATCCCGGGTATTCTCAGGGAGTTTGCGGGATCCCCGTGCCTTGCACCGCGTTCTTGGAGGCTTACGAAGAGTGCTGATTCGAGATTAGATAGAAAGCGTCAACCGACAGGAGAAGAAGTCCCAAGAATGGCAGGACTTCGCACAGAAGCGAATATTGCCCCGGCTCCAAACGAAAAGCTATTGCACGAATTCACTCTGTCTGTAGCGGAAAGTCTGGACAGGCTCCAAGCGCGTGTTGTGGGACAGAACCATGCCCCACTGCTCAACAAGTACCCAGTACCACTCAATGCTGGACATTTAATATTAATTCTGGTCCTGGTGGAGCAGCTGATCAAAAATTGCTCTTCAAGAAATGGAAAAGAGAAGATTTGCATGAAAAAAATTTGCTCAAGAAGGCCAAAGGACTCCGAACTTTCACCTGCAGCGCCCAGTTCCTGATTGCCAAGCAGCCATTGGACCCGGAAGTTGACTGCACGTTCAACATCAATCTGATTTTCCCAGAAGTACCCATCCCAAACATTCCACCTTTCTGCTAGGCTCTTGGATCCGACTTGCCCAAGAAAAAAGGTCGAGAGGAGTTCGCGAGGTACAGCAAGCGCCAAATGGTTCTTATATCAGGCATTCAACCGCATCACAACTGACGCCAAGGGGTTCAGCGTTTATTTCGGAAGTTGACTCGGGACTTGCTGAGCTATCCGGTGTTGGATCTTTACAAAGGAAAGCAAATGTGGATATCTTCTGGGAAGGATATTCGAACGTCAGCCTCGTCAGGTGGCTGGAGACCCATTTGGCCATCCGACGACGCTTCCGAAACCCCTCCCCCCCCTCTAGTCTTGCCGCCCAAGAATGCGATTTAAATGTTGTGCAGTTGGATCGGTGCAGGCTGCAGCAAATCACAACCGCTACGTTAAGACCGCAATGATAGAAGAAGCTTGGCGGGCTGAGGTCAATGAGGCTAATCACATCGACACCTTGTTAGAGACTGAAGAGGATACGAAGGAGCTGGTCTGTAACTGTGGTGAAGGCGATGGTCAGTATCGTCAGTACTTTATGGTGGCTGTCGCAGTCTTCACCGATGCAGCACGGCGGGAAAGGAAAGTACATTCATATTTCTCCTTCTCCCGGGCTTGAGGATTAATATATGTTGAGGAGACCATTTTTAGTCCTGGGGCTACCATTGTGAGCAATTCATCGCCATTGAGTTTTTTTCAATGTCGCAAGAAACATTGGTACATTGATCTCTTCAATCAATCCAAGTTTGTGCTAATTCTTGACCTTGAAGACTATGGGTGTTCCGCAACCTTTCAGATCGTCGAGGCAAGATTCTTCAGCGAGTTGAGACGGTATCCCTGATGTTGATCTCTACCGCTAACCACGAGATTGAAGTTTGGGAGGGATGTCAAGAATGAAATCTTTGCCGAGATTCTTAGCGCGTGGAAGTCTAGTCTACCATCTACTACCGAGACCCTAGAGTCACTCGTCACTGCTAAAATGGTCGAAAACCCAGAGCCCACTTACTGTGAAAGTCACTATCGTGGTGCTCTGGGTAACAACAGCATAGGCCCTGATGAAATCAAGAGGATTGAGAAATTCATTAAGCTGGCTAAAGAGGCTACGGGAAACTCTCTACACAGAGCGAACAAAAGTCCCGTTTCCATTTTACGGTCCTGCACCTAGGGGCTGGAGCTGGGACCTGCTGAATGTTTAGACGAGACTGACAAAATAGACTCAATGACGATTCTAATGAGGAATCCACATAGATATGGCCGACAATTACATTTTCTTGATATTTTCGTATCTTAAGGAAAACACACAACTATTGGCTCTCCTAGGCCCTCTCTACTCTAGTTATAAAAATAAAAATAATACAAATTAAAGAGTTAAAATATACTTGCATAGTAGCTCAATAACGGCAGTGTGCCCCCTTTTAGTAGCGTACGAGAGCGGTGTCTGGCCATGTTTACCCTTCAAGTCGGCCTCGACCTTGCCAGTTGCAAGTAGTAGCTCGACAATAGCCGTATATCCCTTCTCAGCAGCCCACGAGAGCGGTGTCCGCTTCCATTTATCCTTTGAGTCAGCCTCGACCTTGCCAGTCGCAAGTAGTAGCTCGACAATAGCCGTGTCTCCCTTTATAGCAGCCCACGAGAGCGGTGTCTGACCATCTATATCCTTCGAGTCGGCCTCGCCCTTACCAGTTGCGAGTAGTAGCTTAATAACGGCTATATGCCCCTCCTGAGCAGCCCACGAGAGCGGCGTCCGACCGTCGTTGTCCATTGGGTCGGGTTTAATGTCTATTCCGTTCAAAGTCCCTAAAGCAGCCGACAGGAGATCGACTATTCCGTATCTAGCGGCAATATGTAGAAGAGTCGTTTTCTGACATGGACAGACAGGAGAGTATTCATCGAGGGTATTGTATATATCAACCCATTGTCCTAGAAGATCTTCCGAAGGCCAATAAAAGTAATTCAATAAATCGACTTGGGGGATCCTCTTCGCATATGCTTGTTCTGCATGTGGCAGCCATGACGTTGTGGCATATTCTAGAAAAGCAAGCTCGGATTCGGCTGCTTCGTTCCAGTCTATACTCTTCTGCCAAGCTATCTCTTCCATATCAATGTAGCGGATACAAGACCGGGACAGGCTGTTATGTGCTAAACCTATGGCTAAATCTAGCGATTCCCAGCGCTCTCTAAAAAGTATTTGGAGACCGTCGTCGAACAGAAAGTCGTTGACTGACTGGTGGATGAACTGAACCACTGGGATATCGTCGTGCAGTTGGATTTCTGCTAAGCCGCGCGATATAGACTTCACCCTTTTCTCCATTTCGTCATTGTTTTCTGCCAGGATTCCTTCATCTTCACATTGTCGTAGAGAAGTGTATGATAAATGAGGGTCGGGGTCGATAGCGGTGGCGAAGCGTAATTCATCCAAGGAGAGGGGTCGTATAGCGAAGAGGATCCACTGGATAAGGTTTAGCACTTCAGGTATGTCTTCTTTGCTTATGCTTTCCAAGATTTCTCGGTAGAAATTGTTGAGGTCCGGAGGAATGCGCAGAATTTCTTCCTTGATCATCTTCTCTTTCTTGCCGTTTCTCCTCATATGTTCGACGCGATCAACAACGAGACGGGCCCATTGAAAGCTATTCGAGGCTCGCTGTATGATAGTTTCCACTATCTGGTGCTTTTCGTCTTGTAGTTGGCTTTGGATATACGTCCTGATGTCCTCGGAATTTTCATGGTCGACGCAGATCTCTAGTCCCCCTTTGAAATTGATAATAGGATAGCGACGACAGCTAAAACATATGCTGAAGACTGAACCAGACGTATTTGGGTACCGCTGTATAAGATTTTGAAATTCTTTCACCAGTTCAACCGCCGCGGTTTCGCCACTTTCGTCAAGCGCATCCACAAAGATTCGGATCGAGTAATATTCCAAGATTTTGGGAATTGACGACCGGAGGAAAGCTCGTAATTCTACTTCGTGCCAGTCCCATTTCTCGCCCGGTTTCCCTTTCACTTCGCAATTTTTCCTAAAATCGGTGACGAGATCTGACAATTCACTGGGAACGTGGGCCAAAATCTGATGGAGAATCGACCGATAGAAGCCAAGGGGGGTATGTTGGAGTGTGGAGCCTCGGCCATGGAAAAAGAATGAGAGTATAACTAGCTTGCTTTGGACTGCAGGCTTGTTATGGCTCATTTTTTGGAGGACATACTTCATTATTGTCGATTTTCCGGTCCCTGGATTGCCCTTGATCCAGAGCAATCCCCTATTCTGGAGAGTCCATTGTCTGAATTTGCTATGTTGCAGTAACCATTCACATGTTGTCTCCGTTGCAAGGACTATTTCATGTTGACGTGCTTCCATCTCTTTAAAGTATAGGTACTTCAAGCAATCTATGCGCCATAGTTAGCACTTCTAGCTTGGTACGGTGGTCCCTTTGATAACTTTACCCGCTTGGTCTGTTGTCTTCATTTCTTGATGAGAACCTAGAGAGTTTTAGCTCAGAACTTGATTGCTGTTCTTCATAGGGCATTATCTTACCTTTCCATTCGGGGCTTACTCCACAGACAGCTAGAGTGCCGGTACTCTGGCTATGTTTGGCTCGCTCTGAAGCGTCTAACAACATATAGATATTTATTAGTTTTGGCTATTTACATGCTAACCAAACACGAAATCCACGCGGGTAACTCGAATCTACCCTCAGGTAGGAGCATACTCACCAAGCAACCCTTTGATTCGGCTTTTGAGAGCAAGGTAATTGCGGTCGTCCTCATTTGAGAAGCGACACATAGTGCGGTGATCACAACCGTCCATAGGTATAATAATCTCCCCAGGGAAATCCAATATTCCTGTGTGCCTATCGACAATCTGGTTAGGGTTAGAGAAGAAATTTTCTTGCTAGGCAATCAAGGAAGGTTACCAGTTTTGAAAGAGGGGTTGTGGTGTTTTGCTCGATACACGAGAAAATCTTGATATCTTTCGCTTGATTTCGAAACTCCGTTGAGATTGTCTTTAGGGTCTCGGAGTTTCGCTCTAGGTTCTGTAGTAGATCCTTCCGGGTAGAACCTGTAAGACCAGAACTTACACAGAGGCCAACGCAGTGTGGGAAATGAGTAGAGTAGAGTAGAGTAGTGGGCCCTACTCATATTCTACTCAAATAAATTTCTCACTACTCATACTCTACTCAATACTCTACTCAACTACTCTAGAATATTTTAGAGTAGTTGAGTAGTACGCACGTGACGTTACACGTGACGTTACACGTGACACGCTAGCCTAATTGGGTAAGGCTCCGGGGTGGCCCGAATCTAGCGCCACTACACTGCCCAATCAAGTAGTGGCAAGGCTTGGTAAGCAAGGTAGAACCATCATATATTCTTAGGCTTCCTCGGCTATTAAGGGCAAACTCTTCTCTCAAGGTACTCTTATTATATCTAAATTACATAATAGACTTAATAAGAGTACTATTAAGATAATATCTTGCTTAAAAAGCTGGGGGTTATTTAAAGACGAATTAGAAGAAGTAAAAAAAGAAGGAAAAAAGAAGGAAAAGAAAGATTCCGAGAAGGGAAATCTGTTTTTTATAGAAAAAAAGTAGTATTTAAATAGCCTTATATAAGCTCTAGTTTAAATTATATACTGCTACTTAATGGGTATCTTATTTATTTATTAATAATTAAATAAATACTGATTTACTATATTCACGTGACTACTCTTGAGTTACTCTAGAGTAGTACTCTACTCTACTCTACTCAAGTACTATATTACGCTACTCAAACTCTACTCTACTCTACTCAAGACTACTCTAGAGTAGCTTGAGTAGCTTGAGTAGTTTTTGCCCACACTGGGCCAACGGCAGAAATGTTTGCCAATAACTGCGGCCATCTAATTGCGTCAGCACCGCGATGAGGTGTGCCCAAGAAAAATATTCCCCTAATCGAAGTTCGGAGGAAAGGAAATTCATCTTCGTCCTCGAGCCGGGCAATGGTAAGAGCCTATAGAATTAAGTGAGTAGCCTTCTATATAATCATATAGGCTAGTAATACCTTCTTAAGCACGATACCCCCCATACTATGGCATATGAATATCAAAGGTCGAGATTGTTGCTATTTCAAACACGTCAGTTATTTCCAACTATTAGTTAGGGAGAGGGGGGGTTAAAGTTTGCGGCTGGAATCCTACAACTGAGAGGCTTATAAATCTTAAGATGAGAATATATTTGGTAAACAAATTGAGACGGTAAATAAATAACAGCACAAACCTTTCCGTCTCTTTCCAATTTTATGTTGTTCAGTAGTGACCGTGCAAAAGTATCAATCGTCGCTAGAGACTTTGTGAGGGCCACTTCGGCATCATAACCAAACGAAAACACCCGGACGCCATTGATGTCCTTTGGGAGGAAGTCGCGTAACCAAAGAGCCCCGCTTTCGTGCGTCCATGTTTTCAGTGGATCTCCGCATATTCCGTGTATTGCGACAATGTCTGGGGACCGTTCATCAATTTGGGCAGAGGGCAAAACCGGCGTCAAGAGCATAAGGCCCAACTTCTGTCGTTCAGACGCATTTGGAGGTAGATGGTCGTTAGGACCAGCCCGTGCAGGGTTGTTCGCGCTGGAATCACAAGGTGGAGCGATGGGGCCCGGACTGGTTGAATAACTAGGTATAGTCGCGCGATCCCTCGATGTCTCCGAAGATCGAAAAAGATCCTTCATGCGGAAGCCCTTCTTTGACCCCTTCTTCTTTGAAGTATTGGATGCCATGGCGAAGCTTAGGCTGGCTTGGGTCGAGATAGTGCGAAATGAGTTCTGTGAGGAGAGCCTGTGATCGTGAAGGTTGTGAGTTGGCATTTTATGCCTGGAGGCACTGGCTCTCGTAACGAGCCTGATCGCATAAGTCTGTGCTTTTAGGGCATTTCGCTAACGATTGTTCACTGAAGAGAACTTTGACAATTCCAACTTTTTTCATAATTGCTTAGGATAAGGTTTCTAAACCCGATTTAACTTCTTTTATCTTATGCGCTCGAGTTTAAAGAAAATAGGGTTAGTAGTTCTTAAATAAATACAAGGTAAAGTCATCGACTTTGATTTCGCGAGGCCTGGAAACATCGCTAAAAGCACAGACTTATGCGATCAGGCTCGTAATGTCGGCGTTGCGGAGCCCTGTTTATGGAAAGCCGTAAAGATAAACTTGTGCCAGCGCAACTCCGCACGTGCATGCTTCACCCTCAAAGCCTCTCCCATCCAACATTGGGCGAAACAGTGCGTGCCAGGCGTGGCGCATCCTGATAGACACCGTTCACAATCCTAAATCGTGTTAATACAACTCTGGCAGAGATGTTAATTAGAGATAATGACTGGCAGCCTGCACTGCAAAAAAAAAAAGAGGGACGTCTACACGGACAGCCTAGGCAAAGCCTATTCTGACCCACTGTGGGCCTCGCTTAGGGCATTCTGCCATGACCCACTGAAACGCAGAGAGCTCTGGGTATCGATACCTGAAGCTATGGCCTCTCGCAGCCCGTGTATCCCCCACGCACGTGGGTTTAAAAGCACAAGGGAGGGCGGTCGCGACTTCTAAATATATACATATGCACGTTAAAGCTTAGGCTTCTAGACTAAATTAAGAGCCTATCTCTTAACTTTTAGGTCTTAAATGATTAAAGCGAGCCCGTAAATATACGCTTATAAAATAGATGCATTTATAGAATAACTTAATTCGAGTCCTTATCGTATTAAAGAGTTACGAGGTTACTTTTCTATAAGGCGAGGACGTTGAGAGAAAAAAATGTTCTCGCACAGCTCGTTAAGCGAGGCCCTTACGAGGGGTTAGCGGGATAGAACAGGCTATGCCTTGGCTATCCGCACAGGGGTTGGTAGGTGTTGCCGGCGTGCCCCCTTTACCCATGTGATCAAGTCTCAAATATGTTTCTTCTGTTGTCCAAGTATAGGATTAAACCAGCAGCCCACCATTACAATCGGAGTCTTTTAAAGGTTCGCAAGTTTAGGTACGAAAGGGGGTCTCAAGAAGTCAAGAACCACCCCCTAGTTTTGCCATCGCTATTCGAGGGAAATTATGGGGCAATGGCCAATATCCTATATTTTTGGTTGGCCTGAGCGGCTCACCGCCTTGCAAGGGTGGCTCTTGACTTCCTGAGACCCCCTTTCGTACGTCACGTCATTACCGGGTTGAGTGGGGACCAGTTTGTCGTTCTCCATTCGCAAAAGTTAAATCTAATACCGTAGGTGACCTCGACAATATTCAGAAATTCTTCTATTAGTACACGAAGAGAAGTAAAGACAAACTTGTCTAAAGGCCAGCAGCGATCGCAACACTTTTTAAAAAGTTTGGGGGTTCGGATGCCGCGCTTGAGTAAACACGTTAATTGACTATAGAAGAAAAATCATGACCGTAAACATAGTTCATTCCTCCTCAGTTGAGTTGCAATGAATCAAACGCATCGTTCCTCCGCTCTTCGATAAAGGCCCTCTTCGCCTCGTCCTGATTCTTGTGTGTAGAATTAATGTAGTCCTTGAAGAGCTTCGACATTTTCACCACCCTTTTCAAGTGATCCGCCTGGAGCACGACCTGCACCTTCCCCTCCTTCCGAGCCTGATATTGGGCCAGCGCAACTGCGGTTTGGAACGCGTTGCGAATCTCTCTGCCATTCCATTCAACAGCTCGGACATCGGGGTCTGTTGTGACATAGATAATCGCACCCGGAGCAATTGATATGGAATCTTTGCTCAGTCGATTGAAATTCTTTTCCCATATCTTGGCTCTATAATCGTCGTTGAGCTTCTTGTAGTGAAGCGCAACGTGGATTCGGGAAATGAAGGCGTCATCGAAGGACCCGACACGGTTGGTGGTGAGAAAAAGTATGCCTCGGAAGTACTCGAGGGACCGAAGAAACACTTTGATTTCTAGTTAGCCACCGCCGTGATATAGATGTTGGAGTATATACCAGATACAAGACTATTTCGTTCGAGGTTCTCTGAAGTCCTCTGCTCGAGGTAGATATCTGCTTCGTCCATTAAAACCACTGCTCCCCAACGTTCCCCCAATTCAAAGAAGAGGTTGAAATTCTTTTCAACCTCACTCGCTGTTACTCCCATATCCCCGCATGTGAGTGGCAGGAGCGGCCGTTTGATGAGGTCCGCCACACATTCTACGAAAGTTAACTCAATCAAATTGGTCTCAAGAGTCTTACCAGCAGTGCACCTAAATTTAGTTAGCGCAAAGAAGATGAAGAGATTGAAGTCAGACCCACGTCTTTCCAACACCTGGAGAGCCATGCAGTAAGAAGATCCGCCCTTCTCCTTTATCTCTCACAAAGTCTTTGCTCCATGACTCTACTTTCGAGTCTCTCTGAGCGTAGTTACAAACGAGAGCCTCGATTGTATCCTTGATTTCATCCTCGAGGACGAGGTTTGAGAATGGATCAGGATCGATTTTGGGCTCAGATACTTGATCGATATGCAAATCAACTGTGACAATCAGTGACTGCTGAAAGTGAGGAGGGGACTATTGATATCGTGTGTACCCCATTTCCTCTCATTCAAAGCATATCCGCGAATTACCGGAGAACAGAGGAGGTAGAAGTCATCGTTCAATATTTCGTTCGAACCATCTCCACCAGCGTACCGAAAGTCCCTTATCGGGAGGACGGGCTCCGATTTATCTAAGATCTGGTCGCAAAGAGCGCATTCGCACCCGTAACCCAGGTATTTGTAGAAGTCAGGTGTCACTGAAAATGTTCTGAGGGCAGAATTTCTCGAGCTCATGTATAATTCTCTCCTGCCGCTATGATCTAGCCAAGAATTTGGATCTACCATGATTTTGCCGTTAATCTATAAGCGTTAGCGAAGCGCCGATCCTACAGAGATCGAAAGGCACACTTCAATAGAAGCAGTTCCGAAGAAATTTGGAAGTATGCTTCCCGCATGTTCCATATATGAAGGGTCGAAAAGGCTCACGAACTTCATCCCTCTGGCAATGAATTTTTCCCTTGCCTGGGAATAATTTGGCAAGAAGGCTCGTGGACATATTCTCAAGAATGATATTTCCTTTTCACCTTCGAAGGACTGTACAGATTGAAGTTCTTCGTGTGGTGCTAATTGAAAGGACAACGTATCAATGCGCCAGATCAGGAAATTGGAAACCTTGGGCGATTGTTGCATTTTGAAAAGTCTGTAGGGGTAACGCTCCGCACTATCTTCTTCTTCTCCTTCTTTTTTGGGAACCCGAACAAATATTTCATCCCCTGGCCGAAAAAGGAGCCAGAGAAATTCATACGTTGCAACAGGCGGTTGTTGCAGATGACGTTCGCGTTCCAGACGCAGTTCTTGTCCAAGCCTCTGGTCCAGAAATCCAAGCAGAACATCGATATGAGAGTTTGTGATGAAAATGAAATCCTCATCATGGCCCTGGGGGTGATTCGTCGTATAGTCTTCAAGCTCTTTCATGTAGTGAACTAATGGCTTAAAGGGTTCAGGAATTGTGACCGGCACACCAGAAAAATTCAGACCGGGATAGTACCTTATCACTTGTCTTAAGGCATTGATAAGGTGTAGAGAGTGGATTTTGAGGACAGTATATGGTGGATCTCTGCGGTCTATGCGACCAAGGGTCGTGGTGACATCCTGGGTAGTGAGAACTTCAAGCACTGTTTGATCGGTCAGGTTTGTAGCTTTGTCATCAACCTTGACAATGATGGGGTCCGCGCTTTCTTGCTTTTCGATTATATCGCCTTTATCGTCTCTGACAAGAAATCGATAGAGTATCTTCGTAGGTGTATTTGGGCTCTCAGTCTCTTGAATATGGCCAGATTCTTGAGACTGGGCTACATCGTCACCGCACTGTTTAGCCGCCTCCGTGTTGTCAGGCGGTGGCTATATTGGAATCAGAAAGCACTCATTTCTTGTAGATTGTATACTTGCAGGTTCACCAATCACTTGCCCATGGAAATCTCTGTCTACAGGAGATTGTAGGGTCGCCATCGTCGAAGAAAAAGTGTTCTGTTTCCGCCCTGTGGTAGATTTGAAAAGAGAAGGTTGTGTTATGTTCCCAGCCTTGTCGCAGATTTGCCCGGAAAAGGTCGCCGCTATTTACGATGAGAACCAGGGCCGCGGAGGCTTGAGGCTGAAACCAGAGGGACGGGTCTCATTGGCTTATCACCTGCAAGGCGGGCGTAAAATGCAGAAACAACTCACGCACACTTCGGTACGTCAACCACTAATATCCTCAAACGTTTGTTGGATTAGGCAGACGTACGCTTCAGCTCAGCTCCGATCCCGATCCGTGATCATAAACCAAAAGGAATCCGTCCATATTTATGTCTTTCACGCCAAATAATCACGATGGAACTTCAACAACAAGACGAGAATGCGGAAGCAGCATCCTTAGTCAGTAGTTTCAGTCTAAATGTAGCTGCTCAACACCAAGATGATGTTATCGCAACTGCTCTTTATGGCCAGGAACTTGCCCAACGACGGCAGAGAGTGAATCAGGTCCTCGGAGAAAGGCAGTGGAAGGAATTCTATGAGAATACTGGAACTGGGCGGTATGTTACTTGAAGCACGGCGAAGGTTGCTTAAGTCTGACAGATCAGAACTCCGGCCGAGACTGAGCTCATTGTGGAACGCAATTTGTTGGACCAGGCATGGAAAGACTTTGTGCCTGATCCCCTGGACAAGAAAAATGCTGGCATAGCGAAGCTCGCACCGTCCAGCAGTATGGTATCGATTAAGGACCTAATGAGTGTTGTCATAAGTGTAAGAGATCAGCAAAAGGGTCCTGGTCGAGCACATCGATACCTGAGTAAATTTCTAGAGACCTTGGACGGTCATTCGAAGATGCTAGGTACACTTCCAGACCAAAATCTTTACGGATCGATCTTCTGCGGGGCTCTGAAGACCCTGATCAGTGTTAGTATCCATTCTCCATTTCATAATCAAGCGGAAAACTGACGGATCCAGGCGTCTGCAAATCACAGAAAGATACTTGAAGCTCTGTCAAAAGACCTTGTTGATATTGGAGAAGTGGTTGAGCTTTGCGTACTGCAAGTCCAACTGTTCTGTACCACAGAAATGCAGGGACTTATCCGGAGCCTCTATGCTTCCATTTTCAGCTTTTTGCGAAAAGCCTTAGGCTGGTATGAAGACAAGAGGAGAAACCGACTGCTACACAGCTTCAATGAGAACTTCTACAACGTGTTTTCTGACTCAATCGACGAAATTCGCCGAATAGGAAGGTTAATACGCACAAAAGGAATGATCGCGAATCACGCAGAAACTCGAGATGTGCGTGTAATGATCGAAAAGATGGCGAACGAGCACAATGAAGTCTCGGCTGATGCTCATTACTGGAAACTTCGTCTTCAGAAAATAGAAGAGAAGTGTGATATGCTTCTTAGCTTGGATTATAGACGTCAAATTGGATCTCACATGGCAGATCTTCTGGTCCTTGAAGGCCAACAAATCGCACCGTTGGCTTTGATGTTTAATGCCACCCGGACGGGAATCCCCAGTGAATATAGTAAGTTTCTGAGCTCTTGGGCCCCAAAATTGATTAACCTAAGAGCTAGTGCAGTGGAGTCAAACGAGGACTTCCACACGGCTCGATGATTCATCTTTGGCGGGAAGTGTGGGCACAGCTAGAATCGTCCCCAAACACATTCGGTCTGGTAAGAATGGTTCAAGTTTCTGAGGTAGCATAATCTAACGTAATTATAGATCAGTCTATGGGAATTTACCAAAAGGATCAATTGGAAAGGGATTCTCGCACTCTTGAAGAGTTCATCTATCTCCAGCTTGACCCCCTTGAAGTCTGCCAGGGGAGTCAAATTTTTGCGGAACACCAAGTCGTGCATGCAATAAAGGAGTGGAGTACTTCCATCACCTCCCAAATACTCTGGATCTTGGGTCCTCTGGACCGCCACTACCCTTCCAACCTCTCGTCCATCGCCGCGGCTCTCATCAATGCTGCGGATGAAGCCGCAATCCCAATACTGCACCTATTTCTCGATTGGCCTTCAGATGAGCAACTCCCCATCTTCAACTTGCTCTACTCCCTCATACGCCAAATAATCAGTCTCCTCCCTGAGCAATTCGTTAGTCCCGTTGACTTCAGTCCCGAAAAATTTGAGAAACTTAACAGTCAGATGGAATCCTGGGAGGCGGGTCTGGCGGTCTTGAGTGGCCTTTTAGACCTTGCTCCTCCGCTTTTACTTATTATCATCGATGGAATTGATCATTTAGACTACCTTTCGGTTGGGTCACGCGAGGTAGGCAACCTTCTGCGATTACTCCAGCGACATGTTTGGGATGATGAAGACCAAGAACCAAAGAAGACATTAAAGATACTCTTCACAACAGCGGGGAATTGTGCTGCTTTGAATTGGCTCGATGAGCGGAGCTCGGCGATTATTCGAATGACAGAAAGCAAACCTCGGCAGTTGGGCAAATCCAGAGCGGGAAGATCTGAGGTCGCTCTGTGAAGAGATTAATCCTCAGTGGGAGAGTCGTAGTTTTGGTTTGTTTAGAAATGCGCGTGGATGACATCCTTAGTTTTTAGTATATCCTGAAATCGGCAAGTGAGTTGGAGAATCCGTGTTTGTGCAATATGTTTGCACACGAACAAAAGGCGCCAGCCTGTTGTGCCCATCCACACCGTGACCTGGTTTTCCATTTTTCGAGCTCCTTGTCTCCACCAACGGTCACCTTCGCTTTTGCCCTTCCATACAACTTCTGCTTGTTGTTGAACCTAGTGGCGAGCTCGAAGTATGGCGATGGCCCAGGCGCTATGAAAAATGCCATTCCCGGCCCATTTGTGTGCCCCCACTGCTTGGGTTCTTAATCGTTAATGCTGTTCGAGCCTTGCCCTCACTCTGTATTCTTAGTGAATTCCACCATAACTTTTATGTTCTTGCCTGCGTTTCAACCTGCGTCTCATAATCATTTTCCTCTTGATTTGAATGTACTGCCACTTTCTACTGAACCTTCCAAACTCACGTTGGCCTCTTCTTTCAGACAATGCTGTTTGACCGTTGTCAGCTTTATCGACTCAGCAAACTTGACACACACAATTTATGGTCCTTAACGGTGGTCTTGCCTAACAGCTCACGAAGTCGAGAATTAACCTACATCCCGGGCTCCACCCAGACGACCAGATTCTCCAGCAACGAATTTGAAAGCAAAAACAGATTCTACGGAGAAGCAAATCGTGTGACCTCCTTAGATCCCAAGCACTTAACGACATGGCCCAACATTGAATAGAACCCCGGATCCTATACAGCGGGTGCGCCCCCTCTTCTATATACCAAGCTCAAGTGTCCTCAGCCTCGGGCCCGGTAACTAATGACGAACGCTATCCAAAATCAAAATGCAGTACCTGAGAGGAGATTCAAGATGCGAGACGTGAAACATTCTGCTTAGTTGTAGTCTTCCATTTGTTTTTATGGCTTGAAACTGCTTTCTACTACCCCAAAGTGCATTCATGGTCCCAGAATTAAGCTCAATTTGGCTCTGATTTCTAGGGATCAAACTCCAGAAGCGTATTTGATATCAATTCCCTCTAACCTCACCTCGACAAATCTCTTGTGGCTTTGTTCACCGTTTCGTTGTGCCATTCCCCTCTCGTTTGATTCGCGTGCTCCAACACTGGCGAGAAGGTGCAGCTTTTCTACAACACGGTGTCCGACGTCCTCGACATGATCTTGTGCCTTCGCTTCTCTAGCTTGCATCAACTTTCGAAGTGCCTCGCCACTTGTCAGGAAGTCCGACTCCCGGATGCCTTCCCAATATGTATTGACATGGACGGAATAAATCGTTCTAGATGATTTAAATCATCTGTAAACGGCTTGCCAGTATTCTATAGCAATAATTGATGTCTGATATGATCATCCAGCGAACTTCAAAGGCCAGATTTAGAACGATTCGATTGGGATCACCGTGACCAGGACCGCGAAGGCTCTCTAGAAAGAACACATTGTGTGCCTAGCTCGCACCAAACGGACGTTGCCACGACGCCCGTCATCTACGTCCCCGTTCCGGCAACTCGGTGTGCCTGGTTGTTAGTGAGGAAGCCTCAGATTTCGAACGTTGGGGTGTATAGGAATTCGCTCGGGGCAGCGGTCACCGTTCTGATTATCATGACTTCGCGATCTCTTCTATAGTAATCCGTTCTATAGCCTTGAATCGAGTTCAATTGATTCAACCTCGTAATCACCGAGGGATTTGAGTTCTCACTCATTTGGCCTGGGTCCGCGGTAGCATCGCAGAGGAGACTCCGGCCAGCCAGATCGCCGTTCCGGCTCCAGAGCTGTGAGTAAACGTCGTTTCATCACGAGAGGAACTGTGGTGAAACAAAAATCTAAAGGCAAGTTATCCTCACAGAGAAATCCTCAGTGTAATTGTGCGCATTCTGACTATAATTAATAAGACTGTAATGTTCCTAAAGTCAGCCATGAAGTCTGTTTCTTGTTTCTCGGATTCCCAATTGTAGGCCAACTTATAAGGTCAGCGTTGCTCGGGAGCGGGTTCCGGTAGGGCAACAAGCGGTCCTGATGACTGCTTGAGAAACTGCCTAAGTAGAATACATCTTATTCTACTTCAAGGAAAGGCATAGCTTCTAGAATATTCTAGACTCATATTTAGAAACGCCTACGCAATGTCGTTCGTCGCTGTGGCCATGTCATTCGTCTTCTGCAAAAGTTCAGTTGCTCTTCTTGTCTCACCAGCTGCCTTGACAGCTTGATTAGTCTCCTGGCTCAATGTGGCAACCTGCTGCGGCGTAATTGCATTCTGCTGGACTCTTAACCCTAAGTACAGGTACTCCTGCCGCCACCACAAAGTCTAAACGAGGTGGCCTTAAAGCCCAAACCTATTACTTGAATTTCTTTATTTTCTAAAGAAATTTGGCATCGCTCTCTCCACAAGGATACTTTACCTCCACTTCGCTGATTAACTTCTCATGTACCTCACTGCGTGGTGTTATCCTACACTTGGGCGGCACTGGGTGGCTGATAATCCCTGCTTTAAACTTGATTTCAGGCTCGATTTCAGCCCCCCTTTCGTCAACAGCTTTTTTGATGTCGAACACAGCTAGAGTCTGAGCAAACATAAGATAGATGTTTGAATCCGCTACCACACGGCCAGGGCAGACCCTTCTTCCGAAGCCCCAAACCACATCCCAGGGCGTTGGTTCATTGAATGGCGCTAGATAACGCTCTGGTTTAAACGTCATCGGATCGTGGTAGGTTTCGGGATTGTGTGTGAACCACCAGATAGACGGTATGATTAGTGACCCTTTGGGGATGAAGTACCCGTTGTACGTATCATCCTGATCTGCCATGTGAGGAAGTCCCATAGGCGCAATGGGATGCCATCGTAAAGCCTCTTTGACAATTGCATCCACATATGGTAGGTTTTCCCTGTCACTGAAAGTTGGTAGTCTTGACGATCCTACTACCCGATCAATCTCTTCCTGTGCTTTGCGTTGAACTTCAGGAGTTATGCTCATTGCGAGAAAGAAGGAGGTCATGGTTGAGACACTTGTGTCTGCACCGCCTGTGTACAGTGATGCAGCACTCCATTTGATCGCATGCTCTTCTTCCGGTCCAAGAGTCGGTAGATTCTGCTCGATGAGTTTTGACACGTAAGAATCTTCGTTCGAGTGATCCGACATTCGCTGCTTGACATATATGTACGGGTTGTTGACCACATCCGTCAGTGTTTTCCTCCACAACCGAGCGGTGCGCTTGAATCCAACTCCGGGCAACCAGTCCGGAAGATATCGCAAAATGGGAAGAATATCCACCATCCATACCCCTGGCACTACCGCCGCCGAAAATTGCTCTAGAGCTTCATCAACAACTTTGACAAGTGGATCTTCTTTGTGTTGCTCGATGTTATAGCCGTAAGTTATCTTAAGGATCGTTGCCCCAGCTTCTCTGTACTATGTATTAGCCCATATATCCGCGCAGTCTCTAATGAATCCGTTTTCCTCACGTTTTGAGATGTGCGATCATTTCATCCGGTGTACGATTCATCCGCGAAAGAAACCGGCCCACCTCGGCCTCTTGTATCGCAGAGAACCGTGATACTGCTGCCTTCGTGCCAATCTCTTGGTGAGCATACTTGCGATAGAGCCTGTGTCTGCTGTTGTTTGGTTGGCTTGATAGCGTTTCTAACCACCCACACCTAAAGAATGTTATCAGTGAGCTTCCGGCGCTTTTCTGTGAAGTAGAGACAGCTTACATCTCAAAGGCAAACACCATCCTCGGCCTCCCTGAGTGTATTGTGGAACGTTTCTCCATCAAGTCATGCGCTATATTCTTGTCGTGAAGGATGATGATTACCTGACCGAGAACTGTCACCGAGCTTATCGGACCATATAGATCTTTATGCTTCAGCCAATGTTGATACTCCGGCATCCCCGTCGGCGGCATATCCGTGATGTTTCCAATAAGCGGAAGCCCTTTAGGCCCTGGCGGAAGCGGTGCGACATTCTTCTTTTTATCGAAGAGCGCCCTTTTGATCATATACAAAGCAAGCAATAGAAGCGCAGCCTCCACTGAGACGACACGTGACATGGCGAAACCTAATTTTTGGAGACCCCGATAGCCTGAGTAGTCGTGCGAAACCGAACGTGATAAAGATTTGGGAGGTAGACCACGGGAAAGAGAGATATATGTACCGGGCGGGATTAGCCGTCAGCATTCACCCCACAAGGTTACAACGTCTCTGCCCGATTAAATGTAGCGAGACAGGGGGGGTCTAGCCAGAAAATCACCAGAATTGGTTTAAACACTCTTTCCCGCCCCCGGTCTCGCTACCTTTAATCGGGAAGAGACGCTGTAAGCTTTCTCTGGACTGTCTTATCAGGTTACCCTCCGTACACTCGACACCTGCAGGTGTCTCAGTCGGTCCGACTCAAAAGCAACGACCGCTGTGCAGTAGGCGAAACTCTACGGTCTGCTGCAAAATCACGATTTCACGACCCTCCGACCACGTGGCCAAATATTGTCTAAACTATATAAGTTCCTAGAATTATAAACTTGGGCTTGCTGTAATTAATTCAAACTATAGGGCTCTAATTCTAAGTAAGTAAGTACGGAGTTATTAAGAAAGGCGCGGGAACACGATTTTTAAGGCTCGCGTGCTGGGCAATCACTGAGAAGTTGCTTGCTGGGCGAGAAGCTAAGCTAATACCAATATCCCAGCATCGCACTTATTCGAGCTTCTTCTCACCGCTTGATATTTATATTTTTTTACTCTAAAAATCGCGCTTTCTTAAATAAGTTTTTAAGTACTCATCTAAAATAAGAGCCTTATTCAACTATAATAAACCTAAGTTTATAATTCTAGAAACTTATATAATTTAAATAATATTTAAAATTTTAATTAAAATTATATATAAAATTTAATTATAAATTCCTTAAAAGCTTACTTATTAATTATAGCTTTAATTCTTAAGAATATAAACCCTTTATAAGACTTAGATTATTAGAGCTTATAATTAATTAATATTATAGTCTTATTTTAATATAAGTTTTATTTCTTTTAGCTCTTAATACTACTTTTCGCTTAACGCGGAATTATATTTAAAATAGTTCTAAAATAAAAAAGAATAATTATATTTAGATTTAAAAAAAAAGGTTATTTGAGTTGGACCCACTATCCGTGCAGCTGCAGCCGATTGTGAACTAGTCCATGTGTTTAAGCGAGCTTTTGCAGCGAATCATATATTCTTCTTCTCGATCTAAGACTTCTGATTCGCTCTAATTTTGCGGTATTTGATCATAGAAGTGCGCACCTGGCCACAGCGGAGCAGATTGCTAAACGGCCAGGCATGAAACAGTGAACTCGTGTAAGCAAGGATCAGTTGTGCAGCCCTACATCGAATCCTAGTTCAGTGCGGCACATCCCGCAAGGCTGTGAGACGGCGAGGAAATCAACGAGGGCGACTAGACCACTAGACTCTGCAACAATTCCACCATTGTTCCGCCAGCTCTAATTGTGAGAGAGAAACAGAACTACCCCCTCCTTTGACCTCACGCCGACCAATTTGTCATGGTTATTGGCCTCTCGACGAGTGGTCGTTCCGGCGGGCTTGGAGCACCATAGCCATTTGCCAAGCCCAGGGAAGTACGTAGATCAGAGTAAGCATCCACTGCGCAGAGCCACAAACTCCAGGTCAACTCACAAGTCTAGCGAATCCCTTCAAGCCTGACCGTCGCCCTTCATACAACACGAGAAAGGATGCTGTTCAGATATTCCCAGAGACGAAGCAATTCGTCTCGCAAACGATACAGCAAGGGATCGAGGTGGCACATTCTCCGAGCAAGCTACAGTGACTGTCGCTTAGTTCTCGTGTTTTAAGCGAATTGCACCAAAAGTCAGTAAGAATACCAACTTATTATTCCACGAAAATATATTAGAACTAGATCTAAGAATTAAAACATAGGCTATTTTGAACAATTCCAATTGTTCTATCTCCTTGAAATTAAAATTAAAAGTAATGTAGGAAAGGTTTAATGAGGGTAAAGGTACGGGGTGGCGTAATTAAGCGAAAATAGGTGTAAAATCACAATTTAATACTATTCCTAGGATTTACTCCTGAATTAACCTATAAACTTAGCTTATAAGCGCTATATAAAGAGATAAAAATGTACGGAAGACTCGAATTAGTTAGGTGCTAATTGGGCGTTACGTGAAATTGATGCCTTTACCGTAAAACTGGGAAGTGAATCAGGTGACTTTTGCGGTAAAAACAGCAAAACACGAGAACTAAGCGACTAGTACTGTACCTTCGCTGCTGAAATGCTTCGAGTGTTGCTTCTGCCGCCCTCGCAGCATTCACAAGGCAATCAACCAGAACTGGGTGACTTCCGCCGTCGAAATAAAAATCATCCCGGAGTGGGCGTTAAAACTGTTGGGGCAAGGAGCTGGGTTTGAGTTGTTTGAATGGTGCGGGTACCGGCATACTTCTCCACGGCGCAGTTGAATACAGCATGGGTAGCAAGGCGTTGTTTGGCTAAGCTTCGTGCTGTCGTGTCACTTTTGGCTGGCATGGGTAAATTGGACAGGATCATGGGAGCGCGGCGCAGGTATACTGAGCTCAGAATATCCTGGGTGGGTAATGCATGATTTTGCACGCCCAACGTCTTGTATAATAACACGAATTCAGGGATAGTCCATCGAATTGGAACTTTGATACTTGGTTTATGGCTTTATCGCTCCAATTTCTCAGCCTACTTCGGATTCTTAGATTGAACTCCAGAGCAGATAATCCATCCAGCTTGATTCTGTTCAAAAATATAGTTCTTCAGGCTGATCAGAATAGCCAAAAGTAGAGCAGAATGAGGCTGACCCGATAGCTATCATAACCACTTGCCTCGCTTGCTTGTAAATAGAGCCCATCTGTTGCACTTGATGATTTCGCTCCCAAGTGCCATCTTTGCTTGATAGAAATCGTGTCAATTCTCAGGATCTTGGTTTCGTTCTAAGTCGCAGACGTTTCAACGCCAGGAACAGGTTCTCTCGACACCGTACTTCTTGCCGTCGTCAGTGATAAAGTTATCTTTATCTCCGGGGCCCCACATTTATGAGAGGACTTTGCACTTTGGCCAACCGGATAGAGTTGGTAATGGATTGGAGGGGCGCTGTTGGCGGAAGGCTGGACTTCGTTGAAGTTGATTCCATCGCCGACTCTACCTAGCGGAGCATGTTTGCAACCCGGATAATTCATTATTGTGGTAGGGCGGAATCAGGAGCGATTCATCTGGCAATAGAAGCTGAGTTTTACGTTGCCGTTGAGAAGGCTATGAGAAAGAGAGGAGGATGACGAGGGTGGAGTGTATTGAAGGGGGACGTTGGCCTGGCGGTATTTTCAGCGGATTTAGGAAAACGCTACAGCATTTTTGATGGGGGAAGTCGACTTGCAGCCTTACAGCACATCTGACTGCCTACTGTAACAGCTGTGGTGCCCTTTGTGAGCAGTGTAGGAAAATATTGCCAAAGTTGCTGGTACATTGAACAGGGTATCGTATGTGTGTATCAGTTCTTCGGAGTCTGTCAATCCTTCCTCAATATCTACTTTTCTAACCTGACTGTCAAATTACCAGTATATATGTATATATACAACAAGAATCAACATGATACATAAGCCCGGAAACTTTAAATGGAACACGAATCGAAAATGTATGCAGGGGCTCACGTGTAGAGCACCAAATTAGCAAGTGCCGAAACAAGGCGAGAAGAGTGCGGTGCCCGAATTTCTGCGTGCTGCATCTCGTCTCCTTCAATCTCTGCTACGGTAAATTAATTCTTGTGCTAGAAAAGGACGGACACAAAAACTTACTAAAACCTTCTCTCACCCACCTCAAAGAGTCCAATAATTCCAGCGCCATGGCATTGGCCCCGTCTGTCTTCATCTTGACCCCCGACCCCAAAATCCGATATATCCTGTCGAAAACCACGCTCTCGACCTCTCTACTATACGCTTCTGCGTCTCCAAGACCGCCCTCCTCATCCATATACACACTTTTTGCGAAAAATAGATATTCTTGACTCCCGGCTTCAATTCGCTCAAGTAAGAATGCGAGACATATGCCTACAAAAACACTTGTTCCCCATGATGTCTTATTTGACGCTACGGCCTTGAATCCCATGAGGACTTGCAAAAGGAGCGTCTTGTAGATAGCGAAGAAGATAGTTTTGATTTGGCGGTTGAGGAGACGAGGTATCTGGTTGTCTGGAAAAGCGAGCTGGGGGCCAGTCGGGGACGGGAATGGGGAGTGCGTAAATGCTGCCGGGATAGTTTCGAGGATTAGGCCGACGCCAAGAAACGATTGAATAGCGATGAGTTTTATCGCATTTTCCATGAGGACCAACTCGTGGGTTGGGCATTGGGGGTTGTTAATTGATTTGTCTTTCCATTCCTGGAAGCATAAGAGCAAGACTTCGAGAGTCCTACTTGAGTGGTCGAACCCACGGAGATTATGCATGAATCTTGCATAATCCGGCAAATGATTGTTGATCAGTTTGTCCAGGTATTTGTTGAACCTTCTCGTCGTTGCCTTTTGAGCCGGTTTGTAAATACCAACTGGCAAGGAATAGTGGATCGCCATGGCTTGGGAATTTGACTGTGTTTGGAGTGAGTAGAGGTGACATGAGGGTACGTATCTTCTGATATTGAGATGCAGAGGCTGCCATGGGAGACAGAGCAATTGCACATCAACTCCGAAAGATTCCCACTGTTCGTCGGCAACGACCGAGCGTCTAAATTCCTTCAGCGAGCGTTGAGTAAGATGCTGAATCATGAAGGAAGGATGCAGATATGACATTAGTGGTTGGAAAGGGAGTATTCCTGGGAACATTTCTGGATTTCGGTATATGCGGTGTTGTTCAGCCTTAAGGCAGTCTTCGCTGAGACTGTGTAATTCAGTGGAGTCCTAATAATTTTAGCCAATGCAATGAAGAATTCCAAACGAATCTCTACCTCCAGGACTTCCATTCCGCAAAGCATGCCCATCGGTAAGTGTTCTCCAGTTTGGCTTATCCGTTGACAACATTTCCCAAAATATGGATTTGGCTGGTTGGTGGGAGTAGCGATGCTGGTTTTGCGTATTTCGTCTATTATGTCGGTAGCTCTGACACGGAAGGTTCTATCAACTTGAAGCATCCTCGAAATCCAAAGTAAAGGTGAATTGTCGTCGCTTGAGAAGTCTTGCAAGTGTGAAATCCATTCATCGATACCTTTGGGGTTGTTGGAGAAGAGGGCACTTTTCGTCCGAGAGTTGAAATACTCTCGCAACTGTGATAAATTTGCCCTTGAGGACAGTGACCATTTCTAGGAACACGCATCCCAGAGACCATATATCAGATGTTGAATTGCTTTCCAGTTCTTGCATCACCTCAGGAGCTGCATATAGTGGCGTCCGTCCACGATTTGTATTCGTAGTGGATTGCCCTAGGTCTTTCCAATCGAGGGCAAGTTCGAAATCCACCAACAGAACATTCGCCCCGTGAACCAATATGTTTGCAGGCTTAATATCTCTGTGGCGTATGTGGTGCATGTGGAGGTATTGAATCGCTGTAGCGAGACAGCCAAACCATTCTCGAATTCGAAGAGCATAGCGGGGCTCAGAGGAGGTCTCGGCAAGCTGGAGAAAATCTTTGAGGTTCGAGTCTGCGACAGGTGACATGATTATTGCAAGATTGCGTGGATTTGTGTAACTGCCGACCTGTTGGGTACAAAGTAGGGTGTTAGCAGAAGTCGCGCCCTATAACACTGACTTGACGTCTCACAATGTGACCTCAACACAATCTTCATGAAAGTATGGTAGCTGCATCAATCCAGTGACACCGGCGGTACTTCCTGCAGACCCTGGAATGAAAAACTTGATCATCCTCAAACAATGAGAGAAATACTATGGGTCTCCTTACCATTTGAACACAGTGTTGATGCTTGATGCGACGTAAGACCTGCACCTCACAACGGAAAGACTCAATGTCATCCCGGCCGCGATTATCACCAAAATCACTGGCTTTCCGAATAGTCTTCCTTGCGTACACTCTTCTGTCACTCAGACTTAAGACCTCATCCACGCGGCCAATACGTCCTCGCCCGATTGATCGGCGACGTTCGAAAGGGGCATCATGTCTTGTTGCGAAGTGTCCATGGGAATCTCGGGGTCCTAATCGAAAGCATTTTGAATGAAGGCAAACACGGTCCTGCGCTCTGAGAAATTGGAAGCAAATCTCTGGTTTGAGTAATTGCCGGAGGGTAGTATCGGAGGTAAGGGGAATCCACATGTCATTCAGTCCATTTCTTAACAGTACATCCAGTGGTTGGGGTTGGCTAGTATCTTTGATCTGGCCGATATCTCTTAGAATGATGTAGAGTCAAGGATTGTCGCTCCAAGAGTGATGACCATCTCTAAGGAGATCCAAAGCAACCTGCTGGATTTCTTGCTCCGTGTATCGATCGTCAATCTGACCCGCTTGGTGAGATTGTTTGGGAAGAGCTCCATCTGCACTGGCGATTTGGAACATATGAGCGACTGGTTGGTACTTCGCTTTGCCCTGCTTCTAATTCGCCGATGAATTCGATCTGTCTCTCGAGCACGGACTCATGCGAGCTTCTCTTGAATAACCACGAACTTTGTACAAGAAGACTAATTTTTTGTTTGAAAGAAAACAAAAGGCGAAGAAAGGAAAAAAGGCTGGCCAGGCGCATGCTGCGATCAATTTGTCCCAGCATCCTGAGATCCTCAAAGGCGGTGAACATTGTGCATCTTCACCGCCGAAATGGACATCATTGCGAGTTCGCACACACACACTGAGTTGACCTCTGATTGATTCGCCTATGGGAAGGCTTTTGCATGCCACGGGCTGTTCTGACACAAGGCAGCCTCTGATCAGATAGGTATAAAGGTCGTCGCATTCTTCTGAAGTAAGCCGTCTTGGAGATGAGGCTGAAGGGGTTCGAGAGCTATTCGCCTGTTCTGAAGATCTGGCTTGAAGTACGGCAAGCGAGTAAGCACAAGGCTGCAGTCAGGGGGTATTGACTCTTGGCCGATACTTGAGTCATTACTTGATCAGTCAATCCCAAGAACCTTGCATTTTGAGAAGGATTCAAGAAAAATCAAAGATTTCACCAGTCTGATCGTGCGCCTCTTGAGCAAAGCCCGTCACCAGCGTGGCCCGGCCCCGGCTGCCTGGTCGGGGTGTCACACTAGGAGTCAAGATGACGCTAGTTTCCGTCAGGGGTTCTCGTTTAATATCTAAAATATTTGCTGCGAAGCCCCTTGCGAAATGTTGTGACCGCAACCAAATGATTCACAATTCATCATCCACTACAAGAGCTTGCTCTGTATGTTGTTCAAAGATATCTTTGACGTTTGCGACAACTGCATCTGACCTTACCAACTCTACTATCAGCGAGCTGGCGCGTTCAACCCTTCTTCGCCGGCAATGCCAAAGCTGCAATCCAAGGGATCCGAAGGACCTCGTCCTTCTCCCCATCCCCCTCCATCTGCGCCTATAACGCTAGACCCAAGTAAGGCCTCGCATCTCTCACTTCCGTTAATTGTTAAAGGCAGAGATGTGCTGATGCTAACCTTGTGGAAGTGTATGGCAGATAGTCTTCAGCGATCGCAAACAAGCGTCCTGACCGAACCGCCCACCTAGACAGAGCTCTCGAAATTCCTCCTCGCATTTTCAGCTCAACATTCAGTCATCACCACCTGCAAACAGCTCAATTCAACACTGTCGTTTTACCCTGGCGCAAGTTTTAGACTGTATCCGTATCGACTCGCAAAGCTTTCGTGTACGAACATATTTCGAACAGAACTAGGGGGTCTCTCACGAGCAGGAAAATGTAACATGTATTATCTGTTAGAATGCTGGAAACTATAGAAGTCTTAATTTAGTGGCGCACCTGGTGTTTGACTGCTGCTCTCTAAGGTTTGTTTGGTGCAAGGCGCAACAAAGGTTCATATGCAAAAGCCGTGTATGGGCAGGCTCTGGGAGAGTCCTAAGGCACAAAATATCTCTGTCTACCGTCGCAGAAATTCCGGCACTCAAGATTTCATTCAGCCAGTCAAAATACGCCAGAGTCATTTGCTTGCGAACCTCCTACTGTGACCGAGGTTGACGTACTTCGAGCTATTTTCCTTGCCTCCGGTACTTTTTCAATGGTGGCAAGGCCCCAAAGAAGCAACCTCAGGGCGTAATCTAATCGAGAAGCAGGGCCATGATTTGTCCAAAGGCAGGTACCTGGGCTCTTGCACAGTATGGAGCATAAAATTTATCTATTCTGACTTGTATTCATGATTTTATTGAAATTAGAGAGAGTCACTTTTTTTGGATGAGGGTGCACGTGGTAGCCACATCTGAAACCACGCGTGACTGCAGTCTTGAAAGTCGTTCCTCGCAGGGGTGCCCCGATCTCCCAGCCTTGTGGCTTCCACACTTCATGCTGGGACCTCCGCACGGGGACTAGGACCAAAATACTTGCGGTGTGAGGGGGAAAATTCGCTTCAGCCTTAGGCACACGTTTCGCTTAATTATGGCGCTAAGGAGTATTTAGCCTCGCTCCCAAGCTTCTACGAGCTTCACGCTTCTCTTCTAGAAATAATTACAATTCTAGAAATCTCCTCTGTTCCTATGTAACGTGAATTACACCTGGTAATTCGTCAACCTGGTACTTGGTTCACTTCTGCCTATTTCATTGAAGGATCTTCAGCGGTGATCTTCCTTAGCTCTGCATGCACTTTTATCTCATTGGTCGAATTCGGTATCCCGCAATTTCTCGCTACGAGCTCCGCCCGACCACTGTGCATGCTTGCAGGCTGTGTCGCCGCCTGTCATTTTTGGCGAGTTGCACTTTTTACCATTCTGGTACAGTAATTCACCTGATTGGTTTCTTGAATGACTCAGCAAGCTGTTCTGCTTCTTGTAGGTTTCATCTTGGAATTTCTTTTCCTCCTCTCTCTCACTATGACTTCTTTTCAACAACAGATAACTCACCCCGATTGCCACAACTAATGCACATGCTAACTTGAATTTCAATATGGTTGGCAACGTGACCACTTCAACACTCCAGGACCACGCGGGGGAACCGCCCACCCAAGAATATTGGGATAAAATAAAACCAGATGTCTTTCGAATCTATATTGAAGGAGACAAGTCTGGGAACATTAAACCCGCGAATCTAGAAGACACGATGGCCGAGATCCAGAGATCACACGGACTCCAAGGATGGTATGTTAAAAATGACAACACCTGGACGCAAAGCTAACATGTGACCAGCGTCAGAACTTGGAAGGACAAGATCAAAGAATGGGGCTTCTCCAAGAATATATCAACTCGCAACAAGCAATGGATTGCTGCCAAAGGGACGAAGCGTAAACAAGAAGGCAAAGACACAGCTTTCTTCCAAGGAGGTGTTCGAATTGCTCCTACAAAGATTCAAGATTGTAAGAGAAGAAAGACTAGGACAATGTCTTTCCCTCTGAGTGCCCGTGAGTTACTTGATGCGAAATGCCTTCTTATTCGACCTCTTTTAACGCATAAACGAAGCAACACCTCCCAATATCACATACAATACTCCTAGTCCCAGTTGCAAAAATTCTTCCTCGGAGGTACTCTGCAACCCCTCGCTCCTTGGTTCTCCTCTAATGATAGTTAGCAAATGTTCGGAGCACCCACCACACACCACTCACCTCTGCCCCCAGCGTCAACTACCTCACACGCCTGCTGGATTCATTCCCCTGATTCTGAACGGCAGAGTCTGACAACTTCTATGGCCGATATGCAGCAATTACCATCCATCTCCGGCATCGACCTCTGGATGGCCGATAAAAATCAGCCATGGTCCCAGTACGCTTTACGTCGCCAGACCGGTGACAATGTCGAGCGTGTACTTGCCGAATTTGAACTCTTACCCAAGCAACTTGAAGACGCTGGACTAACCGAACACAAGAACAAGTTCGAGGAAGGCCAAGCGTCCGAATATCTTTCTAACAGACAAGATTCCCCGCTCGAACTCCGCTGTATTAGCGATCGATTCTTGGCCGAGTCTCATTCGACGATTGTGAACGAGCAATGGGAAGAAACTGTCGAGGAATCCTCCTTGGAGTGTGTTAGTGACCTTGCGGTGAAGCTGGCCAGCTCTCACATAGAACACGATGAATCCGCCCCACAAACGTTGAAGAAAGAATTCGAGCTTGCCGAAGCGCTTGAAAGAATGGGCCAGTACGAGAAAGCAGAGTATCATTGCCGCCGAATCCTTGATATACATTCCCAGATCGTCGTTGAAGCATTTCTGGGGAAAATTTTGGCAAAGACTCATCGCTTTGAAGAAGCAACATTCTTGCTGTTTCATGCTCTTGCTGCCTTTATCATCCTATTCATTCAAAATTCTCTCGATGAAAACGCTCGGCTTTTCGCACGAATCGAAGCCGTTATGATTGAATTGCTTCTTCAGAGCGACGAAGGCGCCCCTTCTTTGACAGACCACTGGGGCCTCATGAGGGACACGCTCCAGAAACCAACTTCTGATGGAGAAATCTACCAAATCTGTCCTCAGCTTTTTCTCCACGGCTTTTCTTTCGCGCATGAATGCTTGGCTCTTGGATTAGTGGATTCTAATCAGTACCTGCTCGAATCAGCTGGATGCCTATATCGGGATCTACTTGGGCACTCCTTCCATCAACTAGATGTTCATCACGCGATCGAAAAGGCAACAGCTCACCGGGGATATGCACGTCTTTTGAGAAAGGAAAAGAAATGGATATCTAGTGCGAATCAATGGCTCCTCGCTTGTGAATCCGCCCTAAATTCAGCTATCCACGACCGCGACCTCATCGAACTTTTGGAGAGCGATTATCACAAACAGTGTGGGCAAAAACTACTCAAGCTACTCAAGCTACTCTAGAGTAGTCTTGAGTAGAGTAGAGTAGAGTTTGAGTAGCGTAATATAGTACTTGAGTAGAGTAGAGTAGAGTACTACTCTAGAGTAACTCAAGAGTAGTCACGTGAATGTGGTAAATCGGTATTTATTTAATTATTAATAAATAAATAAGGTACCCATTAAGTAGCAGTATATAATTTAAACTAGAGCTTATATAAGTCTATTTAAATACTACTTCTTTTTTTTTATAAAAAACAGATTTCCCTCCTCGGAATCTTTCTTTTCCTTCTTTTGTCCTTCTCTCCTTACTTCTTCTAATTCGTCTTTAAATAGCCCCCAGCTTTTTAAGCAAGATATTATCTTAATAGTACTCTTATTAAGTCTATTATGTAATTTAGATATAATAAGAGCACCTTGAGAGAAGAGTTTGCCCTTAATAGCCGAGGAAGCCTAAGAATATATTATGGTTCTACCTTGCTTACCAAGCCTTGCCACTACTTGATTGGGCAATGTAGTGGCGCTAGACTCGGGCCACCCCGGAGCCTTACCCAATTAGGCCAGCATGTCACGTGTAACGTCACGTGTAACGTCACGTGCGCACTACTCAACTACTCTAAAATATTCTAGAGTAGTTGAGTAGAGTATTGAGTAGAGTATGAGTAGTGAGAAATTTATTTGAGTAGAATATGAGTAGGGCCCACTACTCTACTCTACTCTACTCATTTCCCACACTGATCACAAACTCCTTCTGCACTTGAACCGTGAACCTCACGAAGAAGGCTCGCTCAAAGACAGCATGAAACAAGCGTTAGCTCGCATCCGAGGCCCAAGTCCTTTTGCCATGGAGCACATTTCAGAGCCCGTTCAAGGTTCACACGTCGAGGAATACCTACTCTCATCAGACTTACCCCTACACATGATCGCCGTGGAACCCTCGGTGATATCTCACGTCGCTCGATTCGGATTATCTTTAGGATTGAGTTCGTCAGCACACGGAGACAAAGACCGGACTTCGACCGCGAGCATGACTGCGAGCTCCAGCCGTATGAGCCACCCTTGGGGGAAAACCATGTCGGCAGGAGAAAACCGCGGGCTAGGGATGGTTTTCTAGATTTTCGATTTCATCACTCCAAGTCATCTTTTCCAAAATGTTTTCAGTGGCTCCGGGTATCGCAAATTTGCTGGCAGAAAACTACTTGGATGAAAAATTTGCTTTGGACTATGCACTTCTCTCGTCACATTTGGTGGCATCATACCTGGGTCTACTTCATGCCTTCACTTGAGTCAAACTTTGGTGTCTTGCTACTTATTATCTTGCACACAAATGAAGTTGCTTGAATTGCTTGAATTATCCATCGTTATTCGAAAGCTACTAGTAACAAGTTAACTTATATCTGAAATCCGGGGACTTATAAGTAACATACCTGCACTACCATATAGTACCCAGCCTGAGATCGGGTTATCACGTGACTGATACTAGCAAGCTGTCCACAAGGTAGGGCAAGATCATTATCAAATGGTAATATTTTGCAAACCGGACTTATGGTGGTAGTGGGGTTCTTGAGCAATTTTCCTGCCTGTACTGAGCAGAAGTGGATGATTCTGTCTGCTAACGTGTTTCAAAGGTGGAAAGCAATTTCATAGAGATTTAGGCTACTTAGAAATGTTGTTTCATTCAGAGAGGGTGGAACCAGTAGCTGTTGTCCATATCGTGGTTGGGCTCGAATCCGAAGCCTGCTCACTCAGCGAGATGATTCAAATCAGGGTCGCCGGCGTAAGTACAGGGCTGAGGGGCTGAGATCCCAGTTTACAAGTGCCCGATCAATCTCTCTTCGGCCTTGCCTCAAGTCCCCCAGCCGTGTAGGATTCCAGGACCTAGGATACGACAGGATACCATGCCTAGTGTGTGCAAGGGTTAAGCCAGACCGGAATGCCTAACTGCGAGCTTTCAGAACTCGTAAAATGCAAATGACGCACTGCCCAAATGACCATCCGACTTTCAGGAAGCCAGCCCTGATGTGGGCATTGTGCTGCATTTTAAAGGGGTGGCGAACCTTCATGCAAAAACCCCTGTCTATGTACCACTAGCCCAGACCTTCAGCTTGTTGTTGCCGCTCTCCAGAAACCCAGAGAAGGACTGTGGTAAAACAGCACTCAAGGGCCACGAAAAGAGAAGAGAATGCTTGAGGTTTTGTGGTAAAATCTTGTCAAAATCGGAGAATGCTAGTTTTATTACATTGTGCGGTAACATAAACGTGGGCCCCATTTTGGCCCGGTGTCAATGTCCTTCCCGAGTTACCAAGTTTTGCCCAGGGAATACGTTCTACCCCCTTTAGAAGGGTTCCTGCTGGAGCAAATTTCTGATCCTCTACGGAATTGCCGTACGTGATTGAAAGTCATATTGTTCCTCAAACCACTTCACAGGACGCAACAATATCGTGGAGAACCATGGCGTTTGCCTTTCGTATTTTGAGATATATCTTTACCGCGCCATAACCGCAAGCAGCAAATCATCTCATCTAGTTGATTACAGCACATATACCCAAGCAGAAAGCATCGAAAGGGGGTGAACAATAGCGGGTAGTCAATTTGCCTCCCTCTCAACCCCCCCTAGCAATACTAACGTGGGTTGTCGTCGTGATCCCCCCTTTCTCCGGGCCAATGATTTGGTCTGTTGAACCTGTGAAGCAATTGGTATAATTTTCTTGCTCCGCGAAGCCGAATTCGCGATGGCCAAGTTTGGAAAGTTCCACCGCATTCGCATCACCGCTATCTCCCACTACCGACGCATCATGGCCAGAGAGTCGCGCAAAGGTGGGTTTGTTAAGTTTTCCACTCTTTAATCTACTCGAGGGTGTGGACTTGCTGAACTCTGAGCCCCCTTGAGCGTACCTCTTTGTAAAAGATGAGGATATTCCAGGCAGTATACCGACGACTAGACAGACAGTTACCTCCACAGCCGTGAGAACCATAATCCTCTTGATGCTGTTTTGAACGTCGATCGCTAGCAAGATAATGCGGATAATGCTGACAATTATAGCAACAATTGCGATGCTATAAACGCCACATATTGCGATCCTGAGCCGTCTTTCGGTGACTTTGAGTAAAGCTGGGAATGGTAGTATGCATACTGCCGACTTCAACGTTAGTCGGTGGAGATGGAGACTTGGATGATAAAGGTAGAAGAAATTGGGTCTCTTGAAAGCAAGATTTTTTGGTCGGAGAAGGAAAAACAGACGAACAAGTTATATCAGTTGCCAAATGTATCGTAAAGTGAGTCCACTATATCATGTTAGGAATAATTTACGATATGAGGGATAAACATACAAAGTCCCAGGCATGTACTATTGGCGGACATTGTCGACCTGATGGCAAGGCCCACCTTCGTTCCAGAGGCCAGCAGGCGAAAAAATATATTACGTAGATAAGTGGCCAGATCCCGATCAAGAAGTATAAGTTACAGACAGCTAGAAAGTGGATACGTTGGAATCTCCTAGTAAGTTGAATATGGAGGAAGTTTATTGAGATTTTAACAGCCCATAGTGAAGCAAAATAGAAGAAGGTGCCGGAGAAGAACAACTATAAGCTCACAGGTCATTAGCTTTTATGTGCTGAGGGGGAGCTGTATTGACAGACCTTTTGAGCCTCGATAAAGCTTGAAGGGTTTTGCATTGTTGGAAGAAGGTCGAAAATGCGCAGTTGCATTCCAATGAGAACTAATTGCATAACCTTAAAAGCATTGTTTTTCTTAGCAGGGTGAGATATAGGATATGGAGAAGGAATAAGATTTACTCGGACACCACGCGACTTTGGGAAGGGGAGCTGTCAAATAATAAGAGAAGTAACTCAAGGGTAACTCACTGTAGCAAATATCAAAGCAAACTCGAGGAGCTCAACCCGCTTCTTGACAATAACACGAAGATAAAAGCGAGCAGCGCATGCCAAACATGATGTAATGGCACAAATAATGAGCAGAATCTACAAGTGTTCCATTAGCAAAAGGTGAATTCGGTAGGAGCGTTGCAAGAAATGAAAACTTCAGACGGACCTGCCCAACTTCCATCATTTTGATTACCACTGCAACACCGTGAAGTGAGATTTATCACTACGTGCAATGATTATAGAAAGAAATAGTTCAGAGTCAAGATGTGAATGGGTGATGATAGTCATGTTCAGTGTTTAAGAATGAAGCATCAGTATATATGGGGACTGGGTCGGTCGAGGTCGGTTGCCTATCCAGGAAGAAGCCGAGCCGTGTTAAACAACGGGAAGTGCGTGGCGCGTGTCTCAGCCATCAAAGATGGGACCTCCCTTACTTGGATTACACTACAGTAAAGTTTTAAGTTTTTTGGCGCATTGACTCGTTCTAGAATGTCCGAATTACAAAAGAGCAAGAAGCGAAGTGCAGCTATTTGACATACATTTTGACATATCCTCGGAGCAATGCAAGATTTTTTGATTGAAATAGCGACAAGAGAGCTTATGGCGGGAAAGGAGATGAAATTCTGGCTGGAAATGGATAACGGTCGGGCGTGGAGGACCGCGCGCAAGGTGCAAGGATTTATGGATTATCGATCATTGAACGCTTTCTGCAGGGCGAAATCCCCCAGGCTTCATGCGGGACCCTGTGGAACAGGGAGTGAAGTGTGCTGGTGGTACCAATCGGCGTCGAGAAATTTCTGAAACACCAACCCAGTGGCTTTGGGCCCGCTTCCCCAGCCGATCGGTTCATGCCGAGATCCAGAAAATGAAAAGGGTTCTGCATCAGGAGCGAATGGTATGTGAAAGCTCGGAAGAAATTCTTAGGTCAGCCAATGAGTAGTCTGTGAACTCAGACACAGGAGCCTGCCGCAACAATAATGTAGAACTCGGAGAGCATAGGGATGGACGAATTTATTTAATTTATGTAAATAATAGTGGGCTAGCGCTAACTTAAATAATATTGGTCTAGCCAGTAATAAATGCAGAATATTTATGCAGAATTTATGGTGTTTATGCATTATTAGTATAAAAATCACGAAGAACAGGGATGAAAACAGAGATACTTAATTGATATTAAGAGAAGTTTAGATAATTGTGTGAAATTCTGTCCGCACGTGACAGCAATTGCAGTAATTCTACGAAGTATTGGTTCAGAGTGGGTTCTAGCTTATTTGGGAAGAATACCTATAAATAGTATCATTTATTGTATATTATTGGTCTAAACCCCAAAAATTTATCAATAATAATATTGGTCTTCCCAAATCCTTACATATGCCACCCCTAGGAGAGCATAACAGTGCGTGCTTATTGAATACTGGATTGCACTTTTAGTCTATCGGTAGGCGAAGAATCATCGTCCGAGCTTTTACTGAACGTCGAATGCGTCCCAGATCTGCTTTGAAACCCAGAGTGTGCTTTAGTGATCCAACAATAGCTCTCATTCCCCCTTGCGTTTCCATAAGCTGTATACGAAGCAAAGAAGACCATGTCGGATCCAGGATTGAACCAGGTTCGGAGATCGAGTGAAATTTATCTTAACGACCTCCACGATCTTTGTCTTCAACCAGGTCATCCAGAATCTGCCCGCACTTACCAGGAGAGCGAGAATGAGAGATTCCAAGTGTTCTCTATGACATCAGAGAGTCCACATTGAAGACTGTTTGTCTACTATCGCAGGCTTATACCTGAAGTTCCGCTTTGGTTGCCCGATCCCACAAGAATTGATTGATGCGTGAGTGAACCCCCCGAGATATTCCTCTCGCTGAGAAGGGTTATATCACGAATAAGAAAGAGGCTTGGCACCTTCATTACCTGGTTGATCAGATCCACACATGGGCTGTTAATTCATTCAGGACCTTTGTCCTAGTTCGGCTAGGAGCATGGCATGCATACCGAGTGACGGCACCGAGGCCTACCTTGGTCCAAAATGCCACCCAGGCGACGCAACCAAGCTTCGATAGGTATGAAGTATTCAAAACCTCTAGTTTAGAGGGTCAAGTGGCTGATTCTCCATATAGTATTGGTGCTTCTCAGACAGCTGGAGATCTTTTCAGAATGGGAACGGAACCCTCCTTCAACGAAGACACACAAGAAGCGCTGGACATTCTGGATCAACGAATGTCACAGGAGGAGCTCGGAACTACGTCAATAGGTTCTCCTGAACTCATTCAACAATTACCATATTGACCAAATATGCCAAGCTAGAAGCGGCAAGGGAGAGCAGAAGACATCGAGAGGCTTACATGGCGCGCCAGTCAAGAGACAGCAAGGTAAAGTTTGATTCGCCCAGTCTCTGGTTTCAATAAGGACAAATTGAGCCGAAAAGGTAGCGATCATGACTCTTGTGAAGGAGGTGTGGTCTCTACAAACGAGTCGTAGCCGAGGGCGGAGAGTGGACTATAAGGGCTAACGCGTGAGCAGCGCTCACACTGGGCTCACCTGACAAATCACATAGAACAATAGCAAAACATAGTCGATAGGTAATACGAGGGCTTACCACACTCCTCACTCAATTCAAAAAACAAGGTATTTTGCTTCAGATTGCCAGAAGTGTGAATAAATTGGTTGCCTAGTGCAGCCCGAAGTCATAGCAGTCCGTTGATATGCCAACTCTTGACAAATAAATGAAAATATACGTCATTCAAAGGCTTACCATATTCCCGATTCAACAAGAAGGACAGGGAATGACTTCAGATCGTTGGCTGCATATGAAACCCGAAACGGCAGGTAAGACGATAACAGTGCGGACAAAGGGGCGTTGATCTGCCAACTCTTGGTAAACAATGAAACCTCAAGTTGTTGCCTAGCCTTTCCGGCTGCAGGAAGCTCTACATGTCATGCACAACTTATGTTTTATCTCCAGCATTTGATGCATCTTGGTTTGTCGAGTACCTGAAAGCAGAGACGTGCAGGGTTTTGATTGATCCCAGAAGGTTGACAATTCTAGGCTGCAACATTTGTTAGATTTTTCTCCCTTTCATCGACTTTTTGAATTTAAAAAAAGATCTAAAAGAATATCATATCTATTAAACACATTCCAACTCCCTAAGCTTCAACTCTAATACTATCCTTCCAAAATATCAGCCCCGACCTTCAATCAAAGGAGTCCTCCCTCAAGACCCCATTCTGGGAGTCCCTTGTAATCACCCCAAAACTCAAGTACGCCATCTCCCAAACATTCCCAGACGGCGGTGTCCCCGAGCCCGCCCTCGCAACTGCAACCGTCAACCAAGACGATGCCCTCAACCACTCCAAACTCCTGGCGGTGAAAGACGTCCTCACCAAAACCGTCGTACAGAGAAACGAGACACTTGAGCCCACGAACAAACTTCGTTTTACCGCTCTCCATACCGTAGGAATGATCTGCGCTGAACTGGGGCAATGCGAAGAAGCCGAAACAGTATATAACAAGCTTATCACAGAGAGTGATAAAGTCTCTGGACCAGACTCGAAGCAAGTTGCAGGCGCGGTCTCAAATCTTGGGGAGGAGAGCCCGCAGTATCTTGGGGGTTCCCGGGGGATGATCTCTGTTTTGGAGAAGCAGAGGAAGATTGGGGAGGCGGGGGAGATATTGAAGGAGGGGTTAGCGATTGTGGAGAGGATGAGTGGGCCGTATAAGGTTGAGGAGACGGAGGAGATGCAGAAAGTTGCAGAGAATTTTAAGGGTTTGAAGGAGTGAGGAGCGGATTTCTTACTCCAATTGGCACTGGTTGTCCGAGGAAATTAGCAGTTTTTTTTTTGTAAAAGTAGGATTAACTTATAGCAAATATACGGCATCATTTGCATTTCTTTTCTACTTCGGTGTGTTCATTTCCGACGTTCCTTTCCAATGCACGAACTGGAGACCAAAAAATCACAACGTGTGAGGTGGAGATTGTCCCAAGCAGTTCCAACGGAGATCTGAAACAGCGACATCTATTTGAAAGATTTTGAAGTGATGAGAGTCTGGCATTACCAATTCCAGAGAATTGAATCTACCTGACTCTATCCTTCCCAACCCCCAATCCCTAACTCCGTCCATCTACGGTATTGATCACGCCCTAAAATGCTGCACAAACCCATGCAACCTATCAATAACCACTGGAAAGATCGCATTCGACGAATCCTCAATCAGCGTATCAAAATGTCTAATCGCATCCTCCTCACTCATCTCCAAATGGAACCTCTCCTTAACCTTCAACACGACTTTATCCGGTTCCAGCTTGATATCAGGGATATTCGCGTCGACCATTAGACTGAAGAGATTGAGAATCAGGTTGGAGGATTTGCGGAGGGTGGTGTAGGCTGTAAAGCAGTATTGCTTGAATTGCTTGTATTGTTCCGAGGCGGAGCCGCCCATGCCGTCGACCATTTCTTTGCAGAGTTTCATGGCTGGTGCGAAGGGCTTGGGGTCTCGACCGAGGATGAACCCGAAATCTGCGTGGAAGAAGTGGCCATCCGGGGCGAGGAGTAGGTTGTCGAGATGCCGATCTCCGACGCCGAGGAGGTAGGTGATCACGCAGTATCCAGCACAGGATTTGATGAAGATATCTAGAGCTTCTTTCCTGACCCCGAGTGGTGCTTTATCATCTGGGTTGTTGTATTTCAGATATGCCAGCACAGTGTTACCCCTGTATTTGTTGACAATTCCCTGTAAACTCATTGATGGGACGAACTGAGCTGCTCCAGCGGTAGCTCCTGTAGCCAGAATCTTGTACGGAGAAAGTTTCAAATCCAAGTTTTCTTTTCGAAGCAGCTGATCCATAAGAGTGATAATCTGAATCACCAGTTGGTCCTGCCTTAGATCATCTCCTGTCTTGAACATGATTTGATATTTCTGCTTCGTTAAAGTCTTGAACGTCATCATGATTGGAAATAGTGAAGATTTGAACACATTCGTGTCTGCTGGATCAACGCCTGTAATCGTAACCGAGGGGTCCAGCGGCAAAGGCAGCGGAGGATCGATCGTAATAATCTCATTCTTGGGATCTGCCAGAAATTGCTTGACTCGCTCTGCTTTCTTGGGGACAGTCTCACGAGAGACCTTGATGTCCATGGAAATCTTGGACAACACTGTTATTAGCTCGCCTTGTCGCAGAAGTACTTTTCGTGTCTCTACCCCACCGGGAAGCTTCACGAGATCGGTCATGAAATCATATTCCACCTTAGCAAAGAGTTTTCGGTATTCGCTGCTCTGATCTTCGCTCTTATCGTCGCACTCCACCATCAAATACCAATGGAAGTAATTCCCAAGCATGAAGTTGTTGGTTGCCCTCGCGATGAGAAACCTTGCAAGAGATGAATCCTGGGTGGCATCCTGTCTAGAATCTGGCGAAATATGCTCAAATTTGAGGGCCTGGACCAACTGTAAAAGATAAAGCAGAAGTTCATCATCGTCGGCCTTTCGAAGTCGATCGACAGCATAAGCCCTGACCGCCGGATTATCGAAGGTAGGACCCAGAAGTTCAAGAGCATCATCGACATCAACCTCTGTCCATTTCGCCAATATCTGCACCGCTTGCCGAGATTCACTCTGATCATGCCAGTTCACAGACTTCACAAACTTGGTAAGAGCTCTCTTGTCTCTTGTCAGATGATGCCGGAACTTCCAGACAAGATCTTTCTCCTCGGGAGAGAGAAAGTGTGTTGGTGAGTAGGCCATGATCCCATTGAGTTCGTCCCTAACTTTCGCATTTGGTTTCAAATCGCGATCTAGGACGCCCGTTCGATGACTTCGAACAAGCCGGCGATGTTTACTCTCAGCCGGATTGTCCCTAGCCCCAACTTCAGGATCATACACCCTGACAAGACGTCCTCCAAATCCATGGTCATCATTATCCCCAAGACCATTAATTCCAGGCCCGTAATGGACTTCTGGTGGCGGCTTGAGTATGATATTGGACTGTGAGGACGAGAGGTGTTGAAGGGAAGAGATCGGCGGCGGAGGATATTCATGATCCGCGAAGACAACCGGGAAGTCAAATCTGGGTAATTCAACATAGAGTGTGAAGCGCTCATCGTCAATAGCGTCTTCGACTGCGTCCTTCTTTTCTTTGTCCCCGTTCGCTTGCTTCTCTTCCGTTCCATCCAGTGTCATGACAGTGCTCTGATGCCGGGATCTTCTTCGTTGCAGGGCTTTCATTGATGTACTTGAAGCCTGCAATCCACGCTTCTCCACCCCTCGAAATACTAGTTGATCCAGCCATTCGATGCGGGGTATCTCGCCCATTTCGTGCTTTTTGAACAACTTCTCAAGTCTGTCCAGCTCCTCGCTCTCTTTATCCACAGATGCTATGTGTTCCTTTCCCTTCCCACCATTCCTCCGTGAGCTTTGGGGTGTGGAAGGTGTAGAAGAGGAGTCCAAGCCATCTGCGGCTTTGCGGCGGTGGAGAAAGCATTTTTGACGGCCTTTCTGGAGCTGGTTCTCCTTATCAAATAGGGGAAGCGTGGTTCCTCCAAAGGGAATAGCATGACCTTGTGCGCCGTCGCCGCCCGTAGGTGATAAATCCCATATTGTGATCGCGAGTTGTGAGCTCAAGGGTAATGTTGAGTAATTTATTGGCAGCGTGAGCCACTCGTTCCACCTTGGTGGGAGTCAGCGTACTCCTCAGAATCCTGCATCAAAGTTGTTGCTTACTTTCTCTCATTGCGGAACGGCTTGTAGGGTGTTTGGACCGGGATGGTCAGTGGCTTGGAATCTGCCCAGAGTTGGACAGTTACGAAGAGATCAGAATGGGGGCTACACTTCTGTCAGCATCTGCAGTTCACCATTAATTCTTGGCAGGCTCAAGTACTTCAAGTTCGACCCGATATGCCTCAGGTCCGGTCTATTAATGAGGGTAGAGAAGGGTATTGGCGTTTGTTCTCCTTCTAGGCTGACTCTGTGATAATGTTAGCCAGATGGCAAAGTTGTTTCTGAACAAGACTGACATCCTGATATTGACAGGTATCTCCACAGCTTCCGAGCTGGCAAAAGAAAAGGGTTCCATTATCCATCTTTCTCGGACTTCTCGAGGTTGGAGAGACTCAGCAATGCAATGTTGAACGCTCGGCTTCATTCAGGGCAGGGCAGCCGCCGGTAAATCCTTAATCCGCTCCGGCGCTAGAGACGCGCCTTATCGAAGTGGTGGAAGCTGTTCCCTGAAATCACTCTGTGACGCGACTTCCACTCCCAACCCTCTGCATCACAACCACCCGCCACGAAATCGACCCTCGCGCGCGAACAAAACCTCGAGGAAACTCAGCTCGTCTCCGCTATCTTCATTGCTTGGTTTGCGTGATCTTCGGTTACCGTCCGACGCGTCGAGGCCAGCAGGCTGCGCAGGCTGCGGGTCACTGCAGCACCTAACGCTTCCTCGCAATCCCAATCAAAAGACAAACGCAGCACCTTCTATACAATCACCCAGGATGGCGCGCTCTACGAAGGCCGAATCGCCCGCGTCTTTCCGGGACGACTTATACGAAGCATCTCCTCCTCCGAGTCGTCAGCGACGCAGTAACGCGACTCAACCCTCAATGTCACCTTCACCTGCAGTTTCTGTGTCCTCTGATAAGGAGAACCGATCGTCTAGGGCTTCTGTTGACAAAGGAAAGGGCCGCACACCAATGGGCCCTCCAAGCATGCCTACGTTGAGTGAGCAGGGACGAAGAAAGCGCCCAGCGGAGTCGGACCATCCCAATGAGCGCACACGAAGAAGACGCACAGTTGAAGTCAACGAAGACGATTCCGAGGCTGATTACGACCCAGATCAAGATATTGAAGTGCGAAGAAGACTTCGAAAGGGCTTAAGAGACTTGTCTAAGAACTTACTGGAGAACCGCGCCGAGTTCTTGAACCCAAGTTCGACTGGCCTCAAAGACACAATTCTAAAAGCGAATGAGCTATCTGGAAAAGTGAAACAGACAACCGATGCTACAATCGATTCTCGTCTCCTTACGACAGTCGCTGAGTATTCATACAAGAAGACGGTGGCCCTGATATCTGGGGACACTGCACAAGGGGTGGATGTGGACGAATTCATATCAAGATGTTTATCATTCATGAGACAGGGTGCAGGGGAAGATGGGGAAGCTCCAAGCAATACCCAACGGCGCAGAAGGCGGGATGACGATGAGGACGATGACGATGACAACGACGGAGAGGTTGTTGATTGGGCATATCTTGGAAGGCATGCATCCGTTAGAAACAATTCTCGGCCTTCGGTCTCTGGTTTCTTGCTCGGTCCGCTGTCACTACAGAAGCGTGTACGAGCGCAAGTCGTTCGCAAAGCGGCTTTTCGACCTAACAACCTGCAAGAGACGCGCCCTGAAGTTCTTCAAGCAGACGATATCACCAAGTCAGAGGCGGGTCTGACCACCCTGTGTACCCAAATTCTCACGCGACTGAAGAAGGTCCAGGCTAGTGCGATCAACGCGGTGGAAGCACAAACTCGTGATGATATGGCAGATAAGGAGGTTGACGAGCTACTAGACAGATACGGTGTATCGAAAGGAGACGGAGGCCTTGCATTTTTCAAGTTTGTCATTAACCCTCATTCGTTCGGCCAAACGATCGAGAATATGTTCTACGTGAGCTTCTTGATCAGGGACGGCAAGGTAGGAATCTCGATGGATGATCGTGGCCTTCCCTATCTCAGTATGTGGCTCCCTTCGATTCATACCTGACAACGGGACTGATCGTTTTCTAGATTTCCCAGAAGTCAGTGGTAGCAAGGTCAATGGCCACGAAAAGGCAAAGCACCAAGCTGTCCTAGCAATCGACATGGACTATTGGGAGCAGCTCATAGACGTCTTCGACATCAAAGAACCCATGATACGACATCGAGAGGAGGAAGAGCACTCCAACGTAAGCAAAAAGGGGTGGTATGTTTAGATTTTCGCAATCACTTGCATCGGCGTTTGGGAGAATTAGCCACTTTCGATTTTGTACTTAATACCTCGGGGACATTTGCACTTTTCTTGAAGCTGGGAAACATCTACTTCGGTGGACCAGGTAGGGCGGTTATTGCTTGGCACATTGGTCCGGAGAACAAAGAAAGGGGACGGCTATTTGCGATTTAGCGGTCATTGCTTATCAATAGAAGTGCCTGGTTGGTCAATTAATCGATATCTGATGTGGAAGTCAAATTGCATTTCCGACGCTTTTGACAAGTGCCAAGCTCCGATTCTCATTCTAGGCTGTTAACCATGATTTTCAAGCAGTCAACAGCCACAATGGAGACATGGCCTGATACCAAGTTCGAGTTGGCCTCCGCTAAATGCAATGCCACCGTTGGTGAGCCTCGAGCTCAAGACCGAGTTCAGTCGTGGATCAAGATATGCTTTTAAGCGAGCTCCCCCCTTGAACTAATGACTGAATTGGGCCTCGTTCGCGCCATCGGCTCAAGTGGACATAACTTCCTCTGTATATTTCACGCCAATTCAGCAGTTCATAATCCATTCGTTTCAAAACAAAAGGCTATTACCTTCCCACCATTTATCACAGTATTAATTTTTTCCCACGGCACGGGCTCGCTGCGGAGGTGGGTTATTTTGCGGGTTACAGTCTCCGATATAAATGCAAGCCACACCGACACCTTTAGCAGGCATTCTCCATCATTGAGCTGCTTCATATATCTGTCCTCTTCCGTGTATATATTTTTCGACTGTCAACGACCGCCAAAACGGTTTCCCCATCTTACCTTTTCGTCCTTTTCTCTGCGTTTGTTGGAACTCTTGCCGCGCCCACGACCTTAGAAGAGGTGAACGCAGATTTTATTCTGACGGACCGTAAAGGCCTCCTTAAATGCCAAGACTACACGCGGAACTACAAGACCGTTGGGAATATTCAATTCTCGACGACAACAGATGGATTTTCAGTCATTTTCTCTGGAGCTGCAGATTTCGTCGTGAGACGTGGATGGAAGACTGGAAATACAAGGTAATAATACCCTTCATTCTTTATTCTACGATGGTTGATTAATTATGTTCAGAAATATAACATTTACTGGCGCCCACAAAGCGACTGCTGGCACTGTTACTTTCCAGGTGTACGGCTGGACCAAAGACCCCCTCGTGGAATATTACATCACCGAAGACTACACCAATGCCATCCAATACGTTGGCGGCGGCTCGAGAGGCACTATTACCTGCGATGGATCATGCTACACGATCTACGAAACCACTCGTACCCACTCGCCATCAATCGTCGGCACCTCGACCTTCCACCAGTACATTTCCGTCCGCAAAACGAAGAGACAGAGCGCTTCCTTTACCGTGGCAAATCATTTCGACGCGTGGAAAAAAGCTGGCATGGACTTGGGGGCACACGACTACCAGGTCCTATCAATAGAAGGTCACAATAATGCAGCTGGATCTACCAGCCAGAAGATTAGAACTGGGCCTGCAAGCTAAAGTTCGTGAACAAATCTGCACTGCTCGGAAGGAAAAGCAGTTCTAGGAAGCATGTTTCCAGGCTTTGTTTCTGGCACTTCGGTCCCTTACTACTCTGTATATACCAAAGATACAACATCAGTCAATGAGAACCATCATGCTGCGATGCTCTTGGGATTGACGGCAATGAAATCCCACACATGATTCATAAACCACGACTGGGGCAGATTCTCGATGAGCAACACTCTCCTTAGAGTAGCATTTTGAGTTTGTATTTAGAGGGTGATGGATGATTTTCCATGGAGGCCATCGCTGTGCCATTTCTTCCACCAATAGCTGCTCGGCCGAACTTCGAGACTGTTTTCAGATGTTGGTGGACGGAAGGCTACCGTCAGAAGTTTGTGCCAGGCACCTGCAAGGGAGATAATGCTTTTGCCGCTATAATACCAAGATGACCTTACAAGTCTGGTTGCTATCTACCTCGACCAAGATGTGGAGAACGTGCGTGCTATTCGAGAGGGAAAGTTGCGGGGTAAGGAAGGGAGACGAAGGGAAATAATTCATGTGAAGAAAGTTTCTTTTACTCTGCGATGTCTCACCGGAACCAGAAAATATCCGACCATGTTGCATCTCGTCTGCACATCACCAAACCCTCCTTTTCCTAACCACCAGCACTCACACTCTAGCCCTCTTCTCAACCTCCCCCCTAACCTCCTCCAGCTTCCTCCTCTGCCCACCCGTCTCGTCAAAGTTTCCCGGACTTAGCCACTTTTCCAACGCCTCCCCCACACTTTCCTTCCACTCATCATCCAAAACGCTAAACCAAGCACTATCCCTCCTTCTCCCTTTCACAATCATGTGTTTCCTAAAAGTGCCTTCGTATTGAAAACCCAACCTCAGCGCCGCTCTCTCACTCGGTTTGTTCCGGTCATTGCATTTCCACTCTACCCTCTGATAATGCAAGTCTTCGAAACAGAGTTTCATGAGAAGGTAGTAGGCAGCTGTTGCGGGCGTGGTGCGTTGAAGGGTAGCAGCATAGAGCACGTGACCGATCTCGATGCTGCGATTTGCAGGGACGATGTTTAGGAGGCAGATTATTGAAACTGCTGTTCCTTCTGAATCCTTGTCCTTGCCTCCTGTGGGCGTTGAAGGATCTTGATTCGAGAGATGAATCTTGTCAGCGGAGAAGATTGAGAAGGCGTAACAGCCCGGTTCGTCGATCAGCCACTGGATGTGTTTGGTGAAAGATTCGACGTCGGGAAAGGGGCCGCCGGGTAAGTATTTGTATAGATGGTCATTAACTGGACTGGAAAGGTTGGCAAACAGGTCTTTGGCGTGAGATAGGGTGAGGGGGCGCAGGTTAATGCGGTGAGGTAAAGGGTTGGATCCCAGGATGAAAGTTGAGGGGAGAGTGGATGGGTGAAGAGCAGGGGGTCCAGTGACAAAGTCGCCTTCTGGTTCGTTGGAGGACATTTTGTGTGATGTTCAAATGTTGGTTAGTTAAAGTTGAGAGCTTGTGAATGAGACCCGGTTACTTAGATCTGTCCCACTGACTTTTGAGGTGAGTCATGGGTAACAATTCAAAAATTCCGAGAACGGCGTTGGATCTTGAGAATTACTCGTAAGGGGTAGATGGAACACATCTGTTTTGATTTAAGAAGCTCATATTTCTAGCTTTCTTCCTCCATTTCTGCTCTGTCCAGGAAAAAAGTGTCGTCTCACGTGATCTGCTTCTATCATACAGGGTTCATTATGTTCGTACACGAATCCAAAGCTCCATGCATTTCTAAACAAACTGCAGTGATTTCCCCGGGGTATCATTCTTCGGCTCCTTAGCCTTTGAAGCAATCGGTCCGCCTTGCTCTTTTTCCCATTCCACAAAGTCTTTTTGTATCTTCTCAACCTCCGTCTTCAAATGAAGTAATTGCGTGTTGTAGTCCTCCAATATCTAGCGAGTTTTTTTTTTATTAGTAAGATTTCTGCTCGACCGGGGGGAAAATCATACCTTTCTCGCCCGCCGACTCATCTCTTCATCCAAGATGTCAGTCGGTTCTTGACCCGTTTTCTCAATTTCGTTCTTTAATAGTCTAGCCCTTTCTTGAACAATCAACATCCGAGCCCAGATTTCTTCGCCTCTCGCACCCAATCCCGGATCATTTACACTCTTCTCCAAGGCCATCAACTTCGTCCGCAGAACCTCTTCATCGCCTCCCATCGCATATCCTCTGTTCCTCAATACCTGGACTTTTGTCGCTAAAGCCAGACACCTCTGTTTCAATACAAGATGTTTTCTTCTTGCATCCGTCGTTCTGACACTGGTTTGGGTCTCGTGCCGTTGCATCATGGCGGTCAGTGAGCTGTTGATTTCGTGAAGGCGGGCGTTGAAGTATGCCAAACCCTTCTGCTGAATCTCAATTCTTTTACCCATCTGAGCAAATCCCACGCAGAGGACCGGGATGAATCCTGGCCCTTGTTTCCTTGATAGAGCGTCCTCCCATTCTTTCGGATCCTCACCAGGAGATGGTCGATAATATGGCGCCATATTTTCCTCCACCTTGTTGTAGAAGTAGTGTTTGAATACGCAATTCGGATTTCCAGTGTCCCATTTTTCGAGTATTAAAGAAATCTGCTCTGGTACGGTCTTCTCGCCTGATAGAACGTTAGTTGATAAATCAGGCGACACGCAGGGATACTTACGAGGATTGAAAGCACTGAGAGGCTGCCACATTGTATTCGTACTTTGTCCCAGCTGAGGAAGTTGTGTAGATTGCGCAAAAGCGCCTTGTGTCGATCCGCCAAACACGCCTCCGGGTTGCTGCGGCTGTTGACTATTCTGATTCATACCCCCGAATAAGCCACCAGTCTGCTGTGTTTGGCTTTGCTGGCCTGGCCCACCAAACAATCCTCCGCCTTGCTGCTGTTGATTTTGTTGGGTATTCTGACCAAGTCCACCGAAGGGTCCTCCACCTTGCTGCGTACTTTGTCCAAACAGACCGCTTTGTTGTGGTTTATTCTGCGTGCTTTGTACAAATAATCCTCCACCGTGCTGGGGCTGGGTTTGTTGATTATTCTGGCCCAAATTGCTGAACAGTCCCCCGGTCTGTTGTTGCTGATTTGGCTGATTATTTTGTCCAAGCCCTCCAAATGTGCTACTGCTAGGTTGCTGAGTGTTTACTCCCAGCGTGGACCCAAACAATCCTCCGCCAGCAGGCTTATTCTGACCTATTGTTGACCCGAACATGGTGGCAGAAGGTGGAAACGCGTTGATCCCGAACTGGTAAAAGTTGATGCCTCGGGATCCTGCAGACGACGTCGTTCAGCAGCCAACTCGGAGTCGCGCAGAGGCTGGTGGCAGCGTAGAGCTGCTCGAGAGGGCGTCCGATGATTGAGAGACCCGCAGGTTCGGAGCCGGTGAAATCCCCCTTTAGCAAGTATCGGAAGCTGAACAAGACGATGGTTCACATAAGGCTACCGTTGAAACTTGGATTTGACGCAGGAGATCGAGTTGATGATCAGCTTGGAAAATTGCTGTCACGAGGTTGAAGCTTCGGATTGGGAGCGCGCCTGGCGTAAAAAATCTCGCTTAGTAATCCAATCAAAGCTTCCCCAGCTTTCGCATTCCTGACCTCACTTCAAGCCCTCGAAATCCTGGAGCTATCAATTGAGTCTGCCACGAACTTCTCGATCCTGCGAAACTACATTTAAGATGGCGGGAAGACCAGCTAGGTAAGTCCTGCCCCCAAGAATTGCCCCTTTCCGCCCAGTAGATGCTGATCAGCCTCCATTGTAGGTTCAATCAAACCACCCTCATTGACACCACACCCCTTCCTGCGGAGATCCCGCCTGTCACAGAAATTGGAAGCAGTTCGGCGCCATTGCTATCGGCCAGCTTTTTCATTGGGGCAAGATGCAAACCGTACAATGACGACTTCATGCAATGCAAGAGCGAGAGTAATGGCAAAGGCGAAATTGATTGCTTGAAAGAAGGGAGAAAGGTCACAAGATGCGCGAGGAGTGTGTGAGTGCTACCCCCCCGAGGATGTTAGCGTCATAGTAGAAATCTGGGTGGACGATTGGGGGACAGTCTGGAACAGGGCGTCTCCTAGTAGTGTGTCCAGGGCTTGAGCTAAAGCTGTGCTGAGAGCTCCGACAAGAACAGAACAGAATGAAGTTCCGGCCAGAGGTACCTTGGAAGGTGGTGCAACAGCCGGGTAGATTTAAGTTCCAAGAACAGCCGCTAACGAAATTTGCTACAGAATCGAGGATGTCAACAAGCACTGCCTAGAGGAATTCCGCAAGCACTGGACTTGCCTCGACAACAATAACCAGCAACTCTGGCAATGCCGACCAGCTGAATGGAAGCTCAATAAATGTGTTTTCGACAATCTGGTGAGTTTCACCACCGTCTCTGGACTTTTGCTCTGGCTAATGCATGGCAGAAACTTGAGAAAGTAATTCCCGACACGCCCGCTGGCGAAACACCCGTGCACCTCAAGAAAAGATCAACCTATGCACACCATGGACCGTGAAAGTTCATGTAGGAGTATTCGTGAGGGAAGGGGTTTCAGGAATGTATTGTACATAGCTGAGAAGATACATGTTTGCATCCGCAGTCCTCCGCTCTAGTGATGGTCAGAGACGTTGAAGTCGTAGCACGATTAGGCTTAGGGCTCCGAGGTGTCGCAACCCAGTAGCATCTCTCGGTTGTGAAATTGGCACGAGCAGCTGGAAGTTGAGGCTAGGAGATGTTTGAGGATGACCACTCTGCATCACGGGAGGCAGTTTCCATGCCGTCACGTTACTTGCTTTTGTTTTCCGCCAGTTAGGCGCTACTGTGGCTTCAGGGCCATGCCCCGAGCGAAGCCTCATATGCTGTAGTGGCTATGAATGGCCAGTGACGAGGGTCTATTGGGCCACATTTCTCGATGCTAAACTCGGCATTCGTCGACAGATATGCCAATTAGTCGTTGCTTCAGTACTTGCATATTATTTCAGACATGATCAGCGTTGAAATAACAGCATCAATTCGATTTCACTTTTCACGGATAAGACACATTAAATGGTCCTGAATTGACAGTCACCCACACCCCAGCAACTGTGATGCATGCTGGTGGGTTAGGCAATCCGTGCAATAATGCCTATATCTGAATGAAGGTGGACCGTATGATTGATCAAATGAAGATCAACATCGTATTGACTGGCCTCAAGGGCGCTCACCTTTCACGAACACTCATTTGAAAGTATTCTGTCAGACTCTTCAGGTTGAGGTGCCCCACCTTGAGCCATAGCTGGACTTTGTCGCACTAGATATCAACTGTGCCGCACTCTCACCAAAAGACAACCAGTCGAGCCTATTAATTGTAATCTCTCGAGGTAGAGTTCTCTTGGTCTTGAATTTAGGAAGTGATACGTTCGAAAGTCGGGACCTTGTTCTCATCGTGCCCTCATAGTCACTTAAGATTCACCTGGTAGTAGGCGACGCTCGACAGACTTTGGTTTCGTCTGCCTTAGCAAGTGGCCCGGCTGCAAATGAGAACCTACCAATCTCCATATACCATCCAACGAAATTCATCTCATTATATTGCAGGTTGCGAGACATGCATTTCGTGGGTCCTAGCGCAATCGCCTCGGCTATAAAAGGAGTACTTGTCCCCTACCTTCCATCCACCTTCGTTCGACAACAACAACTGCCTTCTTTCTTCTTGAACACACGACAACTTCCTTCGTTTTCTTCTCCGCTCAACCCACTACACTACGATTCATACTACATCGATCGTCCCACTCCACCCGTCACACTTCGACACGTTGACGTTCAACCTCACTTGCACTGAATCACCCCTTCACTTCCCCACTCCACCGCTTTTCGCTCCATTCGTCCTTTGACGGGCATCACATCATCTTCCATACAAGTAATTCGCTTTCAAGGAACCCTTCAACACTTCATTATTTGTAGGTAGCTGAACCATCTCATCTTCCGTCTTGAAGCCTCCACCTCAACTTCGGACAATCTCTTTCTTCCTCCCCAACCACAACGCGCTCAGCGCGATCCCCAGGTCAACTTCCATTGCTATTGGCAAGGTTTCATCGCTTTCCCTTTCCCAATACCAGGGGGTAGCATCTCGCACATCCTACTTCAACTTCCCGCACACCCGTCTCCCGGACCATCTTCCTCCGCGAATCATTATGGCACCATCCAAAATCAAAAGAGAGGCGGATCTGACCCCTCCACCCCGAAAAGTTCTTGGTTGTTTCCAGAATGACTCCGAGAACATGGGCACGTCGTCAGCACTTGATAGCTTTGCCAAGCCGGCCCTGAAGCCTCTCGTATCAGACCCAAATTGGAAGCAATGCGAACACGAAAAACGTTTGGAGAGAGTTAAGATCAAGGAGCAAGCTGCGAGAATGGCCGTATCAGCTTTGAAGAAAATGTTGAATACACTGAGCCGGCACCTTCTGGCAATTCCGCCTTGCCAGACTCGCATCGACAAAATCCGTAAGTGTCCACCCTGTTTACTTCCTACCAGCGTTATTTTAGCTATCTCTACTGCTTCGATGCTAATTGCATATACAGATGAAATACTGGCACGCAAGAAAGTAGGTATTTGGGAGAAATTGTATCTGATGACTTTCTCCCGACGCATGGCCACATTTCTCCTAAAACAAGATGCTGACTCTCCCGTCAGGAATTTCAAGTTCAAGTTGGCTTCTTGGGTGCTACGGGAGCTGGGAAGACAACGTTGTTAGAGTATTACCAAAATTTTCTGCTGGCTGTGTCTGTCCTGCTAACGAGACCCACAGTGCCATGATCGGACACAAAGATTTGTTGCCCTCGAGTATTTGGAGGGCTTCTACTGTAAGCAGCCAGGCTTGTTCTTCTCCATACTGGCTTGCTTGAGATGCCAAAGTGCTAACCCGCTTAACTGGGCAGGCTGTTCCGACCGAAGTCAGCTATAACAAATCCTTGGACAAAGATAAATTGTTCCGAGCTGAGGTGGTTTATATCACCCAGGCCGAGTGGCGCGAGGAGCTGGAGTCACTTTTTGAAGATCTTCGTGCGGAGCAAGTGTCTGCAACTGACGAGGACAACGAGATCGATGAGGAGAGAAACGAACGCATTAATCAGGGTCTTGACAAGATCAAGTATGTCTACCCTCACATCAATACACGCCAAAAGCTCGAGTCCGCGTCCGTCGAAGACCTACTCACAGAAGTCCGAGATGTACTCGGCTCGACGAAGTTGATCGAAAAGCATACACGATCGGCGTTCTCCGATGAGATTCGACAGTACATTGATTCCGGCGAACAGAGTAGCAAGAAAACCCCCCATTGGTGGCCACTCATCAAGCTTTGTCGGGTTTTCGTAAAGAGCTCAGTGCTAGGTAAGGCCTCCTTGGAGCTGCAAGGTTTTGCAGATTTGGGATCGCCTAGTGCTAATTAATTGGATAGAACCGGGTGTTATTCTGGTAGATCTGCCTGGCAATCTCGATAGTAACGCGGCCAGATCGGCTGTTGCAGAGAATTATTCGAAAAACTTAGCCCTCACTTGTATTGTGGCAGATGTCTCCCGAGGAATCAGTGAGAAGAATGTAGGTTTTCTGCGTCCGGCAGCCCATTCCCCAACCCGGACAAAGCTAAAACTTCACGATGACGTGGTGCTAATCAGACTAGGCGGCTGAGTTGCTTGAAAAGTATACCAAGCGTAACCTTCAACTCGACGGTCTTTATAATTCCGATTCGCTTTGCTTCGTGCTGTCCAAGACTGATCGCTCCTTCGATTACGCACAATACGCAAAACAATATCCTGAGCTCGGTGACATGGTCTCTCCAGACATCAAAAAGGCATGGAAGCTCAAGGGTGACATTTCTGGACTAGAACGCCAGCATGGTTCACTTGTCAAGAGCCATAAGAAGAATAAAAAGGCCATGGCAGAGCTCTCCGCCAATATCAAGAACCTCACATCCCGCCTGAAAGCTTTGTCCAGCGCTTCTACTCCCTTCGCTTCTGCAAGAAAGCGTACTCTCAGCGACACAGAAGAAGGTAACTAATGATAGTCCTAGAATTGCAATTATGTTCTAACACTTTGTACAGCTTCAACTGTTGGCAAAGCTTCAGAGGAGCAGGTGGAGCTGAGGACCAAAATCCCTGAGCTCGAAAAAGAACTTTCTGAACTGAAGACCACAACCGAAGCAGAGGCCGAAAAATTGCTGTCATTTGCACGCAGAATTGCCCACCTCGAGAAAGCTCGCATCTATGCTCAGTCAAGATTGACAGTCCAGTGTATTCGGCACCGCAATGAGTTGTCGCGCGCAGCGATCCGTGCTGATTACGAGACGACCCTGCGAGAGATGGGGCGCCAACCGGTTAATCATTTGCAGGTATTTCCCGTCTCAGCGACAGTTCATCTTAGGTACCAAAGTTCAGAAAAGAGACACATAGGATTTCCCAATAGGGAGGATACCCACGTCTCTGCACTTCGAGATTGGGTCCTTGGAACGACTCTTGGTGATCGGGAGAGATATGCCCAAGCATTCCTGGACGATGTCGACGATTTCTTGGCCTCAAATCACCCTTGGATTATGGATAAGTATGGTGAGAGCAAAATGCCCGCAGAGTTGCGAGAGCAATGGGAGCCGCAGATGGAGAGCTTGGTCGCCGATCTTGAAGCTGTATGTTATCCTGTTTCAGTGTACCAATTCAACTCATCACTGACGGCGAGATAGGACCTGCGCAATCTCACCATTAAGACGGAGGCTACACTGAAGCATATTGTTCAGACAAATGTTTATTCCGTAGTGCCTCAAGCTGTGAAACCTGCGGGTGCGAAGGCGAGGGATACCGCAGAATACTGGGCTATGACCTGCCATTGGGCTACCCATAAGAAGATCAACAGCAAGAGAGGTCTATGGACTGATTCCAAGGGCCGTAATCATAGGTGGAACCATGAACTGTGAGTCTCGACATGTTCCAGAACAAGACATGCCTGACATTGATATAAACAGAGTTTATGACCTTACCACTCACATTGTCAAGCCATGGGACCTCGCCTTCTACAGACGGTTTCCTCAAGAAAAAATCAACTATGTCGACGCTGGAAAGGTACTTGTCTCCGATTTTGCACATGCAATCGCAAATAAGGACATTTTCCCGGATGCCTCAGATGGCATCGATGTTCTGAAGGACCACATACTTAGAACACAGAATCGCTTACGCAACGATACCGATACCGCCTTCGACGAGATGAAGAAAGTCATCAAGAAGGCTCATAAATTAGCCGTCCCTGCTATTAAGGGGTTTCTGGAGGAAATGTACGAGCATTGTGCTTCAGAGTCAGGTGAGTACCCAAAAGTGATACCTCTGATCTACCCAAGTTCTAACTTCAATGCAGGGCGAGGTTTCTACGCCAGAAACAGGATGTACATCGACGACTTCATGACTAGCAAAGGAGTGCATATGCACCGTGTGGGCAAGAGAGCAATCAAAAGCGAATTGGATCAACTCCTGGACAACGTTCCAGCCAGACTTGGACAAGGGAACGCCTTGATTTTGCAACGAATTCGAGAGGAGATAAAGCAGTTCTTTGACCGAAACAGTACTGACGGCAGCCGCACCAGTTCTCGAAAAGTGGTGTCGAATGCAAAGCTCCTCATGCAGAAAGACATTCTCGTTGATATCAATAACCTGGAGAAAGACTGGAAGTTGTCAGTGCAAGATGAATTACTTCCCAACGACGACGAAACCGAAGATGAGATGACGTTTGATGACGACCTCTTTGTTGACCTCAGCAAGGATGACGATGACGACTACAGCGATGAAGAGGCATATTGATCTCAGCGAAGTTTGGCAGGTTGCGAAGACGGCCCCAGATGCTTATCTGGATATGGCAATATTACCTGCAACGCCAAGCATTTTCGATCTTTCTTCATTGTATTTCATCACCCCTTTCATAACACCTCGTCGCACTAGTAGAAACGGCCTTGGTCGGATCGAAGCCTGCCTCGAGCTTGCTTACAACACTTTCCCCACTCACATGAAATGTAATATCAATATCGGAAGTATCCACGGAGCAAGTTTTCCTTTGTTTCCATCAGCACGAAATGAGCATACGGGACGAATGGGCAAATGGGAGAGAGATTCAGGGGAAGGCGCTAGGGTGGGAAAAGGTTCATCAAGGCACAGTCATTACAAACTTGCAACAGATACGAAATAGAGTTACGATGATTTGATGAACTCAAGTTCTTTGTGTTCGCATTGTGGCTGACTATTAACCCTTCAAATACTTGATTCGCACCAGCGAGTATCCCACGTGCTTACCGCACATGGTAGGCCCCCTTTCTAGGTCCACCTATCACCATAAAATAATGCTATATTTTAGCAATGTTCTTGCTAGTTCCAAGGCGGGCCTTTAAAGTGAAGAGGATGATACTGATTCTGAGGCGGTTGTTGAGAATAAAATAGATGAATTCGCGGGCGATGAGCCAGATAAAAAGAGCAGATTCGACGAGAAGAGGCTCGCTAAAAAGAGAAAGGAGGTTGGAGAAGTGCAATGTGCTCGATGTGAAGTTGAAGAATGGCGACAGGCTCACAGGATTCGAAGCCCTGTTCCGTTCCCGCAAGAAAGTAAGAGTTAACGCAGAAGTAGTCATCGATTCTTATCAAAAGATTCTAGGTAAGTAACTCCACTTTTATACAGATCTATCATTTTTGTAATTCAAATGCTTACGCGTTTGGTGTTTGGCCACACCAACGTTGACTATCTCCAATATCAATACAATCAGCCTACTCACATCCTGGGCTACACCTTCCGTAACGTCAGAGACCCCGACAAGCTGAATTTGATGGTGTTCTACAGACATCCCTATCTCACACTCAGAGGATGAGGACAATAACATGCCATTGCAGCACATTTCGTGAGGAACTGGTACCCAAGGATCCCTCTCAACTCTTTGGAGCCTATTATCTGGACCCCACTTTGAGCATTCGTGCAGTTCGCGGCTTTCATGCATCCCCTACCTCCGAATTCCGGCTTGTTGGAACTTTCAAGTCAAAGATTTGTTCAGCACCTCGATTCAGAACCTGACGGTGAAGTCATGGATTGTTAGATACGAGGCACTGATGCGGCAAGTACTGTATCCTGCCAGCCGCTTGGGCCGGTATTCAAGTCATATAGCCTCGATTGCGTTTCAGGTTCATCTTCATGGTAGACAAGAGATGGGCAAATGCTCGCGCTGCCGGCATTCCTGAGTGGCATGCCATGCAACCCTAATACCAAATGGAAAGAAATATGAGTTCTTTGAGGTTTCGGAGTTGGTGAGGACGTGGATGGGCAGGAGTCATGCGACCCAGGCTCTATTCATCAATATTCATACTCATATACAAAATTGTACACACTTGATATGAATCAAAGATCCGTATCTCCCAGCTGGGGCTTGATCGAGCCCCCAATTTGATAACCTTGTACCAGGCCCGCATTTCCTCGAACTGCGGTGTCCCAAATTTTTAGTATAATGACAAAGTATCCGATCCCAGAACTTCTTTTTCGACTCGATCATGCGTAAGAATATCTCAACGCGGTCCAAAGTCAAGGGTCGGATTGAAAACGCTCACTTCTCATGCTAGACATCAAGGCATAAAGAAAACCAAACACACCGAAGCCGAAAGGCTGTCAACCAAATCCTGACGACAACCCCCCCGCCATTCAATTTTCACCAATCCCGAACAACATACTGCCCAACCTAATCCTCACCCTCCTCCAAAATGTCTGATTCCTATTGGCCGGTGCCTTCAACGCCGTGATGAACATCTTGCTATTCGGCTTCCGTCCCATGAATTTCGCAAGTGCCTCCATATGGGTCCGGGGCACGCCAAATGCCTTCCAGAGCAGGAAATTGAAGAGATTGCGGATGGGGTTCCAGGAAACTGGGGTATCGTGGTGCTCGAGGACTATCTTGCGGTATCGACGGCCGGCCCTTTGGTTGAAGGGGTTTTTGGCGAAGTGTTTGAACCACAGGTCGTAGGTATATACTTTAGCACTTTAGGCGAATTGAGAGTTAGTCGAATGCATGGGTGAAATGGCCCCAAGAAATGGAGGGATAGAAGTAGAAAGGAGGGGCGGGATTTTCCCCGTCTGAATTTTCAGTGCCCCGGGAAGGTTCGGGGATTGAGAATCGAAAATCAATTTGATGTTTAGAGAGTTTGCAATACTGCTCAGACCGGAAAGGATCTACTTACAGAAGATAACAGTATGCAGATGTATCGTAGTTCTTTAAAATCGTCCAATGTAGGTACGAATTATTTTGGCTTTCGCCCTTTCCGTCAAAAGGAGTGAATATGCCAGTCCACTCGTCGAGAATCTGCCTGCATCCCACACCGATGTCCATAGATCTCAATTCTTCCTCGGACGAGCTATGAATAGACAAGTCAAGCATTGACTTCCACAGTAGATCTAGGGTTGAGTACAAGTCGTGTTGTGGGTGTCTTATAAATGCGATCTCGCTGAACATCTCGAGGGGTGGTTTTCGAAGCGGCTGGGGTGGCAAATTTTTGGAAGAATGTTTCTCTTTCCACGAATCTTTCCACCCAATCAAGTACTCTGGTTTGAGATACGTGTAGTGGCATGATATGCGTTGCAGAACGTGGGGATCATGAGCCCAGAATTCGGCCATTATGCTCGGTATCTCAACAAAATCACGAGGGTCATTCGTTCCTTTGCTCCCATGAGCAAGCCTATGAATGGCGTGACCCAGCTCGTGTGCGAAAGCTTCGATGTTAGAATGGGTGAGTAGTGTGGGTTTCTTGGGGCCTGCCCGATTATATGTTGATACAATGGCGATGCCTGGTACCTGAACCCTCCTTTGAGCGTCGCCGTATGAGATTACATACTGCATTAATGTTAGTTGCAAGCAGCAGATTTTGCAAAGAAGGAATTCCGTACATGACCGAAAGTTGTGCAGAATATTTCACGAGCCTTGCCATCTCGCTCTTTAAGATCCAGTACAAGAAAACCCAATGGCCCGGTGAGTGCTGTGGTATCATAGACGTAAAATATATCTAGCTCTTCGGCAAATCGTGCGGTAAGGCCTTGGTTCTCCAAATACAACGTTACCAGTGCCTGATAGGACTCATGCCCGGGCAAAATCTCTTGGAAGCTCATGCCAAGGAGAACCCCAAAAAATTTGAGCAGACTGCGAACTGTGTGGTCCGCAGGGAAATAATCAGAAAAGTCCGGGTCTTCGGGACTTTTAGGTGCGAAGAAAGATCCAGTCTTCTGTCCATGATAATCTGCGAGAGTGAGATCAATAATCTTCCCCGATAATTTGAGTATAACACCACTTATGAAATATGCCAGGCGAGAAAATATTTGGCTGTGTAAAGACTTGTGAAGGATTCCGAATCGGAGATTTAGAATGTTCCGGGATGTGTGGAGGAATCGACTGGAATTATTTTTGACTTTGCGCCAAACTGTTGGGCATTCAGGAGAGGATAGTCAAATGTGATCAAATCGAGAACACGTACAAGCGAGGTCTCCCCTGTTGATTTGCGCCTCTGGTTCATGGAGCTGATAATCTCGAATCGTTTTCCCCGGTCTTAGTTTTGAACGCAACTTTTTGATGGTGAAGTCGTAATCAAGGGCTTGCATTTTCTGCTCAAGGGCACTCCCCATGAAAGTATCGGTCTGTGGGGCAATCTGGGACTTCAAGTTCTTGAGAAAGAGTTCCACCGATTTCGTATCCATCATCTTCTTCTGACTTCTGTAATCAAAGTACGACTTGAAACCAGCTAAACGAGCAACCTTAGCACGGGACATCACCATCTCTTTGAATAATGGAGCGAGGTCTTTGCACGTGTCCTGTTCCCAGCTGACAATTTTCTTCCGAACATTGATATCAGAGATACATCCTAACACCTGAGGAACAAAAACATTTTGGAGGGAGATGCCATAGCGCTTCGGGTTCCGAGACCCCTGTGGTCTGGTGATCCATCCGTTCACAGAACTACTTGGCACTTCTCTTCGCTCTTCCCATGTCAACCAGAGCACATCAGACTGCCGGTGCCGGCTGAGGGCATCATAGTAATCGGATTGGAGCTTTCCAAGCCTTGCTATTTCTTTCGAAAGCTCAGAAGCCCTTGGGGAATTCGCAAGCAGGATCGACTGGGCATCATCTCCCACTCCAGTGGTGCCGCTAATTGCGGGCTTGCTGACAGGTTGATGAGGGGTGTGACCCTTCCGAGCTACGACTTTCGCGCGAGCAAGGGAACTATTCGCTCTCAAATTCCGCCGTTGTAGTGATATGGGTTGAATAAGGGATTGAGTCGAGGTATGACCATTGCGAGCAGTGTGCTGCCATCTTGATGGAACCAATTGATTTGAACAAAAAGTCTTCCTTCTAGAATGAATGTAATATGGCAAAGGCCAAGTGCAGATGCGTAAAGGGCCACCGCATGACGCCACCCCCTTGCGAACACCGCCGGGGGGCAACATGTCGGCCGATTTTAGCTGACGGGAAGCTGCATCAGGACATGACTTGCGGCGTCTAATTGGATGCAAAACGAGTGTACAAGTGTCGAAGGACTGAAGAGCAGAAACTTGATGTTGAATAAGGACTGGAAAAACAAGATGAATTGGGCTTGAGAAGAAGCGCCCTTGGTGGTTATGAGGAATAAGGCAGAGCGAACGGGAAGCACTCGACGCGAAATTCCGAGATTCACGTGACTCCACCAACAGGTTGGCAATTCCGTGGGAGTTTTGTGTAACGTGGGCGATCGATGTCGATACATCAGAAAGGTACCTGATTCATTAACCAATGACACCTTGTGGTTGTGGAATTTTTCAGAAAGTCAGTCGTGACTCGTCTCCTACGTAAGCCCTGGAAGGAGCCAGGCAAATATATAAGTGCTCAACGGCTCACGACTTCATAGGGTATCTCAATGGTAGAACGTGTCGCCCCTACATACTAGATCATGACGAAGTAGATTCCAGACGCCTTGAAAACGTAAAGAGCGGAGCGGGACCCATTGTGATCGGAATATAATGTAGCTGATCTCCTCAACCTACAGGGTATCAAAAATATTGATGGGCCGGGGGGGGGTCCAAATCTTTGAACTTGGTCTCCTAACCCCCTACTTCAGATCGAGACAGTGTAGCAAGAAATGGAAAACTCGTTGTGGGAGGCTCTTCGCAAGGGTGAAGGGTATGCATTATCCGTATTTGTACAGTCCACAACCCTTTCCACGACCACTCTATGAGACTCCAATGATGCATCTATACAGTTACGACCTCGTATCTGCGCCCCATCCCCTCGTAGTATACATCTCAGCTCCGTGTAATCGTACACTTTTTCGAATCAACTGCGGTAGGCGTGCTCTCGTCGCCCCCTTAAACAAGCTTCTTGACGGCATCGATCGCGAACGGAGCTGCAGAAAACAGTTAGCCTGTACTGGCTGTAGAGATCACAACATATTAGACCATGCACATACACAAGTACAATAGGATAGCTCCAACGACGACCTTCTGGACAGTGAGAGCAGCCTCAGACTCTTGGGCCTTCAGCTCAGCGGCGCTGGGGGGTGGTGCTGCTGCAAATCCGTTAGCAAGGTTCAGCTATAGAGTAATAGAGATACTCACGTCCTCCGAACATGTCTGCGGTGATTCGTGGAACAGAGACGACGTTTGTGGGTTTAGGACAGAATTCTCGCGATGTCGAGGAACTTGACATCGAACAACAGGGGTAGATTTTGGTGGCGCTAGCGCAGCGATAGCGCTCCCTTCCCTCGCCCGACCTGGAGAACGCCTCCGATGAAAGCCGAGCTGCCTTTATAATCCAACTTTAATCTTTTTTTGATGTTTCGAGCCCACTTACGAAATGAACTCTATTGCTTCCGCATTATCGTCGAAGCTTAAGCACATCAACATCATCGTGATTGACATACCCGGACAGAAAAGAGTCGCAAATTGGGCCTTTATCACAGGTGTTTCGCGATGAGGGACAACTGACCGGGCCAATCCCTTGATCCCTAAAAGGTCCGAACCCCACCACCTTCCGGCTCAGGAGAGCAACAAAACCACCTTCACCGACTTTTTCTTGCAATTTCGAGCTTCATCAGCAATTGCAGACCATGGCGGCCTCAAGTCTTGCTCTGCGGGCCCACTTGGGACGGCTGGCAACGCGAACAGGAAGCTCGACGAGAAGAACGCCGTCACAACTCACACGACCATGGATTTGCCGCCAATGCTCACAATCGAGCTTGAATTCCGCCCCAATTGGACGTCGTACCTTCTATACCAGCTCTGCCAGTGATGAGGCCAACAGCTCGCGCACTGCCGCAGTCTCACGACGGGCATACCTACCCCTTGATACGTTTGCACGTCGCCACATCGGTCCTTCAGCAGATTGTACGGAGCAGATGCTGAAAGAATTGGATCCTCCTGTCAAGAGCTTGGATGACTTTGTCAAGCAAGTTCTCCCTAGCGATATCTTATCTTCGACAGATCTCGAAATCGATGCGGCAAGATCTGGAGGGGAGGAAGGATTTACGGAATCTCAACTTTTGGCGAGACTTCGAGCCATTGCATCGAAAAACACAATTATGCGGAGCTATATTGGATGTGGATATGCAGGGACAAGAGTTCCAGAGGTTATTAAGAGGAATGTCTTGGAAGGGCCGGGGTGGTACACAAGTTATACCCCATACCAGCCAGAGATCAGCCAGGGTCGCTTGGAATCACTGTTGAATTTTCAGACACTGGTCTGCGACTTGACAGCGTTGCCAATTTCCAATGCATCTTTGCTAGATGAGTCTACTGCTGCTGCGGAGGCTATGACTTTGTCCATGAATGCTCTGCCAGCTTCCAGACAAAAAGGCAAGAGTAAGACATTCCTCGTGAGCCACTTGGTCCACCCACAGACGAAGGCAGTGTTGCGAAGTCGAGCGGATGGATTTGATATCAAGATCGAGGTTGCAGACGTTCTCGCAGATGGGGGAAAGAGAGTTAAGGAGCTTGGCAAAGATCTTGTGGGAGTCCTTGTTCAGTATCCGGACACCGAGGGCGGCGTGGAGGATTATAAGGGGCTCGCTAATACTATTCACGAGCAAGGAGCAACCTTAAGTGTTGCTACGGATCTTTTGGCCTTGACGGTCCTGACGCCACCGGGAGAATTCGGCGCCGATATTGCCTTTGGGAATGCTCAGCGATTTGGTGTGCCATTTGGTTATGGTGGACCCCATGCAGCCTTCTTTGCTGTTAGTGATAAATACAAGCGAAAAATCCCAGGACGTCTGATCGGAGTGTCGAAAGACAGATTGGGCGATAAAGCGATGAGGTTGGCTTTGCAAACCAGAGAGCAGCATATTCGACGAGAAAAGGCGACGAGCAATGTTTGCACTGCCCAAGCATTGTTGGCGAATATGAGCGCATTCTACGCCATTTACCATGGACCACAAGGCCTCAAGAAAATTGCTGAGAGGGCTATCAATGGTGCCAGAATCTTGGAGCAAGGTCTCAAGGATCTGGGCTTCGAGACCGGATCTCGAGGAAAGGGAGAGGATGGGCGAGTACTCTTCGACACAGTTGTTGTTAATACCGGCCAAGGAAAAGCCGACGAAGTTTTGCAACATGCTATCAAGACATACAGCATCAATCTGAGAAAGTTTGACCATAGTCGACTAGGTATAACTGTTGACGAGACAGTGGATTCCAAAGATCTGGAGGAAATATTGTCGATATTCAAGGACTTTGCTTCATCGAAGGAGGATATCCACATCGATCAGATCATTGAGTCTTTACCTGGCAACGGGAAGCTTGAGCTCCCCAACGCTTTCAAGAGGACATCTGAATATCTCACCCATCCAGTCTTCAACACCCATCATTCAGAGACCGAGCTCCTTCGATATATCCACCACCTTCAATCAAAGGACCTTTCTCTCACTCACTCCATGATCCCATTAGGCTCGTGTACGATGAAGCTTAACGCTACAACAGAGATGGCTCCTGTCACCTGGCCGGAATTTTCTTCGCTTCATCCTTTCGTTCCAGGCGACCAAGCCGCTGGGTACAAGATCATGATTGACGAGTTAGAAGCTGATCTGGCCACGATCACTGGCTTCCATGCTGTATCATTGCAACCGAATTCCGGTGCCCAGGGCGAATTTACTGGGCTTCGTGTCATTCGGAAGTATCAGGAACAGCAGCCTGGAAAGAAGCGGGACATTTGCTTGATTCCTGTCTCTGCTCACGGCACTAATCCAGCGTCTGCAGCGATGGCTGGCATGCGTGTGGTTACCGTCAAGTGTGATACAAAGTCCGGTAATTTGGACATGGCAGATTTGACATCAAAGTGTGAGAAATACAGCGAGGAGCTCGGCGCAATCATGATCACATACCCTAGCACTTTCGGCGTCTTCGAGCCCGAGATCAAAGCTGTTTGTGATGTTGTTCATCAACACGGTGGGCAAGTCTACATGGACGGTGCGAATATGAATGCTCAAATCGGGCTATGCTCGCCCGGTGAGATTGGCGCTGATGTATGCCATCTCAATCTTCATAAGACCTTCTGCATTCCTCATGGTGGTGGTGGGCCTGGAGTTGGCCCAATTGGCGTCAAGTCCCACTTGGCTCCATTCCTTCCCGGACACCCGTTAGTGAAGACGGGTGGCGACAAGGCCATTGCGCCTGTCAGTGGAGCCCCATGGGGAAGCGCTAGCATTTTGCCTATCAGCTGGGCATATATCAAGATGATGGGTTGGTACTTCCCCCCCTTTTGAAGAATCTACTAATCTCAACAGGTGGACGAGGCTTGACTCACGCCACTAAGATCACCCTCCTTAATGCAAACTACATCATGTCTCGCCTCCGCCCCCACTACCCTATCCTCTATACGAACGCCAACTCCCGCTGCGCCCACGAATTCATTCTCGACGTCCGCGGCTTCAAAGAAACTGCCGGAATCGAAGCTATCGACGTTGCCAAGCGCCTCCAAGACTACGGCTTCCACGCCCCAACCATGAGCTGGCCCGTAGCCAACACCCTAATGATTGAGCCCACGGAATCCGAAAGCAAGGAAGAACTCGATCGCTTCATCAACGCCTTGATCACCATCCGCGAAGAGATCAAAGCTATCGAAGACGGGAAAGCGCCACGAGAAGGCAATGTTTTAAAAATGGCGCCGCATACACAGAAGGACTTGATTGTTGGGGAGTGGGATCGTCCTTATACCCGGGAGCAGGCAGCGTATCCTCTCCCTTGGCTGAAGGAGAAGAAATTCTGGCCTAGCGTTACAAGGTTAGATGATGGTAACTTCCCTCCAAGCTTCCTTCCCCTTCTCCAAGTCATCAACTAATGCACCACAGCATACGGGGACCTGAACCTCTTCTGTACCTGCGGCCCCGTCGATCCAGTCGACGAAGCAGACGGCATTACTGGGGCTGCGGCACCAAGCCCTACTTAATTGTACTGTGTACGATGAACGAATGAGATAGAAAGGTGGAGTAATTTCAACAAATGAAGCAAGGAGTTGGGGCGGCCTTTTCTGCAACCAAATGAAGCAGCATGTGAGTTGGCGTTTAGATGAGTTTGGCTTCAACTGCCATGGGTGGATAGATCATTTGATTTCGGTAGTTTGGGAAGGCTAATTTAAGTGACAAAATGAAATATAGATGATACTCTTGATGTGTTGATGTTTTGTTCACGTGATGATTTGGGAGGGTGAGAGACATATAAATACCAGGGGCCGGTGGGGTTCCGAAGCCAGGCACAAACCACCGAGCAAGGGAAGCTCAAGCATCGGGGTCTTTGCTTATGAATGTTTGTCGGATCCTCGATGATCGAAAGTTCGTGGGAGGTGTATCGAGTGATCCACCTCATCAGACCATCTCTGGAAAACTCGATCAATTCTGCTCACTGTTTTATTTACTCTCTCTATTGTCAACTTAACATACCATTCATCTGGTCTCCTCTTTCTCATTATCTAAGTAAGGTTTTATTATTCTGATAGTTTAAGTGGAGATAGAATCGCTGGATCTTGCGGCAGAGCTCGTGATATTGGAACGAAAGTCTGTATTAAGGAACGGCATTGCGTTACAGGGAGTGCGAGATTCAAACTATCTAGACTTGCAGATATGAGGGGATGGTTACCAGGCATAACTTCGTTGTCAATCAACGAGCAAGGAGGGATGAACATCAAGAAGGTGGAAAGCTAGCCTACGAGACCTTGGATATCATGACAGCTTGATTCGAATCATGGGCAGGTCCAGGCGTACTTTTCTGTCCGGCGTGGCGGCCAAGGATGTGGAGCGAAATAGATGGTTATCCATGGCCGGTGCCGCAATGAAAGAATCTTGCCCAAACGTAGTAGATTGAACATGCTTACCGCGCGGTCCTTTTTATAGGAGAGGATAGCTCCATTTGTTCAAGGGAAGGGTAAAGTTGCTCGCGACTTCCCCTAAACCATGCCTCAGATCTATATGGGTCCGGGTAACAATGTGTCAGCACTGGTGTTTGGCGACCTTGGAATTTGCGATGAAGTGACCGTAGAGACCTAGCTAAAGTAATGGTGTGGTAGTAGAAGGAAATTGACAATTAATGACAGCAAGCAAGTCTTTGACAACACCGCCTTGAGAGTTCAAAGCACTCTGCCTGCCATGCATGACTACAATGCAGCAGCATGCCCTGCCTCTCTTGGTACCCTTCTGAGCAAAATCGAAAGCACTCAGTTCCACACACAAAGTCGGCCGCACCCCCGATATTTGCACCCCATTTGGGTAAATGCTTTAGTTGGTGTCCTTTGAGAGACAAGGAGATATTTTAACATACATGGGCGAAAAGCTAACGGAAGTTCATTGTCTCGTCGCGAGTCGCGACTCGCACTACTGGAAGGCCAGAGAGCTTGTTTCTTAGTTTCGTCGCTAGGCCAGACAAATATGTGACCTCCTTAGTCTGGCCTGCAACTGCAAAAGAAGAAGATAGTGGACGTGAGACACGAATCCAGCAATAATAGCACTTGAATATTCAGCCTTCCTCGGATCAATAATTTCTCTGTTGGGCATCAAGGACTAGAGGGCTTGCGGCAGCTAACGAAGCTAATATTTCCACGATGTAGAAAACGGGTCTGGAAGCGATGCTGATCGAGAAGGGAGAAGAGCGCGCTACAGGCTGTCCGCCTCGGACACGGCAAGTTCTCAGAGACCTTCTTGCTTCACCAACGCAAAACCTGTTGGCTCAATGGTTCGCTCCTACCTTTCTGTAACCCCACTTTTCGTCCCTCTCACTTGTATAGCGGACGGAGAGCGGGATACGGAAGAGAGAGCGTTTTGCTGATATGCTACTTTTGTAAACCGATCAAAGCCAAGTTGAAGGCGGCCTCTAATGAGATATTAGTGCTTCCAGTGCCACGCTACAGGGTTGGCCGATTGCCGTCATGCCGAGATCGACTGAATGATAACATCACGTCACTGTCTCATTGGTTCTCATCGATAGTCCCAGAACTATGGATTTGTCCAGCCTCCAATAGGGTTCGTCCCCAGAGTCTCAGATACTATTGAGACAGCTTGGCTCCTAGTTTGACTTGAGGAAGGGAATAGCCACTACGCAACGCAGGTTGCGAGCTAAGAGCGGAGGATTGCCTCATCGACTGTGCAAAATTCATGCGCGATTTCTAGTATTAGCCCAGTATGCCGACAAATCGATACCACCAGCCTTCATTCCCCCAGTTTCCTTTGTGTTGTCGCAAAACTTTCCAAGATGCGATGATAGATTCCGAGGCTGAGAGGTTGTCACAGCGAAATCGACTGATTGCTGCTTTGCTCTCTGCAACGTAGAGAAGTTGATGAGGCATGATTGGCAAATCCAGACGGCTGAGGTTTCATGCATTCGCTTTGACTTTCACGCGCCCGCCACAAGTAAGCATCTGCTTATCAACAAATCAATACAACGAGGAGCGGGTACGCTTGTCTGTGCACTTATCTGGATGAACCGCATTGACACTTCTTTGTGCGGTCGGGGGGTACACAAACTAATGCTCGACTGCAAACTAGCAGTTTCATTGCTGCGGCGTGGTGCCTCCGTACCTGGGTATCCAGGTATTCATGTATCTGGCTCGTTTACAAGTGGTGCTTGGACAACGGTGTGTGTGAGGAAGGATTTTCTGGTACAGAAGGTGGGAACGCGTTTGGAGTATCTCGAAGACTCGAAGACTCTCCTCTGCCTCTGGAGGGGTGCCCAGACGACTCGGAAGGGATCTCGTGCGAGATCGCTGGCTGAGGGTTTCTGTGGAGAGGAAAAGTAACGGGTGGGAATTCCCTAGGGTGGACAATCCGCAGATCTCGACTAACCGGCGATTGAGCCGATTGGAGCATGAGACGCCACTTCGACGCCTCCGTCCGTGCCTTCACTTCGTTTCACTCCATCCACACACCAGGACACGACTCACTCCCTAGGCCCTGCCAAAGACCACATGGTTTGTCCCGCGTCTCGACTTTGATCTCTCCAATCTGGATACTTGTAATGACGCAGAAGTGTGAACGCTACTACGAGGCGTCTTGGCATCTTGGCGCTTCGGGGAGACTCGAATATTTGCGGTATTGGCTTTGGCTCATTGACTCTCTGCCAAGGCGCATCCTCTCTGCAGGCCCAGCTCCCCAGGCATGCAGAGAGCTTGTTGAACTCTCGAGGTGGGCTATTGTTCATAAAAGAGATCTTCTTGCATTTCACATGCGAGGGATTGAATGTTATCCAGCCCTGTGATATCAACGTACGGGAGCGATCTAGTACTCGGGACGAACAGTCTCAATTCTGGGGGTTTCCCGTCGCACATCAGCGATTCAGCGGGAAGTAACCCCTCCCTCTGTGACGTCCCCCCAGCGGGCTGATCCTGCCATGAGGAGCGATCCTTGAAACTGCGGACATGCAGCCTCCACAGAAAGTATTCATGATCTTCCAGAAACAGAAAATTCATGGGGTCTGTGCGAATGTCTCAATCTCGTCCCCACCTTCATTCATAAAATACCCAACACACCGTGCTATGGAAGAATCTGTTCAATCAACGATCGACGTGCAGTCACCCATGTGCGCGCCGCACGCCGTTCCCAGGAGAAGAAAGAGTTAAGGGCTTTCTGTGGCGTGCCGCAGCCTTAACTTAAGATCTGGGGATCCACCTGCCAGCTGAAGGTTATTCCGTCAAGCCGGATCATAGTTGTTATTAGCCAGCTCAGTAGAACCAGTCCCACTGACCTTGGGACAATCTGCACAGTCACCGAGTATGAGCTCTCCTCCGATTCCACAGGTACGTTTAACTTTTCATGCCACTTCTATTTGCAAATACATTGGAGCTAGGAGGCCAGTTGAAAATGTACAATAGACAATCCACGGCGGATTAATTAACTACACTCCAAGAAAACTTTGTACCTCGAATCTGACATCTCTCTAGGGCCTCCCTCCGGATCCAGCATTTCTGGCCCAGTCTCGTATTCCAGAAATTCTATTTGGAACCCTATTCCCTTTTCTGTTTGCTACCGTCTTCGTTTTTGGACGATTCTACTCTCGAGCAATCCTCATAAAGACTTGGGGAATAGATGACTGGGGGGTTCTCGTTTCATGGGTGCCTTCATCTCACCTTTCATTGTTGTGGTCAAAGAAGCTGACTATATTAGGTGGTTGGCGGAGTTGGGTTGACTGTGGTCAACTGTCTCCTCACTCGTTACGGCTCTGGAAGACATATCGAGACGATGACGCTCAATGACATCAAAATTACTATTAAATTGGGATTTGCCGCTCGAATACTATATCAATTTACGCTGATGACCACAAAATTAGCGGTTTGTGCCTTTTATTACCGTGTCTTTACGGATCGGGGCAGCAAGATAGTGATTTGGTCCATGGCCGCTGCTATAACGATATTCTCAATCCCTCTTTTGTGTTCACACGTCTTTCGCTGCCATCCAATTGAAGGTATCATCCTGGGTCGCCACCTGTGTCCTCTGTCCTTGACTTACAGATGATAGGTACCTGGTCTATGATCCCAGCGAAGTGTGCCAGCATCGTCCCTCCTCTATACGCATCAGCAATTCTCAACATTCTCGCTGACGTTGTGCTGCTCGTCTTCGTGATCCCCAAAATTGGTGCGTCTTCCTTCGCCCTCTACACTAAAAATTAAGCTGAGATTCCTAGCCCGCCTCCAAATCCCCAAGAAGCAAAAGTTCTCTCTGATGGCAGTTCTCTCCCTCAGTATCCTCGTCGTCCTAGCAGCAATCATCAGAATAGTACGCATCATTCACATCGACAACAGCTCAGACATCCCCTGGGATTCGTACGACATCGACATCTGGGCCGCGGTCGAGATCAACGCAGGTATTTTCTGCGTCTCCGCACCAGCAGTCAAGCCTCTACTTCGACAAATTGCCCCAGGTCTCCTATCTTCCATCCGCACGACCGACAACTTCACTTCTAAAAACAGGAAGTACGGTAGCGGAACGGCTATAAGCCGCATAACGGCGAATCATCCAGGGTTTGAGCTGAGCAGCCAGTCGAATCTGGAGTTCCCGCCGAAAGACACGAATGTGGGGAATAAGTCCTGGATTGATTTCGAGACAAAGGCGGGCAGGGAGAGTGATGAGGGTGCGAGTGGGGATGCGGAGAGTGAGAGGGCGATTGTGGAGAGGGAGGTTAGGGAGGGGGAGATCAGGAAGACAGTTAGGGTTATGGTGAAGGGGACGAGGAAGGATCAGGGCCCTTGAGTGTGTTTGGTCCCATCCTTTTTGCCTCATGATTGGTATTTGGATGTGCCTTGTATGATTAGCTTTAATCCCTAACATATGATATCCCCGGCCTTTCGATAGGATTAAAGGACCTGATTGTGAGGCTTTGATTCTTGGGGCGTTTGTGGGCTGGAAACTGGCCTTTGGAGGGCTTGCAGAATTTGACATTTTGACATTTTGACATTTTGACATGCAAAGTCTTGTGGTTCTTGGACTACACCATGTACTCGCTTCACGACATCCGAGACGAGCCAAGAAGCAACGAAACACGCAATACTAATAAACGATTAAAGCTCTTTCTTGAATCTAAAAACCCAGATGATAGTACATTTGAAGTAGTTTTTCTCTATAGAAGAAGTTCAACGTCGTGGTTACACCGTATCAGGAACTCGGGAGTTCCCATATCGCTTCCAACACAAACTAACCTCGGGATCTAGTGTCGGCCCCACGTTGTCCCCACGTTCACGTGTCACTCCACCTTTTTTTAGCATGACTGTCTTATAACTAAATAGCGAGTTCTGCGTCAACAACCAACAAGCAGTGTGGTCGTAAGCAGGTTTCACAACCTGCAAACAGCCCTCGTAGCTCAATGGTAGAGCGCGTCACTAGTAATGACGAGGTTGCCGGGTAAGCTACTCACGATGAAATCCATTGTACAAAAAACTAATGAGCAATAGTTCGATTCCGTCCGAGGGCACAATTCATGCCATCAAACCTTCATTTTTTGTTTTTTTCATATGCTGTGATTGCGGTTATTGCTGGAGTGAAGATGATCCGTTGCACAATTTTTTTTTTGCCGAGTTGTGCTGGAATTCTTTAGTGGGCTCGCTTCCCTGGAGCGTTCCTCGTTAGCGATACGACGGGTTTGATTGTTCGAGGAAGGTGTCCAAAGGTTATCATCTTTTTAAACAGGGCAGACTGTTTTTGAAATCGCTTCTGTTTTCGCTGCTGCGATATGGATCTCAAATTGTATGGATTAGGTCGGATTTGTGAGCCGGAAAGGCATTGAGTAAGTGGATTCGATCATGTGGTAAGTGCATAAATGTCTTTTCGATAGCCTTTGCCCACCTTCGTTCGAACTTCAGGGCCTTATTGAGACTCTGCACTCTTTCATATAGGACCGTTTAGAGTTGGGTCTTAAAATTAAGGCTCAAAATTAAATTTCTAGACAAAGGTGGAGTCTAAGGTTAGCAATGCATGGATATTGTACTTTCAGCCATTCCCCTCTGTCACCCGCCCCATCCCCAGAGGAATATCCACCGAATGTCTTCAACAATGGGTCCCAGGCGCCACGTCGGCGGCAGTGCAAAAATCCCTGCCCATCGTGGTAACGCACAAACCCAATATCGACATGGGCCTCCGAATAGGTTCCCGAAATGTACCTAATGATCTTGGTGTCAGCATTGCATAACATGAAAGGATTTTGGAAGTGGAAGCTGAAGTAATGTCTCGAGAGCTCTTTCTTCTTAAGACATGTTTAAAAAGGATAAAGGCCCGAAAACTACAAGAGAGGGGAAAAGTTAGCTCAGAGAAAATAGCACCTACAAGCCGCAAAGCCGCACGCCACTTGCAATGATCGGAGTTCATGTTGTAGCTATCCACAGTGGACTGGTATATTAGGTTGAAAGAAGGCCGTAGTATTGAGTCCTCATTCTTGGATGTGGAGGTTCTGAGCACTGTCTCCCGGGCATAGCAGCTTGGGTGAGGCAGTTGAATCCAAGGATTGAGAGGAGAGATGGGGATGCATTGTGGACGCTGGAAAGAAAGGCTTAATGAGGACTGGTGATGTAACAGTTCAAATTTTGTTTGTATGTAGGGAAGAAAAGTTGAAGCTCTGATTTAAGGAAGGTGAAGCAAGAAGATTGGATTAACAAATAGTAAAATCAGGAAAGATACATAGTAACAATTAATCTGTAGGAAGAGCAAGAAAAATGTTCCAATAGTTGGAATATACATAGACTTATCCTTGTGCTATAATGCTATTAATGGACGAAAAAGCCCATGAAATGTGTTGGATCGGGAAGTATGGAAGACGAATAGTTGGTTGGCGGCTCGAACAGCTGCAACCCGAAAGCAGCAGAGCAATCGCCGTGCCCACACACAAAATATTCGTCCCAACTTCTGACCTCGGCCAAAGTATTCGAGATTACTGCGCAGAGTAAGGTCTAAGCCTCCCTTTTCGAATTTGCCAAGTCTTAGCGTAGCCAGATTTGGGAAGAGATTGAAGAAGGGATTTAAGTAAGAGCTGAAAACAAAAAATCTGTCACATAATACTCTTTAATCATAACTCCCGGAAAATGCTGATTGGTGAATTCAGGGGTCTCTCCACGTGACCAAATCAAAAATCCAGAGCCTTGCGTTCAACGCGACACATTCCTCTGCACTTCAACATCAGCGCAACCATGCCTTCAAGATCGCCATCTCGAGGACGGCCGCGTACCCGGTCGCCATTTTCCGAGGCTTCCAATCCCAGACCCGAATCACGATCTCCTTCGCGACGCCGTTCCATCTCGCCCCGTTCTGTCAGCCGCAGTCCTCGACGAAATGGCAGGTACAGGACCGAGAGTCGTTCCCGCAGCCCAAGTCGTGGCAGAAGCCCAAGTCCTGTCAGAAGCACAAAGGCAAGTTCTAGAATAACTAATAGAAGCACTCCGCTAACTCTCCCAGGTTGTGATTGAGAAGCTCACGAAGAACGTCAACGAGGACCATCTCCGCGAGATCTTTGGCGTGTATGGACAGATTCGAGATTTGGACATGCCAATCAACAGGAACTGTGAGAACATTCTACAATTTGCAAACACTCTGACTAACTTCCCAGTCAACACCAATCGTGGGACAGCATACATCCTGTACACTTCGGAAGCCGATGCCGAGGCAGCGATCGCCCACATGCACGAATCCCAAATCGATGGAGCTGTCATCAACGTTTCGATTGTTCTCCCCCGCCGCAAGTTCTCCCCATCTCCACCTCTTGCAAGACGCGGCGCGAATATAGACCCTCGTGGCCCCCCAGCCGCCAGTTTCCGCCCTCCTCCAGCCCCCAGACGTCGATCTCCCCTTCCGAGCTATGGCAGACCCGAGAGAAACTTTGATACATACAGGCCAAGATCCCTCTCTCGGTCTCGTTCCCCAAGGCGCCATAGAACCCGCTCAAGGTCTATTTCTTCGCGTTCTCGATCCCCACCAAGAAGACGGGGAGGACGCAGAGATAGCCCTGGTCGTAATGGAGGAGGCAGAAGAAGGAGAAGTCCGAGTTATAGCAGTTACAGCAGTTATGATGATAGGAGCCGGAGCCGGAGCCGTGGACGGGGTGGCCGTGGCAGACGTTAGCAGAGATACTTTTGATTCGCGGCGCTGGAGTTTGGGATGACATGAAAAATTGTACCATTGGCTTTTCAAGATACCAATGACACCTGTTTCCAGAGGCCCGGCGAGAACCAGCCGTTTCCATGCTGCGTGTTCAAAGTATGACCGGAAAGTACGATCCAGTTCCCTTGCCTCGCTGCTAGCTTCCCGCAGATCTTTCACGATCGACAACAAGCCTTCTGCAACAGCCTCATCATCCATAACTCCCATCGTACCTTTGGTTACCTACAAAGAGAGATCTACTTTCTTCCGTCAACATTCCCGATTTTATATTACTAGTCAGGTATGCAGAACGAATATGAAGCAGTTGAGCGTTGCTGATAATTTTAGACTGCAGCGGCACTCTTGCTTTTATCCTTCTATCCAGCCGTCTACAAGCCGTCCTCCTCGCAATATCGTCACCCTGTATAAGACCGTCATCGTGTTCTAGCGCGTGGCGTTTTAGGTGCCAATCCCCTTCAGGATTGATCAATGGCTAGTTACTCGAATCCGGGCTCGGCAAACGAAGAATTTTATTTCTGGTTGGCAACAGAGAAGGCGGTGCTCAAGGAGGTTGGAGACCCGGATACATGTGCCGAAAAGAGCATCGAGAAAAGAAAGGATGAGGAAATACAGGATGAAAAATGCAAGAGAGAGAGACAACGTCAAGAGTTGATCAAGGCCCAATACTACCCACATCACGTCGACCCAGCCGAAATACTACCTCGGGGAATACAGATATTAGCAGAAGACACTGAAGACCTAGAGAAGGGATTCCCGTATCCGTTAGCGCTGGCAAAGTGCGACATTTCGCTGTCAGACTGGACCCGCTTTGGAGATGCAATCATTGGAAAGTTTGACCACTGCAGAGGCGGACAGTATCACCATCCACATATGTATGACTTCAGGATACATACCATAGCCAAACACATCGAGTTCGTCCTTGACAACGTCGCGGAACAAGATATGACCTTCTTTCGACCCAGAGGACTCATCATGCGATTGGATATGCCAGGGGAACAAAATTTTGGGCTTGACTTCATGGATCTCTACTCCGGAAGCGTTGTCCGCCTCGACCATCCCGTTCACAATCTGTCAATGGCGCAACCTTCTTTGTTCATATACCCTTCAGATGAGAATGTACGACAAGCAAGGCTTGAAGATCGCAAAAAATTGCCAATGAGACCCTGCCTACATTGTAGAATTGTGGCTTGGGAAGCAGGGTTCTTAGCTATAAAACCCCATTATCGCGATATTCGTCAGAAGTTTTTTGAAGGAACCCGCATTGTCATCGATCCTATCACAGTCCTAAACAACCCCAAGAAAGCGTACAAACGTGGATGGACAAACTGGATTCAACAATGCAAAGATGCAAAAGAAAAAAAGTCGAGAAGGGAAGAGAAGCCTCCTCCAAAATTGGAGCATGCCGCCGCTGAATTGCAATACTTTATGGATCTGGACGCATACTATGAAGCAATGAGGTCACGGCCGATGTCTGAAAGAATATTTCGTTGGCCGCCTTCGAAACAGATCTACTACGACCGCTGGAGAGGGCACAGTGGCTTTCTGTACCCCAACGAAAGGAGCAGTTCCGAGTTGGTTCAGGTGCGATTTGGAAGCTCCCTTAAAAAGTATAAGATTATGCCTTGGATTCCATGGGAAGACTCGATGGACAAGAGAATGCTCACTCAATGGACACCCAAATGCGTTGTGCCGGCTGACGGGATCGAGGTTATGGTGATGGAGAAGGAATGTATTTCGAAGGATCGATGTCCCGGGCCAAAGCGGACACCAAGGATACCGCGGGAATATCGCTGCAAATTCCCGTATTTGCCATCTGAATTCGAAGCCGCCTATTACCGGGTGCACGAAGGACGGAGCGGACGGTTCGGTTTAAGGTTTAACAAATGCAAAAAGTCAACCGAGTCGTGGAAGAAAACTATTCAGGATATGAAGAATCCAAAGCCTCCCCGAACAACGCTGGGATTAGGTACCCTCGGGACCAACCCCTTTTTTCCCTTGTTTCATCGTGGTGCCAGACACTTCTAATCTCCTCTACTGGAAGGTATATTGGTCACGTCAAGCAAGGGAATGATCAGTGGACGGAAGTTTCGAGATTGTGGCTCTTTCAATATTATAAATTTGCTTCAACATTCATTCTTCCGCCTGTCGTGCCGATCACTGCAATTGGAACTCAGATAATTCAAAGTGGGAATCTGATCGCTCAAACAACAATCCTTTAATATTCTCCCTATTTCTCGAAAAGCCCCTGAATTCCATTATACCGACTCCACATTTCACCATTCCCGTCGCAGATGGGCACATCGTCCTGCCAATAAAATAACCCCAGCTGTGCCCACTGAAGCGGGTCAGCGGGTGGAGGAACATGGTTTCTCTCCGAGCTTGCGCTTAGATAGGATACTCTCCATACTCTATTCGGACAATCGCGGCGAGGGCAGCACTTGCGTGAGTGGTCCTCCATATTTTGCTGATGGGTCGCAACTGTGACTCGAAACTCCAAATTCTCCCACTTCTCCGCCTTCTCGATCGCCGCTTTCGCATCACGGTAATGCCGCCGCAACTCCGCTGCAAGAGAGCAGATATTTTGGAGTGTCGTGAAACGCAGGCGTACGGTCGTCTCACCCTTGGAGGACATCTGCTTGATCCACGCCGCCGTATCACTGAAGTTTGAGTCCACATCCAGTAGCTCGAAGCTCGGTTGCCAGGGTCTGTTTTCAGAATCAGGAATGCAACTCGTGCGTCCAAGGACGAAGTTGAGACTTTTCAGGTTCGGCCAGGTACTCGTCCAGCTCCCTGCAGCGCCAGTCCAGCGTGGCTTGCGCCGAAGCGACCCAGACAGCACGGGAGCGGTGCCCAGGTACTCCTCATACGACATGAGCGCCAGGTGCTTGATTTTTGAGAAGTCGAGGTGTTGAGAGATGTAGGTCATGTGTGCAGGGCCCATGAGGATGGTGTCATGCTCGAGATTGATTCGGACACTGCGAAGCCCTGAGAATCTCACTGGGTGAGCGCTGAGATCGACGTCCTTGGCTTTTTTGTGGAGGCATTCGAGGATAGGGATATATCGAGTCTTTGCGAGGTCTCGGGACTCCTTGCAGACGTCGAGGGCAATGGGAGATGTGCTGGAAATGGTCCAGTGTGAACCTTTTGCGTCGAGTTGCCAATTTTCAAATTCTTTGTAGAAGCGGGTGGAGATTATTTGTATGACCCGGTTGCGTGGGTATGTTAATTCCCAAATGAGAAGTCGTATTTCTTTTGGAATATCGAGGAAACGTGGGAATGTGCCTGCCATTTTTGGCGTCGGGATGGTTATTCCGTTGACGGAGTCATGGTCCATTGAAAGATTTGTGTATTTGAATAAACTTGGAGATTGCAATAAGTTTCTGGGTGAGCCCTTACCCTGGTGTCATGTGCAAGAAAGAAAGGGACCCATATTCGACGGCCTCAGGGGGCGTACTCGCTAAGTCCTTTCAGGGGCAAGCCTTAATTTTGCCGAATGGAACACGTGAGTCGTCAACGTCTTTCGAAAATCTTTTCCTGCGGACATCACGTCGAAACCCTGAACAAGACTTCCACAAATCCTCATTATTCGCTACTTCTGGGTATAATAGCTTTTACATAGTGTTCCTAGGCTTTGTCTGCGAAAGCTGTGCTATTTTCTGCCATGCCCTCTCGCCTTATGCTATCAAATCAATGAATAATGCATGTTCAGCGAGATCTCCATGGTAAAGTACATTTCCCACCGAATTCGTGGAGTCTTCGCTCCCACCAACGTCTTCTTCTCTGCCCTCAAAGATCCAATAAGCATCCTGGCCAGTGGCCCATCTCTGCTCCCCACAAACAGAGCAAAGATCGTCATCAAGCACCTCTTCAGAGATAGAATCGCAAGAAGTGAGCTCTCCCTTGCCCAATTTAACTGGCTCTCCATGCCAATGTCTCGTGTACTTAAACTCATCATTTTGCGCGTCAAGGGAATCAAGATCATCTGCATTGTGATCACCAACGAACACGTAGTGAATCTTCCAATAGTTGTTGGTGGATGTCTTTCTTGCCCTCAAGCCGACTTCGAAAGAGACTTGGCCCCATTCTGGATGGTCGTTTATGTATGAACCAATTTCCTCTCTCAACACTTGAGATTCCGCCACCAGGAGCTTCAACTGGCCAACTTCGTCTGAAAGCAATGCTCGATCAGGGCCATAGTCAAAGTCCGTTAAGTCAAAGTTGTAACGTGGCTCCGATGGGAAGGGAACAACGGCCCATTCTTCTATGTACTCGCCGCCACGTAGACACGGTTACACGATGAAGGTTACTCGCTTGATTGTTGGAAAGGAAACCCGCAAGGTATCCCAGAAATCTGCCAAGCCGACCTCAGGATTTCTCATATTGCATTCGTTTGTTGCGAAGTGTTTGACCTTAGAAAGCTGTGCGAAGAAGAATTTCTGTTCCTCAAGGGCGAACCAATTCAGCTCGACGTAGACTTCGTCTATGCTGTAGTCGACATAAACGTACGGCTGTTTCTCTGGACATTGGACCGGCGATGGATCACAAATTACAGGAAGCTTCTCGTATGCTGATTGGACAACCTGGAAGGACTCGCTACAGGCGTAGGTTGTTTTGATGGTAGAGTTGACCGCAGAGCAGCGTCGTCCAACACACTGTCTGTTTCGTCCCGGGCAATATGGGACAAATCGAGGGCCAGGCAAAGCATGCTTCCAGATCTTGAGACGCATTTCAGGTGGCAGCTTGGGAAATACCGTGAATACTGGCTCGGTATCGGCGATGGCTGGATCCATCGTATAGTTGAGACTTGGAGAGACTGGGATTCGCAGGCCATCTGTGGGAGGCGTAACAGTTAGCAATCGGCTAGAGCAATCCGAATGAGGTCCACGAACCTGGTAGGGAAGCTGGCGTCTCGCTCTTCTCTGCAGCGGTAGAAGGGCGGCTGCCTTGCTCTTCTACTGGTGGAACCTCCATTGCGCAAGCTGCAGTGAAGGCGATGTTGGTTGTCGAAGAAAGAAGATGTGGAGGTTCGGGTTGAGGCTCACGCGCTTAATGGACTTGCGGATTTGGGGAAATTTAAGACCGCGACATTCGTTCCTTCCTTTTCGAATTCACTCCCGAACCTCCTTACCTACCAGAAACCCATTGTTCTGGATGCCGCTAGCAAATTCAAAAATTGCACCAATCCAAGGTAGTCGCGTTGTCTTTGGTCTTTTTCCGTTTCCAGTTTCAGTTTCCGTCAAGAATTCAACATCACCAACTGGGTCGCCAGTGCACGGGACGGCAACGTAGCGGTAATCGCGCTGCAACAACTGGAGCATTGACATATTCTGGTAGATTACCTTCCTAACTTTCCATGTTGTACCTGATGGTGGACCTCAAGGGCTTCCGCTTCGATTACAACCATGACGGGCGCCAGTTGACCAGCAAGTCGAGATGTCGCGAACCACGTTCCACCTCCCAGCAGGAACAGAGAGGCCGGGAAAGTATCATCTTCAAACATCTAGATCCCTTAGTTGAGATAGACCACAAGTGGAGCCAACTCGCGTCGAAAATGGAGAACAAGTTGGTCTATCATCGAAGACGAGAGCATCAGAAAGCTTGCCCCACGCGGCCATGTCCGGATGAGGGTCATCAATATAGTCAAGAATTGCCTCTCGAAAGAAGAGAGAATCTAAGAGGCACCGAAGACTTTAGGATGCATCCAAGGGCTCGCCTGTTCAGCATGTTGTTCAACCTCCTCAACCAGCAATAAGCCACTCGCGTCAGCACTCTTATAGAATGAAAGGTCCACCATCGTTAAAAGAAGATTTAACGGATTCCAAGGCACTTTGATCAACCATGTTTTCGTCAAGCCGTCCGTGCCCTCATACAGCGAGACCAGAAGGTCTTCGGATTCAGAACCTGCGAGGGTTGATCCTTTGCAACTGTTTAATACCACGCCTCATTTCAGACATCACATCTGCATCTGTACTCAAATTCCGGGATAGAATCCCTCGATTACATTCTTCTGCCCTATTCTATGACTGTTCTGTATGCTATGCTATTCCGTGCTGCAAAAGCCATGTCGCGATCCAATCAAAACACACAGTCTACAGTGCTCTGCTCAGAGGAATGTGCCAATCACACTGATGTCTAACCTCTAATGCAAATACGCCACAGCCTGCTTGTGTACGACCCATGATTCCGACCAAAGCAAAGCCAAAGGAAAAGAAACATGCCCCAGCCGGTGAACGCCTGGGATATTATCGGTAAGAGAAAGCAAAATACAAATCAGCCACCGTCGGCTGTGTCATTTCATGGTGTGAACCATAAAGAATGCCAGCCCCGTAAATCTATCGCGGTGCCAAAACTGTCCGGAACGAAAAGAAGGAAGTTTCGACGCCTGGTCGTATGAATGCAGGCGAAAGTGCTGTGTCAAAAGTAGTTTTATGAGAGAAAAGAATATGATGATGCTGCCGCGAAATTCTGAGCAAAGACACATCAGTTGCCGCCGTCACCGACGCCAAATAGGAATGCCAACTGGCGGACGTCTAGGCGACCAAGGGACTTGTTGGCGCCTTCATCGAGAGCCGAATCGACGAGCTCTCGCTTCTGCTCCTGCAGCTCGATGATACGATCCTCAACAGTGCCCTTGATCAATATCCGATGGACTTGAACCTCGCGTTGTTGGCCAATACGATAGGCTCGATCCACTGCCTGCATCTCGATATAGGGGTTCCAGAACGGATCAAGGATAATGACGCGGGAAGCAGCCACCAAGTTGAGACCTGAGTTTCCGGCCTTGAGAGAGATCAACATGATGTTGTAAGTCTGAGTGTCCGTGAATTTCTGAATCGCAGCATCTCGAGCATCTGCCGACATGGCGCCGTCGTAGCGGAGAACTGGCCACTTCTTATCCTCGATCGGAACCTGGAGGAGATCGAGAAGGGAGACGAACTGACTGAAGATAATTGTCTTCTGGCCGTCGCTGATAAAGCTCTCCAGCAGTTCGACGCACTTTGTAAGTTTTGCTGACGGCTGCCAGTGCTTGCGAAGATATTTCATGTATCGCTTTCGTCCCGCAGCATTCTTTGATGCCTCCTTCTTCAACATCGCAATCGAGAGATGCTCCTTTTTCTCCTTCTTCTTGCCATTTTTGTCCTTAGCACGTCTTTTGCCAATGTTTTTGGATTTGGCCTTTGCCTTTCCCTTAGACTTGTCATTCGGGACGAAGTCAGCCTCGTCGTCTCCCTCCTCGCCTTCGAGTGCGTCGTCCTCATCGGCAGTCTCGTCATCGTCAATATCATCGTCAGCTACAACGAAGTCCGCTAGGTTGCCCTTCTCGTCGATGTCATCTTCCGATTCTGTTTCCGAATCAGCTTCACTTTCATCGCTGTCGCTGTCTTCGCTTGCAGTCTCCTCGTCGTCTGCAATACGATCGGGATTGTGAACTTTCTTGAAGGTCGCATAGTCAATGATCTTGTTCATCGAAAGATCACCTCGGCATGTTGGACACCTGGACGCGCCTCCGTTTTCGTTGCCATCTGCTAAATTTTGCTGACCCGCCTGATCGGAGATTTTCGTCAAGCATTCAGGACATGTATCATGGCCACAAGGAATGATAATGCTGGGGTTCGGAGCAGCGTCGTAGCAGACAGGGCACTATGCATCATTAGTAAACACACTATTTTGAGTAAGACGAGATGAACTTACTTCGAATGCGCCGTTAGCACTGAGCAACCTGGCGACAACCTCAGGTGAGAGACTCTTCGCTAACTCCATCATTGCAGCCATATCAATTTCGACACCAGCAGGAGCGGGATCTTCAAAGTCATGAATGAGGTGCGGGTGGCAACAAGCTTGTCGGAGGCGAAGGAGAAGCACCAAAATGTTCGAGTAATTCTTACCAACTGTGTTGGCCTTCATGTACCTATTGAACTGAATCTTCGTCTTGGACTCGAGTGCTGAGTAGAAAGCTTGTTGGTCCTCGTCAAAGACAACGTGCTGAATTTCCTCAGTCTTTGGAGGCAAAGTAATGATCGGTTTTCCGTCGATAAGGGAGGTTTTCGAACGACGGAGAAGAATTGCTTTCAGGACGGCCTGAAGCTTTCGCATAGCATTACCGACATCACGCTTTCTCCCGTTGCCCTTCGTCAAGAGACCGAATTCCTTGTACCGGGTTAGCAAACCGAAGGCCAACGAGCGAAGGTGGAGTAGCATACCGTGTTGAATCTGCTCCACTCGTTATAAGGCCTGATCCTGAGGAAATGGATTAACGAGTAAAGCTCTTGAACATTGTTCATCATGGGGGTTCCCGTCAAACACAGGCGGTAGGTGGCCTTCAGATGAACGCATGCACGTGCAGACACGGTGACCCTATTCTTGACACACTGTGCCTCATCCAGGATAACACGATAGAACTTGCTCATCGGTCCAAGAAGAGGGAACTTCTTTCTCATCGGAGCTTGGTCATATTCTTCGACCCCTTTCTGTTTCATCTCGTCTAGGTATTTTTCAAGACGCTTGAACTCTGCTGCAAGCGTGCCATAGGTTGTCAAGACGATATCGAAATTTCGGAGATCGTCCCAGCCTAGCTTCTTGCCTTGGCCGTGAACCATGTGAGTGCTCAAACAGTGACCAACTTTGACCTTCGTTCGGATTTCCTTCTCCCACTGTCGCACAAGAGCAACGGGGCCAACGATAATGGTGGTCTGTTAAAGAGTCAGCCGAGAGGATATAAATACAGTTTATGGCTATACCTTTCGTGCCCGATCTTTGGGTGGTCGAGTCAAAATAAGTGCTAGGGCAGAGATAGTCTTTCCAAGACCCATGTCATCCGCAAGAATACCACCTTTGTTGGTGCCTTCCTCCATAGACTTCAACCACGTCAAAGCCAACTTCTGATGTTCGTACTGAATATTGTTTAGCATATGCGTATTTCAGCATTCAAGAGCTGCAAACGTACCAGCGGATATACAAGACCTTCTGGGGTACCCTCTCGATCCTCAGGAGGAAGATCGACGTCAGGGCGGATGTTCTCAAGCAGGTCCTTGATCTCTTGATTCGTCTTGCGAGGATCGTTCATAATGTAGTCCAGTTGGTTCGTCATTGATCCGTTCAGCTTCAAGTAATCGGCGATCTCGTCGTAGTTATTACCAGCACGGCGGATTATATCCCCAAGTTCATCGGAGCTGGAATCTTGTGGTGAACTGGGGATAGAAACGGAAGGTCCTGCCTGGGACATTCCGAACCCAGAGAAAGTGCTTGGGACATTGTTCAGCATGTAGCCAAGACCAGGTACATTGGTCTGCATGCTCCCTGGGTATGCACCCGGCATAGCGTTACCCATGACGCCCATGCCGCCCATATCACCCATGCCTCCCATATCACCCATGCCGCCCATATCATCCATGCCGCCCATATCATCCATGCCTCCCATACCACCCATGCCTCCCATATCACCCATGCCTCCCATATCACTCATGCCTCCCATACCACCCATGCCTCCCATACCATCGGGGTATGCACTCGGGTAGATGTAGCCGCCAGTCGTACCACTAGGTCCCGCCAAAAATTGAGGTCCGGAGCCGAAAGTATTCAAAATAGGGCCAGGTGCTGGGCCGGCAGAGTTCATCCAGGGTCTTGCAGCCTGCTGTTTGCCAAACATGGCCATCTGCAGAGCATCGTTGGAAGAAGATTGGCCCAGCCGACGCAGAGTTGCATTGCCTGAAATTTGCGCTTCCGGTGAAAACCTGGGCCGCTCAACTTTTGTCTGTGTTCCATACACATTCGAAGATGATGGTATGTTTTGGTTCTTTGCAGGTGTGCGGGCGTGGCGACCATTGTCGTAATACTCAGAGGCGGGGATGATCTCAACGTCCGAATCGCTGTCTAAGAGAGTAGTCTCACGGAAGGAGCCTGGCATAGGCTTGGAAGAAGACGGCTCAGCTTTGAAAGATGGCGCATTGTTGTTCTGCAGGGGGGCATAAGATGCGAAGCCGTTGTACGAGCTGGAAGGAGTCTCAGTCTTGACACCAGAGGTCATGGATCGAGGCTCTGACTTGACAGAAGCTGAACCCATTGGCCGAGACGAAGGGGTAGCCCACGGCAGGTTTCTTGGCCCAGATTGGCCCATTTGTGGTAGGCTTGCTCTGGGATTCGATGGTCGTGGACGTACGCCAGAGAGTCGATCGAAAGCAGATGTCGTCTGCGGCGCGGGAGGATTCATTGCGGAAGGACCTGAATGCTCCTGAAAGCTGCGTGCAAACTCTTCGTCCAACTTCTCGCGCTTAATTCGCTCTTCGGCAGCCATCTGCTGCTGCATGAATTCCCTATCAAAGGCCGCAAACTCGTCGTCACTAGCGAAAGTCAGTTGAAAGTTCTTCGGACCGAAGGGTTTTGTGTGCAGAGTGCCAAGAAAAGCAAACATAAGGGGATAGTGAATATGTGGACAAACAAAGTGAGGTCAAAGTAGCCTTCACCAAGCATAGGACCGTACCCTGAAGAGATTGTAGATGGTGTGGAAGGGCCGGCCAGGAAAGGACTCGGTGATGTTCTTCGAGATTTGTTATCTTGAACTGGGAGGAGAGCACCGTCAAGATGTTTGCTATGTGATCGTTTTCGGGTGGGCAGGCTCATTCGAGAAGGACTGAGCAGATCTCCCATAGAGTCGGCGGAGTTGGGGGTAGAGGCTGTTGACGACAGATTGTGCCATTGTTCTCCATCTGCCATGACATTAGTATTGCCTGCAAAGGGATGTTGGAGAAGAGAAGATCGAAAGGGAAAGGGGATATTTCAATGTGCGCTTGGTTGCATTCGAGGGGGAAACACTCACTCAGGTAGCCGTCCATCGCTGGTGCATAAGGCGTGCCGCTTCCGGTGCTTGCGTTGGGTTTCTTGGATGAGCTGGAGGATGGTTTCTGCGAAGATTGGCAAGATCCTGAATGTTGAGGTTGTGAGGCTGTTGTGGAACCGCGCTTAAGTTCTCGGATTTGCTTTTCCAGGGCGCGGATTTCTGCGCAGACTTCGTCTTCCGCAGCCTCGCGATTCTGAACAGTGTCATCAATAGAATTGAGAAGCACTTTCTGAAAGGCGAGTTCATTGAGTAGTACGTCCATGGTGAATTGGCCGCCGGCGAGGTGTTCGACCGTAATTGGGGAGATTCGGAAGGTGGAAGCGCAGGCAAGCACACGCCCGACAGTGGCAAGGGTCAGACAAGGCTGCTCTTCCTTTGACGTTGTCCGAGATGCCGATCCATGTACTTTGTTCGTTGTGACAGATCTTGTTGTACAAAAGGAGTGGTACCTGTACCACGAAATAACGAATGAACGTGGGAGACAGGCTTGGAGATGTTGGAGTTGGAGATGGAATTGGTGTTGATGTCTCTAAGTTCGCGTTAGGTTTTTGGTAGTCGCGTCCAGAGGCCAGGCTCCTGGACACGCTAAGAAAGCCTATCGATCGATAGGCTTATCGAAGAAGGAACCGATCTCTGACAGCACGTGAATTGAAATATTTACGCAGTACACGACGTTAACCTCAACTTCAAATCATGAAAGTGAAGGGAGAAGCTTCTTTCGTTGTTTAGGATTCTGCAAAATGGCAGGAGGGACTGTAAGATGGGCAGCCGCGCAAGAAAGAGAGTCAAGTCACATGACAACATCGACATCGAATGAGACCGAAAGCTGTCTGGGCCACATTGCTGTAGTACATCTGAGCTACGGCTTGCGAACCCCATTTAAAGCTTCGGTCGTAGGTTGAGAGGAAGCCTGCTTTCTCTAATTCGAATTCAATAGTTTTCGGAGAAAATTATACCTTTCGGGGTGAAAGTGAAGAAAGGCTACAGCCGGAGCGAGTCATTCCAAAAGAAGAAGGAGCGAACTCTCTTGAAGTCTCACATTACCCTCTCTTTCCTTTCAAGTTCTTGCTTTTGGTTTAACTTTTGGAAGGACGTTCTCGATGACTTCCCCTCATCAGACAGCTTGCATCCAGCCCCTGCTCGCTTGGCGAAACGAAAGACCCCTGAATCAAGAAGTGTCCTAACGAGCCCGGCCTCATAAGTCTGTGTTTTTAGCGAGGTTTCCAGGCATCGCAAAAGCAGAGTCTCCTACTTTACTTTATAGTTTCTCAACCACTATTTATTAAATTCTTATATAGTTCAAGCAAACGTAATAAAAGAAGCTAGAATGAGTTTAGAAGGCTTTGCGATCCAATTTTAGATATAAAATAAAAGTGTCAAAAATGGTTATAGCGTTCATTTCTTAGCGAAAAGCGCTAAAAACACAGACTTCTGAGGCCGGGCTCGTAACCATACACTGTTTGGGAGGCCTGAAGCTCTAGCTATATAAGAGTAGCGAAAACGTTCTGGACGAGCCAATTCACGGAGTGTCGTTTTTTTAACTTCCCTGTGGTTTGGCATGCGAAGCTTCGTATCCAATAATGTAACCTTCTCAAATCAAACCCAAATCTCACAGGTGTTACTATCCCCCCCTAGTCCAAAGCGCGATCACGATATTGATAACACCACGCCTGCACGGGCCCTATCAAGGGTCGATAGCGAATAGAGACTCTCTAAAGCACCTGAGGTTTCCTATGTTGGGGATATAAACGAGGTTTTGGGGTGGCGTTACTAATCTCGTGATGGCGCTTTGGACTGGGGGGGGGATAGTAAGTTCTGGTCATGAAGCCTTTTCACGAGGATTTTCTGACGGCGATATCAGAGCAGTTCCTCAGAAAGTACAAACACCTTAGCATGTAAACGAATACCCCTTTCCTTGGGGACGACTCCTGATAATCACGTGGGTCAGGGCGCTTACGTCAAACGTCCGACCGCAACAAAACATCTTTGACAAAGTACTAAAAGTATTCATTCAAGTTCGACATCAATGGCTTTGAAATTCAATCAATGCGTTTCCGGGTTTCAAATACATGGCCTTCGAGTTTGGCAAGCACCAAATTCCCATTCGAGCACCACCGAGGCCACTCGTCGCATTTCCAACTTTACCCGCGACCTGTCCACACCCGCAACTTCACCATCATCCAGTACCCCACGATGCCCAAGGACTCATCAAGACAGAATTCACTCAACGACTGGGCAAACACGTACCAGAAATATAAATACACTCCCCTAGACGCCTCAAGAAACTCCGTCCGGCTTCTCCGCCTCCGGCCCGCACCAGATTCTTCCTGGCCCATCCGCTGTAGACTCTTCCACACCACACTCGAGGAGGCACCCCCTTATGTAGCGCTCTCCTACGCCTGGGGGGATACTTTTGGCTGTTCTCCTGTTCTAGTTGATTCAGACGTGGTCTCCGTGACGAAGAATTTACGGCGTGCGTTGCTGCGCCTGCGGCCAGAAGGTGGGGAAGAGGTGGAGGACTTGGTGGTGTGGATCGATGCCATCTGCATCAACCAAGAAGACATTCCGGAAAGAAATATTCAGACGGCAAATATGAGGGCAATTTATCAGCATGCTGCTAGTGTAGCTGTCTGGCTTGGGCTGCAGAATAACGGGAGTGAGACCGCGATCCAAATGGCACGTGATCTCAATTCTTGTCAGTCAAGAGAAGAAGTTATGGCTTTGCTGGACAGACCGGAAGCTAAAGAACATCTTGAATATCTGGTTAATTTGTTTAGAAGGCAGTATTGGTGGCGCATTTGGGTCATCCAAGAAGTGAGCTGTGCGAAGAGCGCAATGGTGTATTGTGGCGGGGACGCAATACCATGGACAACACTCGACAGCGTCTGCGACATCCTCAAGAGAGTAGACTCTCAACTGCGCTCCTTATTCTATACCCACCCCTCCTACATCCGCACACTGACGCACGGCGGACCACGAGGTTTGCAACTGTCCCGCTACTCACCACACCTCTCCGCCCCACCGCTACTCGAACTCCTCCTTTCACACAAAAGCAAGAAATCCACCGATCCGAAAGACAAAGTGTACGCTTTAGTGGGAATCTCCAGCTCCCGACATACCTTCGGGAAGATAGACTATTCCCTCTCAATGAAAGAGATATACACCCACACTGCCCGCCATATCATCTCCACCTCTCAAAAGCTCGACGTAATCTGCGTCAAGCAGCACGACATCGACCAATTTTCCCTCCCGAGCTGGGTAACAGACTGGACGCGGCCCCCCACTTCATCAGGAGCCCTCGTCATTGGACTACATCACCAGGTTCCCCCATTCACCGCCTCCGGCACCACACCTGCCTCATTCCAGTTCCTCCACAACGGCTACGTCCTCAGAACAAAAGGCATAGTCCTAGACACGATCCGTACGGTTGGCATGCCCTACAAAAAGCGTGGTCCACCGTCCGAAGTGGTGCCCTTGTTAGAGGTCTTCCACGACTGGTGGAATACATTCGTCGCCTCGTTCTCCAACTCTCTTTCCTCGCAAGTGCGCTTTGCGCGGGCAATATCCTGCGGTTCCTGGTCTTTCAGCTCCGAAGATGAATATGCGGGGAAACTGGAAGCGATATTCGCGTTGAGTGATCAGTTGTTGAGTGATAGTGATATGTTGCGATTGGATCCGCCGAGCAGGAGCAGCACGATGGCGAGCTCCGTGGCGAGTTTGGTAGATGAGGAGGAGGTTGGGGTTGAGGATGTGGAGGAGGGGGAGAAGGAGAGGCTGAGTGTGGTGCTGGAGGCGGGGCAGATGATGAATCAACGGCGGTTGTTCCTTTCTCGCTCTGGTTTCGTCGGCCTTGCGCCGTGGACTGCAGCGAAGGGAGATATTGTTTGTGTGCTGCTTGGGTGCAGATCTCCTGTTATTTTGAGAAGGGAAAGGGGGCATTATGTGTTGATTGGAGAGGCGTATATTGATGAGTTCATGAATGGAGAGGCGATGGTTGGATTGAGAAACGGAGAACCCGTCTTGGAAACGTTTGAGATTCATTGACGAAGGTGTCGGAATTGGTGGGAGATATCAAATTTCCTGATGAAAGCTTAGAAGTCTCTAAGATTGTGTATCACGAAAGCCGCTAAAACCAACCGGGAGGAGAGGATTGAGCAGGGAAACTGTCTCCAAAGAAGGAGACGCTATCTACCGCAGCAAATCCTCCCTTGCAACGCCAAGAAGACTCGAGCTTCCTCTAAACAGGATTATCAGTCAGCTCAAAATTAGAGGAAGGTCCAACTCCTCATCATAAGAGTGGGGCGCCCGTCGGATGTTAACACGAATTCCATGCTCCCATTGGATGATGATCGAAAGAAAACCAAGTCTACCCTTCATCTTATGGCAGAGGTACAGTACTGAAGACTCAGAGAGTTCGTGGACTCGCAGGTGCAACCCGACCTTGTTGCGGGAACCGGTTCCTTCGACAGCCTTGGCTACGCTTCCACGACCAACACCAGTGAAGAAGATGGAAGGCCTCGAGTTTATGCCTTGCGAGTTGTGACAGACAAGCATACGGAGTCGCTTGACCTGTAGCTCAGGTACTGGCGGCCGTGGAATAACTTTTACCATATGTTCTTGGAAAACCTTGGGATGGCTTGTACCAGCTTGCTGGTGTTGGAATTCGGATATTGATCGCGGATTGCTCGTCGATGGGAATATCTATGTTTATCTAGGACCGAGTCTGATCTCCTGATGGGACAATGGAGTCAGGTAGCGGGAGTATACGGTGCCTTTGAGCACGACCTTTTCTTCCCAGCCCCCAAAACTTACGGGCACACCTAACCCTGCGTCGGGGACCGCATTTATATGTCTCGGCCTAATGGCCATGTGGACCATGGCTATTAATCCCATAAATATGGGATTGGCTTGTCGATTGAATAGCAGTTCTGGGCGTCCTAATTCGGCTTAATTTTACCCCTGAATTGTACCTTACATAAAACCGGCTCCTAAAGGTTCTTCCAACCACCATTCCTTAGCCTCAACAATCACGATATATGCCTCGCTCCGCTCCCGAACTGGTATGGCTGGCCCTTACTCTCAACCGGGTATTAAATTGCAATCTCCCCGCACACCTCGGATTCACTGAAATGAATAGTTTCAGGCTGGCGGGCCGGGGTACAGCGGCTATATCAGGCCTAAATAGATGATCATTGAAAGCGAATATATATATATTGTCTATATCGGAGGTGGTGATGGATCAAAAGCAATCAACGAATACAAGCGTGTAAGACCTCCCTCCTGCTCTGCGCTGTCCTAACTTTATCATCAGATTCCTGAGATCTTGAGCAACTCAAAAAGCATATCTTTCAAACTCTCGTTCATCAGCCTGGTAGCCTCACTGCTGGCCATCATACCCTTTACCAAAAGCGCCGAGGACCATCCTTTGCTGCCGACATGGACATGCACTGCCTCAGCAGGCTACGTGCAGCAGAACACCTCAGTCGTACTCGACGGGCCGGACTCGAAAATGGCCAAGGGTGCTGCTGGCTCGAGGACGGCGGCTGACTACACAGCGATGGGAGTTTCTACCTCAGGAAACGTCCTGACCATGTATCACTACATCCAAGGAACCAATGCATCCCCACGCGTCTACCTCCTAGGCGATGATGGCAAGTACGCCATGATGAACCTTCTCAACGGGGAGCTCTCCGTGGATGTCGACCTCTCGACGCTCCTTTGCCGGGAGAACGGCGCCTTCTATCTGTCGTCGATGGAGCCCGACGGCAAGAGCAACGCGACGGCTGGCAGCGGTTACTGCGACACGCAGTGCCAGGGCTATTGCTGCAACGAGATGGACATCCTCGAGGCCGACTCGCAGGCGACGGCCATGACGCCCCATCGGTGCAAGGTAAATACCTGCGACAAGGGTCGCTGCGGGTACAACCCGTACGCGAGCGGGCAGAAGAACTTCTGGGGGCCGGCAAGACGGTCGACATGAGCAAGGTGTTCACCGTTGTGACACAATTCGCAGCCAACGGGGGGAAGCTGTCACAGATAACGCGCAAGTACATTCAGAATAGGCGTCAAATCAGCGGCGGCGGGACGATTTTGAGTTGTGGCTCCGAAGGCTCGACGGGTGGTATGACCGGTATGGGACAGGGTCTGAAGACTGGGAGTAAGCGACGTCCTCGAAATCTCCCCAAATTTCTCGGTAAGACTGTCAGTTACTGACTCTAAATCTCGTAGTGGTACTGGCAATGAGTATCTGGAACGGCGCCGCACAGCAAATGGCCTGGCTCGACGCCGGCGCCAATTGACCTTATAGCAGCGGACAGGGAACTCCGTCCTCGATTCAATCTCAGCACCCTGACACCCAGGTCGTCTTTTCCAACATTCGATAAGCAACATCAGATCTACTACCAAGAGTTAATACTGAAAATTATCAAGCAGCACTTTTCCCGGGCCCCATGGTAGTTAGGGATAGTTATAGGAAGACCATAAATAGGCACTTAGCTCCAGCTGGTTATCGCTTTTTGTAAACCAGACTCTTGCCACTAGCTTACTACTACTATAGGCGGTTTTCATAGGATACCTCTTCCAAAAAAGTTTCTGATATGTTTTCACTGGCAACTTCTGCCATTACAGTAAGACCGTGGTAAGTTATTTTTGTCGGCCATGGCGGTGCAATGGCTATGTCCATGTATTTCGAAGCTTTGTCCCGAAAGTACACTCTCTGTCTCATTTACGCATCTTCGCTCTCTCTAATGCTGTCATTAAGCACCAAATTCGTTCTTTGCAACATGTGACGATACGGAAAGGTATACAATATGACACGAGATGAAAGTAGGTGGCGAGGACTGAGTCGCTATGCGCCGGATTTGGCCAGAATGGCACCACCAAGAGCCCATAGCCTTGCTTGTACGAATCACGAACGATAGACCATTCATTCCTTCTCACTACAGGTACAAGCCGTTTGATCCGCAGAAAAACTAGATTCGGCTTTTGAAGATAGAATCTATCAACCCCGGAGGTTGAATCAGGTGCTAGATCAAAATAGTGTCGTTGGACAATGCCCCGCCTTTCCAAGCCCTGTCTTACCCTTGGGGCAACGGAAGTGGATATCGCAACATATCTCGAGAATGCTCTTTGTATGGAGTCCCCGAGACTCTGGCGGCAGCACCTCGAGAACTAAAGACAGCCCGGATCTGGAGTACTGTCCTGTACGACCAATCTGCATCGACGCAATATGCTTTATATCTTGATCGATGCTGAACAAAATACCACGGGAACTTGGGGCATACACCTATATTTTCTGAGGAAAATTACTTCCTAAAAACCAGGCGAACAGACTCAAGTTATAACCCGCCAGCAATGAAATCGCTGAGATCTCACGCACTGATTGCGATTTGCACGCCTTGATACAGTCGATCCGATCCAAAAGCGACAAAATGAAAAAAGTCTACCAAAATACTAAGTAATGTAAATCATATTAATCGGAATTATCGTATATCTTATAGTAATTAATTCCCTGGTCTCCGATTTTTAATACCTTTAATATTGCGGGAGTTACAAAGCACGTGATCATTTTTATACGAGCTCGCATAGAAATTTTCGCGTTTTGTAGAAGTAAAAAATTACACCTCGTATAATATACGAGGTTGCACGTGATTAAAATCATGAACTTTTTATACTTTATACTTTCTTTACTAATAACTCTCCAAAGCTTAAGCTCTTACTATATATACTAAGCTTATAGAAGCTTAAGGGGCCTTATAAGGCCTTTTAAGTCTAAGTTTAATTTACTATTTACTTAGGTACACGTGACTTTCGTGAAATATTTTCGCGTTTTGTATAGTCAAAAATAAATAAAAAAGTAAAAAACGTCCGTGCACTTTAAACCTCGATTACTAATTAACCGCAAATCTCATTAACAATCTGATTAATAAATTTCATTCGCCTGGTTCTTTTCTATAATTACATTACTTAGTATTAATTAATTGGGGTTGGGGTTAAAAAGTTATTATGGATACAAAAAGGCGACCGTTTTGTCGCTTTTGGATCGGACCGACTGTACACGTATCCCACATCGGAATCTCGACATGAGCATTTCAACCTCCCGTCTGTGTCCTGAGATGTTGCTGTTATAGCGTGAGTAGCGGGTGAGTCAGCTTGAGCTATGCAGCGAGTTCTCTGTCGCTGGCTCAAATTGAAAATTGTTCAACGGTTATTTTGGGACTCCGTTTTGGACCTTCTTGGTCAGCGAACTAGGCATATAGTGAGGTAGTTTTACATTTCGGCTTATGGCAGCACAAGGGACGAATGACGCCATTGCATTCAGTTGTACGAAAGTATGACGTGCCTTTGAGCTGTTCAGGGTCTGGCCTCTCACAAAAGGATCAGGTGGGGTGATCGACCACCAAAAAAAAAGTTGCATTGGGCTAAATTGAAGCTAATCAGTGTCGTCTTTTCAGTTATCACTTGTCGAGATTTCGGTGCGAGCATTGCGACTTCTTTTTGTGTGATAAAGGCTCTTGTTAGAATATATTTCATAAAAGTGGCTGAATTTGACTCCTTTTCTTACCGAATCTTGATCGCTAAATGGCTGTGATTGGTTGGGCGAACGCTGAAAATGTTGCATTTTTTTTCTTTCGAAGAATAGTACAACGTGACACCGACTAGATGTTCGTGTTACAGTAGCCTCTTGCATACGTAATCGGTGTAAATAGAATACTAACTTAAGCCGATGTGAGCCATATTTGGTAATATGTAACAAATAATAATAGTATCTAAATGGGGGCAAAAAAGGCGTTGAAAGTACCTGAGAAATAGCGAGCCGCAGTTAATATCCTGAGGCTAGTTCGTAAATACGACACATCTGACCCTGTCACGCACCTTCACTGCCTCAGTCTTCCCGCCGTCAGCACCAACCTCGTATCCAATGGGCTTTTTATGTACGTCAATATAAAGTTTGCTGGCAGCACCCTTGCATTGTTGGCGGCGAAGCCCCAAAGCCGCAAGGCTGCTACTACGTTGCTTACCGGTTAGCTTGTGTTATATTGTGGCACAATACGAGTACTGCTTTATTATCCGGTCAGCCTGACTACAGACACGAGGGGGCAAACGGCTGTGTTATCTGTAACGTGATACAAGAGACCAGCGGAGAACTAACTCGTTTAGAAAGTGTGCTGGTATGCGCCGCATCATTACAGCCTGGGTGCTATAGGTTTTAGTTGGACTGCGTGATCGTAAAAGTTTATCAAGCGACACGAGATGGCACAAGTATATAAGAAGATGGCCATCAACGCATTCACCTCACTCAGCAGATCAATCCAAAAACTCATCACATCAACTTTCAAAACTACCATTCAATTACACCATGCATTCCCCTATCGTCTTCTCCGCCCTGACCCTCGCACTCTCAACCAGCGTTTTCGCCGCACCGCTCAACCAAGTGCGACAAGATCTCCTCTCTCTCGCCGACACGGTCCAATTCATCGCCAAGACCAAAGGCTCCAACCCCAACCCCGGCGCGCTCCCAGACATCAACAACTGGCTCTTCACGCCCGTCCACTCGGGCGCCGGCCAGAACCTCGCGACCCTAGTCGACCCATCCACAGCCCCCCTCGACCTCTCCCTCCCGGGCTACTTCCGGAACGGCACCGACGCCCCACACAGCGACGGCGGCTACATAACGGCCGGCTTCCTCGCCGGCACAACATCCACCCCACCCTATTCCCTCGTGCTCGCCATGTCCCACGACCCCAACTCCCCGAACCCCGGCGCCGCGAGGGGAACCGTGCAATTCGACGCCGGCGTCGGCACAGACGGGCTGGACGTGCCGGCTGGCACACTCATCACGAGTAACTATGTCACTGATGCCTTTTGGGCTTGTCCGGATGTCCCTGTCGAGGGCGGCAGCGCGATTGTGGTTGAGGCGACTAATAGATATGCGGATACGCCGGCGGGCTGCTGGGGTATTGAGCTCTATGCTCAGTGTGCGGGCTCGATTTCGGACGTGAATCGAGATGCTTTCCCTGCGTTCGTGCAGAGCAGCTGTTATGCGGACGCTGCTTCAGTCGTCGTTGCGTAGTGATTGGCGTGTTGTAGCTTTTGGGGTAGCAGATGCGGAAGAGAGATGGAGTTCAGGAAGGAGATGAGAGTGTTTGTGTTAAAAGGCGAATTTTTCAACGGAATATTTTTAATCTTTAAGTTGGAGCTTCTGGGGTAGCAGGTGTCGGAAGAGGAGAGATGGAGTTCAGGAAGGATGAGAGGGTTTGTGATAAAAGGCGAATCTTTCAACGGAATATTTTTAATCTTTAATTTGAAAATAGTTCTGTAATATAATTGGAATGTTGACTCTATAAGGGATTGCAATTTTAAAAGCGGCTAACCTGGAACTCCTCCGGCAATCGACGTTCGAACGGGCTCGTTCAAACATCAGGTCCGAACGGGATGGGAACATTGGGTAAAGGGGTGCTGCTAGATTTGAATACGATTGTAAAACTCCGCTGGGGTTTTTTTATCTGTGACAACGGTTTGCAGGGGTCTGCCTACCACGAGGCAGTTGTTGGGTCGCAAGGATTGTGTTTTGTTTGGGCAACACTACAGTGCTCAAGCGTATGGAAGGTATCGGGGTTCGCACTTGCTTTAAGGTACTTGGAGATTCGTATATTGATGGGTATATGAACGGCGAGGGGATGCAGGAAGCTGAGGAAGGTCAGATTCAACTGACGGAATTGGTGATAATTTGATGGCAAGAAGGAACGGTAGGGCCTCAGCTCCATTCTTCGACATGGACACTAAATTGGAGATAGGCTCGGCAATGTCACATTATGCGAAGAATGGAGGACTGAAATTTCAAAAGAGCCATAGAAGTTGTAGGCTGTCATCCTCGTCTTTTATCCCCTGATATGTGAATCTTATTGTTTGCTCTAGAGTAATTGAACACCCAACGCGTCGGATGAACTTTGCACTGCCCCGAGCCCTACGAACGAATACGCAGAACCTCTTCAAACAAGAAAGACTAACTTCTACTTGGCATCGTTGGGGAATTTTGGGCATCACTCGCCATGCAAACGGCTTGGAAGATGTGAGAAATGGTCAGAGAAATAGCAACCTCCCAGCAATTCAATTCTTCGAACGGTTTGAGCAATAACTGCGGTACATCGAGGATCAAAAGGTATAACAGCAAGAAGGCACTCCAAATCGATGCACCAGGAGGTAAAGATCCGACCTCGAGCGTCATAGAAGTGCTCGGGATCCCTCTTGGCTTCTCGATCAATCAGCACTCGCTCGGGATTGCCTCGTCTCGAAAATCTAGAGATAGGGAGAAGCAAACATCTCTGCAACTGCAAAAATGAGGAAGGAAACCACGCAAAGCAATTCCGCTGCATATCCAACAATAGAAACTTGAAACACATCATCGTCCAATCTCCTCTGACCCATGGTCCCGGAACATAGCATGTACCTGCCCAAAGCAGCCACTCCTCACGTGTTCGCTCTTCAAAACGCCGCCCGCCGCGCCCCTAGCAACGTCGCCAGCCAATCACAAAGGACAGCAGAATCAATCCCTTGGCCACATCTTTGCCCGAAAGTAGCAAAGAGCGGCCCCGCCGAACACCCCTGGTCATCCTCCGTCCGTCGCAAGGCGAGAAACAAGCTCTACCCTCGCCCGCAGCAGACTGACGTCCAACATACAGTCCTGTATCGACCAAACTGTGGGGAAGCAAGCGTTTACGTAAGATGTCCCGGGCTGGCGCCGGCAGCGAGTCTTCGCCTCTATCGCGGAAGCGGGAAGCGATTCTTCACGGGGTTCGAGCTCAGGGATTCCTTTCATCCTCACCTCGCGGCAAGTTGAGGATAGAAATGAGGGGTTCGCGAAGAAGGCAAAACATACAGAGTAGATGTGTCAAGTGGCGTCCGTTGACAGCTGCGAGCCGCGAGCCAGGTGAGGATTTTGATAGGGCAGAGAAACAACCTCGGGTGGAGCACACATCAAGAATCGGAAATGTGGGGCCGCGCGATAAGGATGGCGCATCTTGGGATGAGCGGCGCTGATTGGATGGGGCTTTTGAGATGAGGGTGAGTAATTGGATGGCTGTGGGGAAGTGGCGCTCTAGACGAGAGATAAGCCCCTGGAGCTCTGGATTCTTGCTTGACGGTTTGAAACCATGCATCTGGTCATGGCCTGCGGAGGAGAGAGTCCTGGAAGCGGGCGAGAGGGTGTTTTGCTGTGCGGCATGGCTGCAGAGATTTCATTCAGATGAGGAGAGAGATGTTGCATTGAGATGTCGATGCTAAGAAGAAAGAGAAAGTGCATGCGAAGAGTGCGGAGTGAGTGAGACCGCGGAAGATTGAAGGTCTTGAAGATCGAGGAGATGCGCGCTCCTGAATGGTCGAGTTGGGCCGTGGCACGAAGAGCTTGGGAGATACTGTACACAAGGCTCGGGGCCAGGCTAGACATGCCCAATACAGCATTGGTGCGAGATATCAGCCCGCGCATCCGTGCTACCCTGCGTATGACAGGCCAACATCCTGGTGGATACTTAGGCAAGGTGGCATACGATAAAGCTTCCTTCTCGGCGTTTGGTCCGATGTTCTGGCGGCCCTGTCTTATAAGTATGCAGCGTTCCGCCGGCGAGTTGAGGGCAGGATCATACGACGCCAGCGTCAAATACCTTTGTTTGAGCAGCGACACGAGTACACGACAGGATGTCCGACTTGAAAGAGGTCAAGAGCAATACCAGCCACCCAAGGCAGAGCCATAGCGCCAGCCATGCCGGCATCGACCTGCGCAAGCCGTCCGTCACAACGGTCCTCCCAGACGGCGATGTCCCCAATTTCGAGGGCTTGTCTGCCGACGAAGCTGCGTTGGTAGCGCTCGGTTACAAGCAAGAATTCAAGAGAGAGTTCTCCCTCTGGACGACGTTCTGTGTTTCGTTCGCCGTTCTGGGATTGTTGCCCTCGTTCGCATCCACGCTGGTATTTGGAATGGGTTATGCTGGAACCGGAGGAATGGTCTGGGGTTGGCTGATCAGTTGGGTTTTCATCCAATGTGTCGCCATGGGAATGGCTGAACTGTGCTCCAGCATGCCAACTAGGTACGAGAGAGTGTGTGGGTGGGCATGGTTTCCGAATAAACAGCTGACGTTTGGCGCAGTGGTGGACTTTATTATGCCTCTGCTGTTTTGGCACCTCCTGGGTGGGGCCCATATGCGGCCTGGATCACTGGGTGGTCGAATTGGTGCACCCAGGTGACGGGAGCTCCATCTGTCAACTATGCGCTCTCCGCGATGATTTTGGCTGCCGCATCAATCACGAACCCCAACTATGTGCCCACCGAATACCAGACTTTTCTCCTCACGGTGTTCATCATGCTTCAGCATGCGTGCATCTCCAGCATGCCAACGTTGTGGATCGCCCGCTACAACTCCTTCGGCTCAACCCTTAACATGATCGGCTTGTTTGTTGTCATCATCATGATTCCAGCGTCTGTGACTGGAGCGGCCGATACACCGAAATTCTTCCCTTCCTCACAAGTTTGGTCCATTCAGAATGGAACAGAGTGGCCCGACGGAATTGCCGTGCTGATGTCCTTCATTGCGATCATCTGGACCATGAGCGGATACGACGCCCCATTTCACCTGAGCGAGGAATGCAGCAATGCCTCTGTTGCGTCTCCCCGCGCCATTGTGATGACTGCTGGAGTTGGCGGATTGGCAGGATGGGCATTGCAGCTGGTGGTGGCATACACCGTGATTGATATTCCATCCGTCATCGGGTCGGACCTTGGCCAGCCGTGGGCTTCCTACTTGATCCAGGTCATGCCGCAAAAGATCGCCCTCGCAGTTCTCGGTCTGACAATTGTTTGCGCCTACTCCATGGGCCAAGGCTGTATGGTTGCAGCCTCCCGAGTCACTTTCGCCTATGCCCGTGACGGCTGTTTCCCTGCGTCTTTCTGGATCAAGCGGGTCAACAAGCACACGTCCACGCCCGTGAATGCTGTCTGGTTTAACACTGCGATCGGAATTTGCTTGTTGTGCTTGATCTTTGGGGGATCTGTGGCCATCGGAGCCATCTTCTCGGTCGGGGCCATTGCCGCCTATGTTGCCTTCACAATCCCCATCTTCATCAAGACCTTCTTTGTCGGCGACCGCTTCCGTCGTGGACCATGGCACCTCGGCAAATTCAGCAAGCCGATTGGAATGATGGCGTGCTCGTTTATTGTCGTGATGATGCCAATCCTCTGTTTCCCATCAGTTAGAGGATCCGATCTTACACCCCAGTTGATGAAGTAAGACCTCCAGCTCCCTAAAATACCTCTGGGATTCTCAGTGCTAATGGGTTTGGCAGCTGGACCATTGTGGTGTACGGCGGGCCAATGACGCTAGTGAATATCTGGTGGTTCGCGTCAGCTCGTAAATGGTTCAAAGGTATATCACACCCATAACCTACACCCTTAAAAAAAGTACCTTTGGCTAATACATCCAGGTCCCGTCATCAATGTCGAGCATCATATGCTTGGAAGAGAAGAGGGCGTTGTTAACGGCGTCGAGACCTCGGGTAGTGACAGCCCAACGCCCGATTATAGCAAGAAGGCTGAGCTCGAGGGAGAGACCTTGCCAACTACTGAGATCAGGTAGATTCCCGCGACGGAGTTTGTCTCGAGTTTCTGTACATTACATTGTGAACGACTGATCTGGTTTGAATGAAGAATGAACATACCTTGATCTCCAAAAACTCTTGTTGTCAGAGAAACTGTAAAACGATCAAACTGAACACGAGCCCTACTCCCATCATCAAACAAGTGATCGGCTCCATTCCGAATGCTATTGACGTAGACTCGGTTTGATATCAAAATGGCACAGACGACTCGGGAAAGGGAAGAAAGCTGGCAACGAGACAGCATTGGGACTCCCCAACTATTGACCCTTATTACTAACGCCTACTCAGCTGACATACCAACCTCAAATGACATCTCGTCATGATGGCTGTGTCGTCTTGGCAGCGTTGTGGACCCGCTGAGGCATTTTCTGATATCGATTGGGATATAAATCCCGCAGCGCTAACTTGACCTCGGCGCGATCTGCGGAGTTTCGACTTCAATTCCGGCCCCAGCTCCAGTCATAGAAAAATGAAAAGAGGGGTAAGGGCCAGTACGAAGAGAGGGTGATCTCATGTTTTGGATTGGATGGAGAAAGCTTGAGAGAGAGGGTCGCGATGGATAACCTAACAAAGCGGCAACACCTTTTTAAAGTCCCTTGTCCTATAGGCATTCAATAAAGGGAGAGGGTCCCGCTGTCTAGAATTTGCGGGATGTTTGAAGGGGCTTGAATTTAAATATTCTAAAATCAAGGAAACGTAGAGGGATACGAAAAGTCTAACGCGAAAGTGTCATTTTGAAATGCATCCCCGTGACTGGACTTGGTACACGTGACGCGTTGACAAGGTTGGAAAGCAGTTGTAGATAGTATGGGCTTCTTGAGCTCAGAATAACATGATAGAATGGATACTTCAATACCAGCATCAATAGACTTGAAAAACGAGATGTTGTTTCCGGGTTGTAGAGTACAAGAATGGGGAGGCTGAATGTTGAATGAAGGACAGTCCAAAGAAAACAAAGAGAAGCATTCATTGCCGTTAGATCAGACGAATTCAAGTGAGTTAGTTCATTTCCCAAAACTACTGTCCCAGCATGCGGCAAAGACGGTTCATTCCAGTCTCTCGAACTTTGAATCAATACAAGTCCTTGCTCAGCCAAAAGAACGAGATGTTCCCACCAGAGCTCCAATGTTTCATGCCCATTATCCGTCTGGAAGGAGAGCGACTAGGGATGCGATACTATGCGCGAAGAATTTCTGAGGCTGTTGGAGAATCCATGGATCGAAAGCATGATATGGGGAAAATCTTTGGCAGGCTTATTGAAACTCGATGTTCGATCTATGTGCGGAAGACGTCAAGTTGGTATCGCCAGCTGAAAACTGTTCTTTATTTTTATTTTTAGAGATTGACCTTGAAGACTCATTGAATATGATTCGCCTACCTAGAAAGTCGGAGGCTTCAAAATCACAATAAGTATATTGAGAATTGCCCCCAAGATACCCCCTGAACCTGCTCCCTCCCCGGCAAAGTGGAAAGTTGATTGTTCGAAGTAAGGAATCATTATGAATATTCTCTTTTCAACGTGGCAAAAGGTATACAATGCTTGTGGAGTCGTGAGCGAGAGCAATTTGCGTTTATGTTGATGAAAGTGTTGGGTGTGCAAGAAGATGATGGCATGATGGCGCACTTTATGTGTTCCAGCCCATTCCCAGTCGTCACTTTTCTTTAGTGGACTAACTCCCACCACTGGATTTCACATGCCTGTAGAGATGTTCCAATTAGAAAGAGGTAAGATTGCATATTGAGGCTATGTGAGGCATGTGCTTCATACAATTGCAAGGTAAAGCCTCTTTGGAGCAGCCACCATTCGAACTCTAAAGTTTTGAGAGGAGATGTTTCAAACATCAAGAGATCAATGCAAATGGAGTCGAAATCAACAGGTATTGATTTGCTGCACAAATTACGGTCGGCGGAAAGCGTATCACCGTCCGCGGTGGGCATTGAGCATTGCCACCACAGGAATTGTCATCGCCCCCACGGGAATTGTCATCGCCACCACAAACACTGGTTTCGTGTAACTTAAATTTCTAATTTCCCTGCTGCACCGACATTGGATGTTCGCGCTATTCTGGCTTTTGACTAGAAATAAGTGACAGAAGTCGCACATTTTAATACTTCTTTGCAATCTGTAATGTCAGAATGTCGCCTCGACCTCCACCAGTTCCATTCGCTCAATTGCCGCCAGGCTATCCAAAGCTTTCTGGGCTGGTCTGCAAAGACAAAACTCTCTCAATTTTTAGAAAGTTCCGCAGTCTTAGTACCAGGAATCTTTTATATCTACAGAGTGAGATTCTGGACCTTGAATCTCAACTGCAACAGGAGGACAAAAAGCTTAGCCTCACCACCCCTGAGGACTTAAAATCATGGCAAGCCTTCTCGGGCTCTATCGAGCGCACTCAGCTGGTCAGCACAATCCGTCACAAGCTGAATGATTATTGTAAGACTTATATTGAGAACACGATCTTTGGGATTTACTGAGAATCGGGTCAGACTCAACCCTCCTTCAATATGAGAAAGTGCTCAACCTCAGTTGCCCGTCGTATGAGCATGTTGGCTTGCTTAAAGACTGGATGAATTGCGAGCAGCCGGTTGTTGATAGTACCAAAAACTACCTAGAACACAGGGATCAAGCAGGAGATCTGGAGTCGCCGTGGTACCGAGCGGAGGAAGATACCGTCGACTTTGTTTCACTCGACCCAGTCGCAGATAGTTGGCTATCGCGGCTGCTTACAAGAACCTCCCTAAGGTACTTGTTCTTGGTATGACGCCATATAGCTTGATGGGAAGTGTTTCTAAAATATCTATCTTTAGGACAGTCTTGTCCTCTACAAGAATAAAGAGAAGGCAATCTTTACCTTCTCTAGCTCGAAGATCGAGAATGCTACAATGCTGATCTCGTTACTGCTTGCTGTAATGCTGACTGTTGTAGCTACTATCGCTCTTCATTACGAAAAGCGCACCGCTGTTCGATTTGGATTTGTGGGCCTCTTTACAGTGTTAGTATCGTTTGTCTTAGCGATTTGTGGTGCTAAGAAAAGCGAACTAATCATTGGAACAATTGGGTGAGTCAAAACCCGATGAGCCCAAATTGCTCTTGCTAAAAACTTGAAAGCTTTGCGGCCGTACTAGTAGTGTTCGTTTCTACTCAGTAATCTCTCTATTCCGCAAGCTAGTTGATGTTGGTGGTGGATGGTCAATACCATGGACTATAGCTCGTTGTTCATGTTAATATGATAGATTTCTTTAGATGAATATGATGGATAATAGCGATATCGGCTTTGTAATCGAGTTCAATGTCCCAATCTTGTGTGAGCAATAGTGGTCGTACTTGAAGCTCAAGGAGTATCCTCAGGAGTCTCCGAGAGAGGCAAAGAAGTTAGACCCTAGCGAGAACTGAAAAGGGACCCTGCTTTCATCTTCGCTCACGTTTCATATGTTTGTGAGGAGAGAGATGAGAATCACCAGGCAATCTTTCCATGAGAATATGGTGGTATTATGGATCAATATTCTCTTTCTTGCGCGTCGCATTCAGTTAGTCAGCTTGCCGCTCTTGCTCAGGCGCTAATCGCCCTCGGCTCACCCTCGGCTCAGTCAACTCACCTGAGTAACCTGAGCACCCTGAGCAGCTTACCTGAGCTTAGCCTGATCATCCTGAGCAAGATTTACCACATTATCACGTGTTTTGACTTCTCGCTTTCTAGCCAATTATACTTGATCTGACCTCTATTCTCTCATATTATTTTTATCAAGTTTTAACGAGAATACTCAAGGAGCCCAAACAAGTTCCCAAGGAACCCAAAGTAAACACTTTTCAAAAATATATCTAGTACTTTGCCTATAGTATAAGTTAGTTTAATATAAATACCTTTAAAAAAGTATTATTCTTTTCTTTATAAATTCCTTCTTACTTTATATTTACTTTAATCTAAATACCCTTTTTCTTTAATCTAATTATTTAATTAATTTTCTATTTACTAGTTTATATAAGTTATAATTATAGTATTCTTAATACTTAAAAAGAAATTACTAAAGAAATTCTTTATATAATTTCGTAATAAAGACTTAATTATTAAATCAGAAATTATTAACGAAAATAAGATAAAAAAAGAGTTCTAATTAGAAATAAAGAAAAACTATACTTGTACTCTTATATAATAAAACTAGTAAGGGCTATTTTTTTTTAGTAAAACTTTCTTTTAATACTTATTTGTTTACTAAATAAATTTAAACTCGAATACTTTAGAGCTATTTTAGATAATATAAAAATATTAAAAAATTAGGCCAGATTAATATTATAAATACTTATAATAATAATACTATAGAATTAGGCTTTATTATTTGCCTATAAAAAAATCTTATAATAAGCTAGTAATAGGCTAAATATAAGCCAAAAATAAACTTTAAAATAATAATAATTATTTCAAATATAAGTTTTAAAAGTATTATTTTTACTTTATTATAATAATATATATAATTACTAATAAAGTATAATTTATAAAAGGTTTTTTATAAAAGGAAATCGGCCTATATTATAAGAAATAAGAATAAAAAAATAAAGTTTATTATATAAAATATAAAAAATATAAAATTTATTTATTATTATTTAATACCTTAAAGCTATTCTCTAAAAACTAATTATAAAATAGGTTAAAGTATTTATTATATAAAAATTTATAACTTTAATTATTATTTTATAATTTAATTCTTATATATTTTACTAAATTTATTATAAAAAGAATCTTTAAAAATTATAAAATAATAATAAAAAAATAATAATAAAAAAATAAAAATAATAAATATATTTAGTAAATATATAAGAAAATTAAGCTTTTATTTAAAATATAAGCTCTTATAGCAGAACCTCGCTATAGCGATCCCCGATATAGCAATATCCTTAGTAATACGATACGGCTATAGGGTCCTGTACTTTTTTAGCCTTAGGCTTATAATATCCTTGGTATTACGATTATTATAAGGTTTTTCGGTCCCAACCCTTAATTTTTAATAGTATATCATTCTACTTTAGCCTGAAAATGGATCAATTTATTAATACTCCAGGGCCCTCCGGTACCTCTCAGGCTCTCGATCTCACCGAATCACAGCCCCTTGATCTTACCTCTGGTTCTCTAGCCCCTAAACAGCCCAAAAAGAGACGAAGAGGCATGACAGAAGCTGATTGCCGAGTACTACGGAGGTACAAGTAATCCCATCCTAAAGCTATGCATACTAATCTTATTAAGTGGTTCCAGGACGAGTTCCACTACAAAATCAACTAATCTACTGTTTCCTTTAGCCTTAGTACTCAATTCGATTACCTTAATACCAATATACGAAAAGATACAAGCCTTACGGGTCAACGTTTGAGCCAATCTGATTGGCCTGATCTTGAATTAGTACTCTTTGAATAGCAGCAGAAGATACAGTAGCAAAAAGCGATAATTACAGGCGATATTCTCAAGTAAAAGGCATATGAAATCTGGTACCTTCTCCCCCAATATTGCGAGCAACCAGAGCCTAAATAGTCCAATGGGTAGTTAACCAACTTCAAGAATCGCTTCTATATTAAGGAATATATTTACTATGGCGAAGGCGGTACGGCAGATATCGAAAGCCCTGAAAATATCAAGCAAATACAGGAAAATCGAGACCTGGCAGCCATATACCCTCCTGAGAACGTCTTGAATATGGATAAGACTGGTTTATACTGGAAAATATCACCAAATCGTATACTAGTAACTGAGGCTAGTAATGGAGGCAAAAGGAGTAAAGAGCGAATTACTCTTGTTCTTACGGTCAATGCCACAGGTACTAATAAGTGGGAGCCTTGGTTAATTGGGAAGAGTAAGAACCCTCGATACTTTAAGCATGTCAATCGTCGACTTTTGGGTATATAATACCGGTATAATAATTCCAAGTAGATGACTGGTATCATCTATACAGAATACCTCTATTGGCTCAATTGCAAATATTCTACTTAAGGCCGGTATATTCTTCTCTTTATGGACAACTTCTCAGGATATGAATATGGCGTTAATCTCGTTAGTGGAAAACGAGCTCTCTTTTACGTACGAGTAGAATGGCTACCTCCTAATACGATATCGTATTAGTAACCGGCAGATCAGGACATTATTAATATCTTTAAGCTTTATTATTGCAAGTAATGGGTTGGCTATATAATCAAGTAATTTGAGGCGAATAAGGACCCTAATAAAACAGTTACTCTACTCTATATGATTAACTGGATAGTATATGCTTGGAATAACTATATCAAAGCTTCTACGATTACTAATTACTGGTACAAATCAAGTCTTATTGCAAAACCTCTTCTTGGTAGAGATCTCGATGCCCATAGCGAACTGGACGAGGAATGGGCTACTCAATAAGCAAAAGACAAGGAAACCATCGAAGCCCTTTAATTGGCTATTCAGAGTACTACCCAATTCAACGATCCTCTTCCCATTAGCCAATTTATTATACCAATTGACGAGGCAATTATAGAAGAAGAGAGTATAATACTAGAGGTAATTGTGAATCGCTATACTCGTAGAGGTTCAGGGGATACTCAGTCTGATATAGAGGGGGAGGAGCAGGAGGAGCAGGAGGAAGAGATTAGGAAAGTGAAGCTAGCTGAAGTAATAGCTATACTTGATTTGGTAAATCTTTATGAGAAGTAATAGGAGGATAGACAAAGTGAGGTTATATATAAGCTTGACGCTTTAAAAGCTACATTTATCCAAAGGAACGTAGGAAAAGCAAAGCAGGCTTATTTAGAGCTTTCAGGAGGTACTTTATAAGTAGTAAGGCATTAGGATTGAGAGGTTCTTTATATATCTTTAGTTCTTCCTTATTTTTTATATGTATATATAATCCTTGATTTAATAATACCTCGGTATATTATTAGAAAAAGGCGCTAAAATTGGTATTATTATATCGAGGTTCTGCTATATATAAAATATAAGCTCTTATTTATAATTTATAATTTTAAAGCCAAAGCTTTATTTTTTTATTAATATACTTTATATATTAATTAGGTAAATATATTTTTAAAACTAATATATTTTAAATAAGCTTTATTTAATAATTTAAATAATAAAGTATAATAGCTATATTAATAAAAATAATTATTATAATTATTATATATCTAATAATATTAAAATTAATAATTAAGAAAGCTATTTTAGTAATAAGTAATATAATATTATTAATAATAAATTTCGGTTTATAACTTTATATTATAATTTTTAAATTTTAGTAATTTCTTTTAATAAAAAAATAATATAAGCTTAAAAAAAGCCTAGAATTTATTATTATTAAATAAAAGCTAAAAGCTTTATTTCTAGATTATAGAAATAACTTGGCTATTATAAATTAATAAAAGGAATTATATATAAAGAAAAAAAATATTATTAAAAAGCTTTATTAAAGCCAAAAATATTAGCTAAATAAAATTTCTTTTAATAAAAATAAAAACTATTTAATTAAATATTACTAGATTATATTTTAGATTTAAATTTTAATACCAGAATATAATTACTTAATATCTAATTTGTTTATTATTACTTTTATTTATAATATAATTATATTTTATTAATAAAAAACTAAAATAGTAATTTATTCGAGCTTAAAACTAAAGAAATACTTTTATTTATTAATAAAGTTTAAAAGAAAAATTAATAGATTTATATATTTCTTAAATTTTTTTTAAAGTTTATATAATATAAAGTACTAATATAAGATTTTTAAATAATAAGCCAGTTATTTAAAATAAAGATATATTTATAATTATTATAAAAAAAGCCTTAGAATTATTTATAAATTTATAAAAATATACTTCTTTTATAATAAATAAATTATAGAAAAAACAAGTAAAAAAACTATTATTAAATTTATTTAAATAGCTATATATTTTTGTTTATTTAATATAATTTTTTTAATAATAGAATTCTAGCCTTATCTAATATATATTTCTTTTATTTAAATAATATATTAATTTTATAATAAGATTAAATAAAGAAATTATATCTTTTATTATTTTAAAATCTTTAAAAAATATATTAAAAGTTTAAATAAGAATATATTATCTAAATATCTAATTTTAAGATTATATTATTTTAATATTTTTATATTAATATAATAAATGAAATTTATTATTAAAATAATTATAAAGCTAAATTTATTAAAAAAATAAAGAAATCTCGGCCCCTAAATAAAATAAATATTAAATGCCTTAAATTTAAGAAAATTAAAAGTATTATTAAATAAAAACTAAATATAAATATTATCTAATATTTTAATTTAATATATAAATTTATATATTAGATAATAAAATAATAATATTAAAAGAATTATAATATCTCGAATCTAATAGCTATTTATTTTACTTTTTTTATTAAATATATTATTAAATACTTCTATAATAGATATATATAATAGTATATAAACGAGTATTAAATATTATAAATCTAGTTTTCTATTTTAGGTAAAGCTTATATAAAATTATATTTTCTAATTAAGTAAAAAGCTTTATATATTTAGCTAAATAATAAAAGATATATAAGAAAATACTTTTAGCTTTAAAAAGAAGTATTAATTAGTTTTTTATTAAAATTAATTCTTGGTAATTAGTTATATTTATAAGTATTACTCTAAAACTTATTTATTTTAACTATTTATATATTATTCTATTATTCTATATCTTATATTCTAATTAATTCAATTTTCGAAAAGTAGTTTATTATAAAATAATTAAGCCATTAATAAATAAAATTACAAATAGTTAAAATATTAATTAGAAGAAGTACTTTTATTATTACTAGAATAATCTAGTTAAGTATTTAGAATAATATCTAGTTAAATACTTTTACTACTATCTAATTAGAAAAAGAAAATAGAATTTAGATATTATTAAAACTAGCTAGTAAAATAATAATAATAGAGAAGCTAATAGTAGCTTATTATTATATTACTAAATTAGAAATAGAGATATAATAAAGAAAGAATCTAAAAAAGCTAGAAGCTTAAATCTATTATCTTAAAAATATTTAAATATTTAATATAAAGCCTATTATATCTCTAGTAATATTATTAATTTATAAGGCTTTAAAAACCCGAGAATTACTAATTTATAAAAGAAAGAATATTAAGAAAGCCTAGAATTTCTTTTATTAAATAAAGCTAAAATAATATAAAAATAGTATAATTATTTGAGCTATAGATATAATAAAAATTATATATTATACTTTTTATTTTAAGAATATAGCTAGAAATATCTAGAAATATAGGAAGTAATTAATAAGTATTAATATTATAGATTAAAAGACCTTTATTAAGTTTATAAAAAATTCTATTTTAGATCTAAAGAACTATAGTAATAATATATTTACTAAATTTAAAAATTTAAAATAATAGCTAAATTAGAGTATTTAAAGCTTTATATTCTATTTAAATAGCCTATTAGATAATTTAGAATATATGAGTTTATTATAAAAGCAAAATAATTTATTTAATAGTTTAAAATAAAATATTCGAATAAAATTAATTATTAAAAGAATATTTTATATAAAAAAAGAAAGCTTATATTTATAGCTATAAGAATTAAAAATAACTTGAATTTATTTATTTACTAGAAATATAATAATAAGCTAATAAAATAATAAAAGAAAAAGAATTAAAGAAAAAAGAAAAAAAAAAGAAAAGAATATAAAAGAAAGAAATATAAAGTTATAATATTAGTTAATTCAAATATAGAAGTTAAAAAAAAGCTAACTTTAGATATAAATATTTTATTAATATTAGAAGTAATTTCTTTAATTTTATTAAAAGAAAAAAGAATTTCCTTATATAAAAACTATATTTTTAAGGTTACTATTAAGAATATACTAGAGAACTAAAAGAAGACTAATATATATTTTATATCTTATAATTTTAATTTAAACTATATTAATATAATATTTGAATTTTTATAGTTTTATTAAATTAATCTTTAAATTTCTTTTAAAGAAGTAATATAGAAATATTAGATTTAATTATAGAAGATTAAAGTTCTAAATACTAGAAAGTTTATTAAAATAATAAAATATAAAACATATATTTTTCTATTAATTACTTATTCTATTAATTACTTATTCTATTAATTACTTATTCTATTAATTACTTATTCTATTAATTACTTATTCTATTAATTACTTATTCTATAATAAATAAATGAAAAGTTATTACTATTACCATAAATAAAATAACTTTATTTCTTAAAAAATATTAAAATCTTTTTCGGATATTTTTTATAAAGGCTATAAATATATCACCTAACTATTATATAATAGAATATTATATAAATTTGAAACCAGAATTCTAATTATTATATAGTTTTATATATATTTTATTAGGAAGAAAACTTGAAATTCTTTAGAAATATCTTAATATTAGCTTAAATTTTTTTATTATTATTTTACTAGTTTAGCTAATAATTTAATTATATTTATTTTAAAAAAGAAAATAGCTTATAATTATATATTAATTATCGGGACCTAAATAGAATTACTATTAAGAATCGAATATTATTATAACTTATTAGTAAAATAATAAATAGATTTTATAAAATAAAAGTATATATAAAGCTAGATTTAAAAAATATTTATTTACTAATTATAAATTCGAGAAAATAATAAATAAAAAACAATATTTCAAATATATTATAAATATTTTAAGTATTATATTATATTTTTTAGGCTTTTTAATATTCTAATAATATTTCAAATATATATTAATTATATAATAATAGGCCTTATAAATATTATTTATATAATTTATTTAAATAGTATTCTAATTTATTCTAAAAACTTAGAATAATATATAATAATAATTCGATATATATTTAAATAATTATAATAATATT